AACATGAGTGCACACATGGTTGTCGCCAGTGATATAGGTTGTACACCTGCTATAGGAGTGACACAAGGAATACCACTACCAGCATGAAGCAGTGATCACATCACTCTCTAATATCATAGTCGCTCCTCGTTCGTTTTCTCTGAACGGAAGCGCATATACTGTAAATTCCTACATATTTCCGCTAGATTTTTAATTCATTAGCGGCTAACCCATAGCATGTGTTTGTAACTCTTGCCACCATGATAGAAGTTGATGAAGAGGAGTTTACTTGTCCTTGTTTTGTGACGAAAAAATTCTAAACAATGTCCGAAACGCTGTGTGATAGTGGCTTTGCAAAATTGTAAGAACACCAATGTTTTGTTCTCTCTCAACCCAATATAATGTACCTTCATAATGTACATTGAGTTGTGAGAGTAATAATGATACATTATGATAATGTATCATTATCATAATGTATCATAATGATACATTATGATAATATATCATCATAATGTTCCAGAACACTTAAGACAGAGAACGTGATGACTGTAGTCTTGGGGAGGACTTCGTAGTGGTGAGGCTTAGAGTCCAGTCTTCGCCAGGCTGTCATTCTTGGTTAGTGAGAACCTGGCAGTGAGTGAGCACACTTGGGAACAAGTATTATCTAGTAACACGGCTTCTGATAACATGTAACGATTATATTCTAGTCCATTTTGACCTTCACAAGTGCTGGGAGATGGAGCGACCATCTCTTGTAAATAGTCGCTAGAGTCAACATTTATATTCTGACAGACTGTATATATCTTGTGTTGAACAAACCAACAAGGGCCGTGACGAGGATTCGAACCTACGTCCGAGAGCATCCCAGACGCTGCCTTAATCGACTGAGCTATGACATGGTCAAAAGAGTAAGTTGTAAGTCTTACGTAAAATATAAGGTAAGCCTCTTTGGACCATGTCGTAGCTCAGTCGATTAAGGCAGCGTCTGGGATGCTCTCGGACGTAGGTTCGAATCCTCGTCACGGCCCTTGTGGATTTGTTCATTTGAGGCATCACGCTATTGTGATTTCTGTGTGTATCTTGTGTTCTATTTTGTGTTGATATGTTTAATACCTTATTTATATCCCCTTTGTTATACAGTTTTAAGCATTTATATATATTAATCGTGTCGCCCCTTACTCTTATCGTCTTTCTAGAAAATGTATATTAAGCTTTTTTAATATCTCTTCATAAGGGAGGGTTCTAATTCCTGGGATTGACTTTGTACACGTTAAAGGGAATTCACGTACATTCTACAGTACGATGACCAAAGCTGAGCTACATAATGTAAAGGGGGGGGGGGGGGGAGAGGTGTAACACGGTGAAGATAACGCTGGACAATAACATTATAGACCCACCAGCAGACCTCTGGTTGCCCGCCCCTTTGACTGCCTCAGTCCGCAGAGGTCTGTGGTAGAAAATAATAATTAAAAAAAAAAAAAACTGCTTTTATCTCTGATCTCTCTCTCCTCTAATTCTATCCCCTCTCTTTCTCTCCCATACCTCTCTCCCTCTCGTAAATAATAAAAATCCTCTGTAAAACGGATATTATATTGTCGTTACTAATAAATGCTAGACCTACTGAAGCCACAAAACAATTATTAAAGAAATATGTCAATAATGAATATTTTATGGAACTAGAACCTCTCCAGGATTCGAACTTGGGTCGCCAGGATACCATACTCCTGGCAGCTCAGTACTATAGCCACTCAGCCAGCAATTGCCTAAGAGTGTGGGGGAAGTCTTGAGACCCAAACAGCCGGCAACACTCGTGGCGTGTATTGGACACAGATATTTCACCAAATCCTATAAAATGCTATTAAGATTCGAATCCTGGAGAGGTCATAGAGTCCACAGTTATACATAGGCTTTACACACACTTGGTACTCAGTGCGACCCCTAGCAGGTTCTAGGATTTGATTAAATATCCGTGCCCAACACGGAAGACAGACCCAAACACAGCTGGGTACCTAACCAAAATATATCCAATCCAACAGACACTTGGGACTAGCCTCGCCCAACTTTCCAAGATGACATATGGGGGTATGCGAGTGTCATAGGCCAGTCGGGGTAGGCCCCAGTGCCAACCTTAAAGAAGTATCGGTATCTATAGTGATCGTCTCCGATTTTCAATAAGCCTGAAATCGGGAATAAGTTTATGTAGAGTTTTCGCAAAATTTTCAGTGTTTTGTAATTCTAAATTTTCTGAGAGTGGGGAGGGGGGGGGGGGTGAGGGCAAGATAGGGTATGTTAGAAGAGAGGGAAGGATAGGAAGGTGGAGAGTCTGGAGAAGGAGGAGCGGAAGAGGGACAGGGGTGGAAAGGGGAGAAAGGGGCGATAGGAGAAAAGATATAAGAGAGGGGGAGAAAAGGGTTATTCGGAGAGAGGTGAAGAGAGACCCGGGCACAGCCGGACTCCATTAAGTTATAAACCCATGGAACCGCCTGCTGCCGAAGCCGTAGATGTCTTCATGTTAATTTTTTTTTGCTTCATTTTAAATTTCAGATACAAAATATCCTCAGGACAAATGTAGGTACCTTTGACAAACTGTCGGCTTCCTGCCCTTTTCGAGAGCCACTATCTCTCTATAGTGGCCCTCAGGTAAATTCAGGTATATATATGTTTAATGAATTGGTTGGGTCAGCCTAGCATCTGTGTTGACTTAAGCCGGACGATTTGGTCATGGGTTGATGATGCTGGATTCAGCTAGGCTCAGGTCCAAACATTGAAAATAAAAGTAAATTTTGTTCATATCCAGCAGCAGTCATTATCCTTCTGAAATGCAAGTTCGATTCGGAATATATAGCTTCATAATTTCAGTTACAGACAGGTTTTTTTAGCGTGGAAAATTGCATAACAGAAATCCCTTTGTTCATTTTTGTCTCTTTGTGATGCGGTGTAAAGTTGATGTGCCAGTAGGTCCCGCAGGCCGCCCACCGGTCGACAAGCCGCCGCCCACCCACACAAACACCCACTAGTCCCTCAGAAAAAACACCCACGGCAATTAGAACTTCATTTCACAAAGAAATTCAAACAACAACAGACTTACATTTCAAATCGGCTATTTTGGGGGAAAAAATATACGGTACAAACGGAAGGTGAGGATTTATAGATAATTACTAATCAATTATTTGTTTAGTGAATACACAGTATTGCACTGAGTTATATAATTTGGTAAGCTGTTCCATATATTTACTTTTTCCATGATTGCAAAAGTATTTTGATTCGTTTGACTCTAAACATTTGCTTGTAATTTGAAATGCTATTGTTTCTGCTTCATGGTAGGTACAGTTTGCATGAAGGTTCTCTCCCGCGATGACCGCATGAGAGGTCATGTTGGGAGACGTCTCACTCGCTGAACTAAGTCGCCTCTCATGCCTGGAACGGCTGAGTGCCTCAGGGCTAACAACACTACAAACCCGGCATGACAGGGCTGACCTAATTGAAATTTTTAAAATACTGAACAATTTGTAGGATGTTGATCCAGACAACTTCTTCAAAAGGTCAGATGTAACACAAACAAAGAGCAATGGTTTCAAGCTCAACAAGCCACAACGTGGGAAGAAAAACAGGAGATGCTTTTTCACCCATAGTTATAAACCCATGGAATCGTTTACCCGCCGAAGTGATCAATGCCAAAACGCTGCTGAATTTCAAAATCCAACTCGACAGAATCATCAGGAAAAATGAGGGGGATTTTCGACCAGCCACCGCTTTCTGTCCTCGTCGAAGCCATTATAACGATAGTGGCCCTCAGGTAAATAATTTGGCAAGGCTTGGAAGTTCCTATGTTCGCCAGTGTACACAAGGATGACGACGAAAATAAACATTTGAGTTAGACTTGACATATTTCTGTGAGTGTTATGTGGCAGGTCAGCGTGGGAGATGGCCTCTGGGCGTGTCTTGTTAAGTCATGTTATACTATTCGGTCCAGTAAGTTTCATCCTCATGTTTATGCCACTGGAAGTTGTTTGGTTGTAATTTGTTGTATTTTACTCTGTAAGTGTACGCTGAGTCAGTCTCAGGGATGGGTTGTAGGTGTACGCTGAGTCAGTCTCAGGGATGGGTTGTAGGTGTACGCTGAGTCAGTCTCAGGGATGGGTTGTAGTGTGTGAGTCAGTCTCAGGGATGGGTTGTAGGTGTACGCTGAGTCAGTCTCAGGGATGGGTTGTAGGTGTACGCTGAGTCAGTCTCAGGGATGGGTTGTAGGTGTACGCTGAGTCAGTCTCAGGTGACGCTGAGTCAGTCTCAGGGATGGGTTGTAGGTGTACGCTGAGTCAGTCTCAGGGATGGTTGTAGGTGTACGCTGAGTCAGTCTCAGGGATGGGTTGAGGTGTACGCTGAGTCAGTCTCAGGGATGGGTTGTAGGTGTACGCTGAGTCAGTCTCAGGGATGGGTTGTAGGTGTACGCTGAGTCAGTCTCAGGGATGGGTTGTAGGTGTACGCTGAGTCAGTCTCAGGGATGGGTTGTAGGTGTACGCTGAGTCAGTCTCAGGGATGGGTTGTAGGTGTACGCTGAGTCAGTCTCAGGGATGGGTTGTAGGTGTACGCTGAGTCAGTCTCAGGGATGGGTTGTAGGTGTACGCTGAGTCAGTCTCAGGGATGGGTTGTAGGTGTACGCTGAGTCAGTCTCAGGGATGGGTTGTAGGTGTACGCTGAGTCAGTCTCAGGGATGGGTTGTAGGTGTACGCTGAGTCAGTCTCAGGGATGGGTTGTAGGTGTACGCTGAGTCAGTCTCAGGGATGGGTTGGGGTGTTGTTAACAGTTTATTCAGGAGCCGGTCCAGTGTATTTTCAATGTCAGCTATGAGTTTGGAGACGAAATCTTCATTTAGGTGAGAGTTCTCTGCATGCTACATGTTTCACATTATTGAATGGTTCATTCCTTTGTCTTATATTTTCTACATAATTCCTAGAAAAGACTAATTAACCAGTTACTACATCATGGATAATTAATATAGGTAAGAAATTATATTTAACACAAATGATAGTTATGTTTAACAGAGATATACAATAATACATGAAACAAATTGATGTTTATAAAAAAATATTAGTCACAAGGGGGGTAGAAATAGCCTAAGCTACTCTATCCCTTTGAGATGTATTTCTTTCTTGTCTCAATAAACATACTTGAACTTGATTAGTCACAAATGATAATATAGTAGTAGTAGTAGTAGTAGTAGTAAGCATCCATCACTCTGAGGAGACTCTGGAGTTGTGCTGTGGTTGTCGGTGTGGAGTGGCCACTCAGGGCACCAAGCCAGGGTAGGTTGATACGGGTCCCCAAGGTTGATAATATAGTTATTAGGAATTTGTCAACGAAATAAAATAACAAACATATATAAGAGCCCGTCCTCTTGTTTAGGTAGTACGATGAGGACCATCGTACATATATTGATGTACAAGGCAATTAGAAAGTAGAAATCGGTACTATTGTATTTGGACAAACCGGAAAAGTTTTAGTAATGATGTTGCAAAGGAAACTTAACCTAACCTTCCTAGACCTAATACAAGGTATCTGAGACCTAATATAGTACATATATATATGCTATATAGGCCTATGAATATTTGTTAGGTTTTTAGCTTTAACTTTTTGTTTACTAATTTTATGTGAATAGAATCAAATTCTAATATGTTATTGTGCATTACGTATATAAATGTACGATGATCCACATAGTTACAAAATGTATGTAAACAGGAGAAAGGGTTGAGCCACACATACATGTAGCCTAACCCTTGCACATATTGCCACAGGACACACTGGGAGACACTGACAGCACTGGAGGCCGGGTGGTGGTCGTCGGGACCAGCCGCAGGCCAGGGAGGTGGACACCGTCAGGGAGGAGGTGGAGGAAGTGCACTTGAAGTAGTCGCTGTAGAAGACAGCAGTAAACAGTTATTTAGAGCGGAGGAAGGATCGCGCCGGATTACAGCAAGTTTGTAAATAATGACTTGTGTCTCAGTGGAGATTGGCTGGTTAAGAATCAAGAAGTTACGAATTGCTTAACTGTTGAGCAAGCCACTAATGGGCGAGGTCTCTGTAGTCAGACTCCTCGAGGGTGAAGAAGTCGTCCAGCTTCCAGTGGAGGGTCTGGAAAGTGGGTCGACTGTTTGGGTCGTTGGCCCAGCACTCCAGCATGATGTTGTAGAGCAAGTGTGGGCAGGTCTTGGGTTGGGGCATCCTGTACCCCTGCTGTACCTGCTGTACCACCTCTATGTTTGTCATACCTGCAGGGAACACACCCAACTCAGTGTTCACTCTCACGTACGTAATGATTCTGTTTAGCTCATCTTGAATAGTCATGCTATGTGTGCTTATAAAGCAGCCTTGAAGCAGAACACTTCTGCTCCAAGGTTGCCTGGAAACCACCAAAAATAGTGGACGTGGTGTGTGTCGACAACCAGATATACATAATGTTGCGCCCCTGTACGGTGATCATGATGCAATAATGTTCAACCCTTCACTCATCCAAATAAATGCAATCTCACATTAACAAAATATCCTCCTGAGACATCACTTAACACTGTTTTGAAACACTCCAAATTTGTAGTGCAATAAGCGTAATTATAATCACTTAATTTACCTAATATTATAAAACAAGCTGATTGTAATACTAACAGAAATTTAATTTTATCTATAGGGTGACAATTTGTGTCGCAGTGTTGTGAGTAAAGGCAGACCTGGGTAAGGAGTGGCGCCGAAGGTGGCGATCTCCATCAGGAGGACACCGAAGGACCAGACGTCAGACTTGGTGGTGAACCTACTGAAGTTGAGGGCCTCCGGCGCCGTCCACTTGATGGGGAACCTCGCCCCTTCACTCGCGTTGTACTCGTCCTCCTGAGGGTGAGCTAATGTTTAGGGCCAGTATGGATGGAGTCGTGGCTCCATCTTCAACACCAACTGTCAAAGAGCCTTTAGTGGCTGACCGATTATTAAGGAGAATGACAGAGTGTAAGAGAGGTAAGTCACAGAGGGAGACTGACTCAGCAAGGGGCCAGTCATAGGGCCCATGGTGACTGGTCCCAGTCACCACGGGCCCTATGACTGGTCCCAGTCACCACGGGCCCTATGACTGGTCCCAGTCACCACGGGCCCTATGACTGGTCCCAGTCACCACGGGCCCTATGACTGGTCCCAGTCACCACGGGCCCTATGACTGGTCCCAACCAGTCAGAGGGCCCGTGGTGACTGGGGCCGGTCAAAAGGCCCGTGGTGACTGGGACCAGTCATAGGGCCCATACAGTATTGTTTACGATTTATGTAAATAACCTCTCAGAAAAAAGTCTTTTAAATGCCGATATATGTAGATAATATCAAGTTGATGAGTAGAGGAAGAGGGGTGATTAAATGGAATATGGATTTAGGAGGACTTAATTGAGATACAAGATCTGCCTAATAAGTATCTGTTCGAAATCAACTCTAACAAATGCAATGTAATGAAGATAGGAGCAATAGAAAGCAGACCATTTGGACAGTATACTGATAGGTAAATCATTGGGACAGTATAACCTGATGGGTAGACCATTGGGACAGTATAACCTGATGGGTAGACCATTGGGACAGTATAACCTGATGGGTAGACCATTGGGACAGTATAACCTGATGGGTAGACCATTGGGACAGTATAACCTGATGGGTAGACCATTGGGACAGTATAACCTGATGGGTAGACCATTGGGACAATGTATCCGGAAGGGTAGACCATTGGGACAGTATACCTTCAAGAGAAGACCAGAGCAGTATAGCCTGAAGCAAGGCAGCACCCAACAGGAAGCATGGTAAACTACCCATGGAAGGACACAGCACCAAGTCTGTCACAAGAAGCACATATAACAAGATAACATGAGTAGTTCATGTGAAACTGGGAAATTTAAGAACAGTTTACTGTATGAGGAGCCTGGACAAGGAGTGAATCAGAACATTATGCACAACATACTTAAGACAGTTATTTAATTGATATAATAAATAAGAGATCTAAGGAGCATTAGGAAACGGAAACACAACGCAAGAGAGAAGAAAAAGACATGTGCACTACATACAAGGTAATTAGATACATACACAGTGGACACAGCCAAGTTGTAGTATGGGCAGACATAGTTGGAAGCACAAATGAGAAACGGGGGGGAGAGGGGGTTCGTCTAAGTATTACTTCTGTGTGTAAGTAATAAACAAGTGAAGTGAGCCAGAGGGATGACTACATTCACAGCTTAAAATGTAAACATTGTTCCTGACGAATTGTAAATTATTTAATCAGACAACCTATAGCTAGGAGGCCGGGCTCAAGAACTAGAGCTCACTAGCAGACGGCACAGTTCATCACAGTTCTCACCAGTACGAGTCGTGAGAGGCCGAAGTCTGCGACCTTGACAGTGTTGTTGTTGCCGACGAGGACGTTCCTGGCGGCGAGATCCCGGTGGATGAAGTTAAGGTTCTCCAGGTACTCCATCCCCGAGGCCACCTGGGCACCCATGTACACCTGCTCCGGCAAGGGCAGCCGACGACCTGACGACACAACCACTTGGGCGGATGGAGTACTTGGGGACATAACGAGGGTTGTGGTGATGGGTAAGGGGTAGGGGAGTCGCTGAGGAACGTCTCCCTGGGACTAGACACCTCGCTTGGTAGGGCGGCGGTGGCCGAGGGCTGACCCCCTACTTCACCAACCAGTATTACAGCCTGGCGCTGACATGAGTACTTTTCACCCGCTCACCCAACACGACGTGTGAGTGATAAGTTTTAATAACCAAAACATGGTAAGTAATTCTGCCTTTCGTGAGCTACCGGCCATTAACTTTTAAATAATGAAGTAGAATGAGTGGTGCGTCCAGAGTATTAGTGATGAAATTTAAAGTTGTTGAAGGGAGCTTGACTCACATTAAGGGTCTTAGATTTCTGTTTAAAATTCTTAACAAATTGTAAATGCAAAATTGTGGTATTTACTCTAAGCACGTTATATTTTATTGAGAGAGAAAATACCTCTGAGATAGTCTAGGAGAGAGCCATTCCTCATGAGCTCGGTGATGATAAGGATGGGCTCCTCCTGGGTACAGACGGCGTACAACTGCAGCAGTTTGGGGTGACGAAGGCTCTTCAATACCTGTGCTTCCTTCAGGAAGTCATGCGGGTTCATCTTTCCTGAGGGGGAAGGGTATTCCATGTTACTGCCAGTACGAATACCTGCGACATGTCTATTTTAAGAACGGGGAATTTGGTAAGAGGAATAAGATTATCTTTCCCCGGCTGCTATGTGAAAATTATACTTTGTGAGTCGGATCATGCAATGGACAGTTCTCTGACAGTTCCCTGCTTAATATTTGTCGTGTAGCATAAGAGGAGGATCTCATCTATGGGTTTGGCCATCTTGCCACATACCTGGGTTACGAGAGGCACACATGCCCTCCATAACGCGTTACATCTGTCACAATATACCACAATTTACCACACACTTCCCATTTTCACAAGGACAACAATACATGGCCCACCCTGGCTGGAACTCACTAGACATGGCCCACCCTGGCTGGAACTCGCTAGACATGGCGCACCCTGGCTGGAACTCGCTAGACATGGCCCACCCTGGCTGGAACTCGCTAGACATGGCCCACCGTGGCTGGAACTCGCTAGACATGGCCTAATAAGCAAGAACTCACCCTGCTTAAAGGTCTTGACAGCGACAGGGACGGTCTTGTTCCAGAGGCCCTCGTACACTTCGCCGAACTGACCGGAGCCGAGGCGGCGGACCAGCTGGATCTGATCCCGGGGGATCTCCCAGGAGTCGCGGGTGTTGTATGACAAGCCTCCCGTCGCAGGCTTCTCCGTCTGCAACACCAACGTGTATCAACTTTCACGGGAAACTCTGCTGAACTGAAAATTTGTTCAGTTATGGTATAATGGTGGTTCAACACACGCAGGAATGGTCAACGAGCTGCTGAAGGCCGGTAATAATTGCTCGGGGCTCTCTCACACATCTTCGTCATTCTTTGCTCGCCAAAGGAAGAGAAGATAACGGAATAGAAGAATATAATCTCCAGTTTAAGTAATAAATAGTATACCATGTCAGCAATATATCTTGTATAAATATTGTTGCGTTTTCTACAGCTTTAGAGCATTTACATTCTAGAGGGACTTGAATAATGCCGTCATAAATGGTGACGCCACCATTCAAACATCAGGGTGTAAGCATTGATTCTGGCACATTATGGTGTCGTTGTATTGGGCATTACCATGCACCGACAGACATGTAAAATATGGTTCAGTTACTTCACACTGTCAATAAAGCACACGGGACGGTTGTTATCCACATAGTACAGCGCCCTATGAGTATATCCACATATTGCAGCACTCTATAACTCATATGCACTCCTCGAACCTAAAACTAACCTTAAGATTATTTGTCAAAGTATTCAGTTGTTATATTAAATGGCGCAGAGAATAGTGCAATATCTGTAAGAGTTATCCCTTTATATACATACGTTTTTTTTGGTACTAACAAGATGAATCCATTTTCTGTTTTTAACATTACCCTCCTTAAATTTTTATAATAATATTAATTTTATTCACAAGAAGGTACAATGGGTTGGTGAGATTACATAAGAAAGATTCTTTTTTACATTCTTGCAACTCGCATAACGTTTCGGGCAGGTCCTTAATAATCTAACATATCAGGTAAGATGAAAAGGTACATTGTAGCAAAATTTTATATCAATATACAACTATAATATAAATTGAAAGGTGATTACACTGGTGAAGATATATGTCTTAAGTACTAATATTGGAGAAGTAGGTAGTACAAGATACAGTGTGAGTTTGAAACACAAGGTTGGAAATTATGAGGATGAAATTAGGTACTTTTTGGTTTAACTTTTGAATAAGGCAAAGGTTGGACAATTTTTTAATTCATCAGGGAGTGAGTTCCAAAGATTGGGCCCTTTTATTTACATGGAGTTGTAAATAAAGATTTAGTCTGACTGGGGATATCAAAGAGATATTTAGTTCTGGTGTGGTGTTCATGGGTTATATTACATCTATCAAGGAAAAGTTTCAGATCAAGATTAGAATTTAGGAACAGAGTTTTATACATGTAGATAGAACATGCGAATGTGTGGAGTGAATGTATGTTTAGCATGTTAAGGGACTTAAACAGAGGGGCTGTGTGTTGTCTGAAGACAGAGTTTGTTATAGTTCTGATTTATGATAGTGATTTACCGACAGAGGCGACTAGTTTATTGTGCACCCCATACTCGTCCTGTGAGCGGAGGGGCAAAAGGATCAGAAGGCACAAAAGGTCGTAACATTAACCAGACTCCAGTTAATACTTGACAGTGACTGTTACATAGTCACAGTGACTGTTATGCGTACACCATATATTTAATTATATTGACAGTCGTAATAAGCGAACATTGATTTAACTGCCAGTTATGTATAACACTAATATTAAACACCTGAGCTAAGTCATTTATGTGGTACGGCAACCGCCTCACCTCAGATAATACTACACATATTTCATCTATCTTCTAGAAGCAAAATGTGGATAGGGTGAAAGAATTTCAGGTATTTTATCAATAGCAATAGTGTTGCAGTGCTGCGCTTTGCTACTTATTATATATGTATTACAATAGAAAAATACCAAGACCATGGACAAGTATTTCGAGATTGTTAATATACAAACCTCACTCCATAAGACATCACTCTGACAGTTGGCGGTCTACTGAAGACATCACAACAACTTGACAGTTGACAGTTTGGTAGACATGACAACATGTGACAGTGGAGAGTGTGGCAGAGAGTGAGACGAGGAGGTGGTGGGTGAAGTGACTGACCTGGACGCAAGGTGTGTCAAGCCTGGTGCAGAGGCCGGCGGCGTCGGCGGTGTAGAAGGCGACCAGGTCGTGCAGGGAAGGGAAGGTGTCGCGTCTCCTGATGAAGTAGCCCCCGTGGTCCCTGGGCCGGATCCTGTAGTGCCACACCTTCCTCCCGTCCCGCACTGACACCAACACCACAATAATAATAATAGCAATAATAATGATAATAATGCTTGTCTGTGAATATGTGGAACTTGGGAACACTAATGTGGAATTTTGGCATACTAATGGCAGCACGTGATACTGATGGTGGTGGTGGGTGTGGTACTATGAGGCAGAGATAGTACTAGTAGTAGTAGTAGTAGTAGGGAGGTAGGGAAACGGGTGATGGAGGTACTGGAGTGTCATACATGACCTCTGGGGCTTTAAAAATTTTGCCATAACAATAACATCTGCCACACTCTCGTCAGAAGTAATTATAAAAAAGCATATATTGACTGGCCGGATCTGTTAGGATCTTGGAGACTTGGTGACCTAATCTAACCATTGTCTAGACAAGAGAGCGTCTTTCACACCCTTGTCATGTTTGTCTGTCATATGGTAACACTGCTGCCATGACGTATGACAAACGTTCCCAATCTGTGTTTTAGAGGTGAGAGGAGCCGCCGGGCCTGGTCACTTGTGTGAGCTACTAAAGCCATATGATACACACACAGACTGCTGCTTGACAACAAGTACTGCGGCGTAACTAATAAAACGATAAAGAGACCCCGTTTGACCTGGGCTAAATCACTTCACTCTATTACTCAACGATGAACTCAACGACCTAGAAGTCATCTGGCCAAGGATTTAGCCAACAGCTAGAATGACTTCTCAACCAAAGAGTGGACATGGCGGAGGTAGACCTGGGTTCGACGGACCTGACTGGAGTGGAAGTGACTCACCTGAGAGAGAGAATTCATTTCTTCTGGACTCTGAGTTACGGATGAGGAAAGCTCCGTGTTCGTTGAGGCCTGACAAGAGAGACCGCTCGCACTCGCCTCTCTTGATGTCCCCGAAGTACCACCTGCAATATCACTTATTATATTGTACATCACAAAATAACGCATGTAGCACAATACATCATACAATATAGCACAACACATTCTACCAAACGTTGTAAAACAACATGACAATCATGTGTTAAACCCCGAGTGTGAGGTGTGAGACAGAGAGGAATGTAGGGTGTGTCTAAAACACTCATGATGCATGCGGATCCTCCATCATGTGTGTGAGGAGCCCTCCTGACATATGTAAGTAAATAAATAATCCACCGCACCTGTGAGGTCCACGCTGACTGTGCCACATGTAAGTTTACAAAGTGTTCTTTGGTCAGAGGACAGGTTGCCTCTCCACCTGCGTCCTCAGGGACCACTGAGGTAATCACTTCAAAACCGCTACGTAATTAGTGATATTAACTACTCCCCATCCATGGTTAGGTTAGATTAAGGTTATTATTATGCTAGGTCACATTTAGTTAGATTAGGTTTAATTATGTCAAAACAGTTTCATATTTTACATGTTTAAGAATAATAAATTCGAAAGTTACTTGAGTGTCACCTAGAATATCGTTTACAGAAAACCAAATTCTTCAGATCGTTTAAAAGAAAACGAGCTAAGCATAGGCTGATTATATCATAAACAAACTATTTATAATACAATACAGGTATAACTTGAAAAAAAACATTCTCTGTTTAGGACAAAGGTTTACTTGTCAGTTTACAAGCAGACTATTATTGGAATCTTTCAGACCATCACAAATATCTAGATAACTATCCAAGTGATGTGAGACTGGGTTTAGTGTCTGGCTGTATGGATGTAATCACTTTACTTTGAGGAGAGGATACAGTCCCTGAGAAGAGTAGGAGAAGTATGAGGGAGACTGTAAGGAGGGGGGAGGGGTACTCACGGCTCGGCGTCGATACTCTGTAGTCTGGCGACGTAGGTGGCTGGGATGTAACCCTCGAGGCCGGTCACGTGACTCCTGGCTAGCCACCAGTCAGCGGACACCTTCTCCAGCACCTGTACCAACACAAGCAATACCTGCATTACCACATTGGTCTGTTGATGTAACCTGACGCGTGTGTCTGGTCTGACTCTCATGTGCGTCCTCTCACTCGCGTGCATCACGCAGCGCACTGGTGAGCACAATCTGGTCACAGCGTTTGGGCAACCTTTCCTTTCATCTGATACCTCTGTACAGGTAAACAGGTACCTGAGAGTTAGCCAACTTGTGGGTTGTATCGTGGGGAATGTCAATAGTTGGTGGTCCCCCAACCCGTCCTCTTAAAAAGAACGTCACTTTTGGCTGGTATGCGCGATATGGCTAAATTTGGACGTAATTTGAAATGAAATCGACTCACAAAAGTGACGTTCTGTTCCGTTTTCTATTTGAGTCGTCCGCCTTACGCGCAGAGGTTATAAGAGGACACTTTAAATTAACGTTTTTCATAACGTTTTGAAACTTTATGAGAATTTCCTGCCCACCTAACCTATCAGAGGACCCTTAACTTACTGTTGTTGAAAAAAGAAATCCCAAATTTATTTTAATTTTTTTTCATTTTCAAATTACGTCCAAATTCGGCCATACTGGCAAACGGCCAAAAGCGACGTTCTTTTTAAGAGGACAGGTTGCAACCCAACCTGTCCTCTTAAAAAGAACGTCGCTTTTGGCCGTTTGCCAGTATGGCCGAATTTGACGTAATTTGAAAATGAAAAAAAATTAAAATAAATTTGGGATTTCTTTTTTCAACAACAGTAAGTTAAGGGTCCTCTGATAGGTTAGGTGGGCAGGAAATTCTCATAAAGTTTCAAAACGTTATGAAAAACGTTAATTTAAAGTGTCCTCTTATAACCTCTGCGCGTAAGGCGGACGACTCAAATAGAAAACGGAACAGAACGTCACTTTTGTGAGTCGATTTCATTTCAAATTACGTCCAAATTTAGCCATATCGCGCATACCAGCCAAAAGTGACGTTCTTTTAAGAGGACGGGTTGCACAACCCGTCCTCTTAAAAAGAACGTCACTTTTGGCTGGTATGCGCGATATGGCTAAATTTGGACGTAATTTGAAATGAAATCGACTCACAAAAGTGACGTTCTGTTCCGTTTTCTATTTGAGTCGTCCGCCTTACGCGCAGAGGTTATAAGAGGACACTTTAAATTAACGTTTTTCATAACGTTTTGAAACTTTATGAGAATTTCCTGCCCACCTAACCTATCAGAGGACCCTTAACTTACTGTTGTTGAAAAAAGAAATCCCAAATTTATTTTAATTTTTTTTTCATTTTCAAATTACGTCCAAATTCGGCCATACTGGCAAACGGCCAAAAGCGACGTTCTTTTTAAGAGGACAGGTTGGGCTCAGTGCCGCCTTCTAAGTAATATTGGCATCTATAGCGACCCTGCAGTTTTTATGGTCTGAAATCAGGGAGTGTTTTCCATAGAGTTTTCAGATGTTTTTCCGTATTTTGTATTTTTTTTTGTAAGAGAGAGAGAGACGCGGGGGTGGGAGGGGAGAGAGACGGGTGGAAAGGGGGAGAGGGAGAGGAGAATGCAGGAGATAGGAGGATATTGGAGGAGAAAGGTGGAAAGGATGGAAGAGGAGTGGGGAAGAGGAAGAGAAATGAGAGAGCAGGAAGAGTGGGAGAGATGAGGAAGATGAGAAAAGAGGGGGAGTGGGAGAAATACCCGGACACCCCATTTAGTGTGTAATGAAGAGCAGGGTAGCGGCGCACTGCTGTATGTACCCAAGTTTGTTAATAAAATAATGTGACATTGGGAGCGAGGGGGAATACTGGCTTACCTCAAGATGCTCGTGCTTCCTGAAGGCAAGGTCCTTGTCGGTGCGTCCCTGGTAGTCGTGTAGGGCCACCACCATCCTGCCGGTGGCCAGGCCGCAGGCGCTCGAGCACCCAGGGGAGCCAGACACCGTGTGGCTACACCATGCCGTCGGACAATGACAAATAATATTAACATTCATGACTGAAGCATTGTGTACCGTTATAGTCAGTTATCGTTACTACAGTCAAGGTGTACTATGATACACTTTGTTCTAATAGGTGTACATGTACACCGCCAGTAAATGACAGAGTAAACACACCGCCATGTATCTAAACCTGGAGCTTTTCCACTTAGTAAACTGAACCGCATTAAATTTATCAATAGCCAACACATTTGCCCAGACATGCTTCCTGGTGGGGCCCGCACTAGTTACTTTCTCCTGCACTAAAACCTGGAGGCAGAGATGACCTTCCTGGACAAGATGACTTACCTGAAGGTGGAGGGAACCTCCTAGCATGTAGAGATGCCTCACTTTCCTGCAGGCGGTGAGGAACAAGCACTAATGAAGAGTCGACTTCACTTAAATCTTTAATCTTTCTGTGAGGACCTACCTGAAAGCGAGGAGGAGTAGGCGAGTTCTTGAGGAAGAGCGGATCTACCTGGTTGCGGAGAGTCCCTAACTAATTAGGAGAAAAGATCTTCCTTTAAGCAGAAATGATCTACCTGATAACAAAATGAGACTGCTACAGAGCAGAAAGACCAACTAGAAAGTGGAGAGAACATATCTGGAAGCGTCGAGGACCTACTTAGAGGAGATGACGGTGTCCTCAGTGGTCCTCGAGCAATTGGCTGTGAGGTCCTGGACGACAGAAATGATGTCATCAGCCTGCCTTGAGGGAATGGGAATGGAAGCGTCCATATTGTGGACGGTGAGGTCGTCGGTGTTGTGAGGCCCCGGGTCCGCTGCTTGGGTAGTGACTGGCTCCTGTCCCGCCGCGCTCCTCTGGTTGTGACCGCCACCTGCCACCACCACGTTAAACTACTGTGTAATTATTGCCAGGGAGGAAAATAATATGAATAATGAACTCATACATATTTTGCATATTAAAAACTTTATTATTTAATTGACAGCCTAGTACAAGTCTGAGGGCCTTATTTTGTATTTGTTCCAGTCTGTCAATAATTTTTATATAATATAGGACTAAGGCTAGTGCATGATAGTATATCAAACACCTTACGTGAGCTAAATATATAAGTTTAACCATTTTAATATTTACACCGTATTGAGGACTATTCCCTACAGTTATTAAGTCTCTCGATTATCTTCATGTTATTAATGCATTTTTCAATCACATTTAAGGAAATAAAAGACTGAGGTATCAGAACAATTCAGAGCGATATAGTTAATTTGTCTGTTGAACATCTTAATTTGTCTTAGTAGAGTACAAGACTAGGCTGCCACAAGCAGAGTGTGTGCAATTTGAGATTGTTTACCTCCCATGATGGGTTTCGGTATGTGGACCTGCAAGGATATCCTCTGCCCAGCTAACACTAATATTTTTGGGACGTTGGGATTGATGATTTATAAGGCATTTATTAATACATTGAACAAGGCAGGGTTAAGACTCCTCCTTGAGGAGTGTCTATAGTTGCCCATAGTTCAGTACCACTTTCATGACCTTGAAAGAGTATCGAGGACCTCCAGATGGCAAGACAGCCTAATGTCTATTGTAGCTATTAACCACCTATATCCATTTAGATAATTTATACGATATAATTTATCTATTAGCAATATTAAAGGTATTTTTCAGGTCAATAAATATTTGTACCTTTCATCTCTATGGGCAGTGTGAAAGGTTAGGATACAATTATACATATTGTTATATGTATAAAAAAAAAACATTGATATCGGTGACATTGCTCTTTAATTCTCTGTAATAATCTTTTACGCGTCATTTTGTCAAAAGTTTTACAGATGCAACCGATTATTGAGACGGGAGGACACACATGAGGTTAGTAAGGTTGAGGTACTAGTGGAGATGGTGGTGGAGGGGGACTGGTGGTGGAGGGGGACTGGTGGTGGAGGGAGACTGGTGGTGGAGGGAGACTGGTGGTGGAGGGAGACTGGTGGTGGAGAGAGACTGGAGGTGGAGAGAGACTGGTGGTGGAGGATGGAACTTACCTTGGGAGAGTCGACGAGACGCCGGCTCAGTCCCTCTCTCCAGTGGGCTCTCCTCCAACACCTCGCGGTCATCTCCTTTCATCTTCTTCCACAGCCAAGAGAAAGACATGGTGTGGCCGCGGATGGGGAGGTGCTGGCAGTGGTGTGGGCCAGCTGCAGCAGCCGAAGAAGTATTGAAAGTACTGGAGTCAAGGAGGGGAGCTGGCTACACTACCCACACCTCAACCACCATCATAGCTCCAGGTACACACCACGTCTTGGTCTACACTCTTGCTCTACTCTCAGCCACAGTATTTAGGATCATCAGGCTTCTAGTTCAACTTACATTTTTCAAGATAAAATTTAAAAATCACTTTCGAAGAAAACAGTAGCTTCCACGGGTCTGTAGCTTTCTCGTACGGTCAGTTTCAAATTCTTTTCTCCTTCAGAAGCTACCAGTAAGCCTTGTCAATGCCACCTGCAGTTTAGGACTCGCAAAGGTGACGATTTCTGGCGAGGTCTCGCTCTCGGGTCCGCTAAAGTCAGCCTCCTGTCAGGGCGAGGCGACTGACAGTAGGTGGGCGAGGCTCGCCGACTGTGACGTAGTCGCCACTTAACCTTATCAGCTCCGATAACGCTTAAGACGTTTTATCACGTTACTTACACGGAAGGGTGTGTGTTGTCCGTGGCTGGCGGTGTGTGTGTTGTCCGTGGCTGGTGGTGTTTGTTGTCCGTGGCTGGCGGTGTTTGTTGTCCGTGGCTGGTGGTGTTTGTTGTCCGTGGCTGGCGGTGTTTGATGTCCGTGGCTGGTGGTGTTTGTTGTCCGTGGCTAGAGATACAACCCTCAAAAGTTATCTAACTTCTAGGTAGGTATTTACTGCTAGATTAACAGAGGTGAAAGAAAACGCAGCCTACGTACGTCTCCTTCCTGAGCGGGATTCGAACCAAGGATCTTCCGGTTGTAAAGCGACCGCGCTAACTAGGAGGACAAGACCCCGGGTGATATCTTATGACAAGACTTACCTGTGAGTGAGGTGCGTGTTGATGGTGTGAGTGTGATAGGAGACCAGGGTGAGTGAGGTATGTCTGACTGAAGGAAGGTGACAAACATGTACAGATAACACTGATTAGATATGCTAGGGACGCTCCTATTTTGTCCTGGACTACTACCTAATAATAATAATAATCATATACAACAAAATAAGTCACAGTCATTGTGGACTGTTTAGGTAGAAGACATTTTTGTTGACACAAGATACGCCCAGAGCCAAGGTCTTCTACCACCACCACCACCACCACCATTACCAATATCACCACCACCACCACTATCACCACCACCACCACCACCATATCACTACCACCACCACCACTACCACTATCACCACCACTATCACATACTCATACTCCGCCCAAGTAAAACAGAAACAAGCAAGTTAAGTATGCAGTTTGTAAGCCTTGGATTGATGAGTAATTTAACTCTTACTCATTGTGTGATGAGGAGAGGACAGTGTGTGCTGCAGACATAGGAGTTTGAAATTAAATGTCTAATAACACATGTGACTTCCTTTTTGTCTCACAATCTAGGATCCCGGGTTCGATTATCTATCGGGACAGAAATGGTTGGGCACGTTTCTTTTCACCTAATGCTTATCTCAGTAAGTAGGCATCCGGGAGTTGGGCAACTATTGTAGGATTGCATCCCGGGGAGGTTAGAACCCATCCTATAGAGACCTCCATACAATCCTAAACTAATATTATATATATACATCATGTTATATATAACATGATGACACATACAAGACAACTAAAGCTGTAGGCTGCATGCAACAAACATGATATCGAATTAGACCTCGACATCTCAATCTTTATATTGTTAAAACCTTTACAGTGTCCAGATGCGGCTCCCATCTTCCTTCATTACTGCGACATTCTTAAGACCTGACTAACATCTATTTATACCTCTCATTCAGCTGTAGACACATCTTTAGTACCAACACAATCTATGGCGTTCACACTCCTCTCACTGTGGGTATAAGAACGTAAATATTTAGTTAATAGTTAATAATATGCCACGAAAGTCTTCTTGGATGACAATTTTCAGTGTAATTCCCAGTTTCGGGTCAGCTCGCCTACACATTTGAGGGTACACTACACTCTAAGTATAACCGGCTATTATAAACCATAGTTATGGAAACACCAGTAACATTGCCAATGAAGTTTGTGATTAACATAATAATAATAATTAATAATAATAATAGTAAGAAGAAAATAATAATAACAACAATAATAATAAACAACGTTATGTAGGTGTTATAATGGTTCAGCCAAAATGTATATCACCAATCATCGAAATATGTACATGAACACGAAGGCATAAAATCTTGACTTTTATATTGTATGTAGTCATAGAATATTACCTGTCTCTTATGTACTCTCCTGACCATGTATGACTAACCATCCTGAGAAATGAGAGTCCTGCATGAACTCATAGCTCTTGGTCACTCTCTGTAATCCTTCATATATATAGAATAGAGGCACATTGCTGTGTGTACCTAAGTTTCTTAATTCTCTATATATACTTTCGTAAATCATTCTACCTATATAAACCATTCTATCTACATAAATATATTACATAATATAATATATTTATATAGAACACATAATGACTACACTAGAAATAAATATATCTTTTGATATCTCCAGAGTCAAACTTAATCTGTGTAAACACTATGCAAATAAAGGGTGGTCTATGGAACTCTCACTCTAACGAATTGAAAAGCTGTCAAACTTTTGCCTCATTCAAAAATAAAACCAAAAAGTACCTAATTTCATCTTCATAGTTTCCTACCTAGTGCTTGAAACTCGCACTGTATCTAGTGTTACCCAATTCCTCAATGTATGTACCTATGCCACATAACTTTACCATTGTAGTCATTGCTGTTATCTTATATCATGTTATACACATAGTTTGCTACATTATATCTTGCAATAATCCTCAAATTATGCTAAAATGTACCTGTGGATAACCCTTAATTTACTTTAATGTACCTACTTCTTTTTATTTGTTTTATCAAATTTCTTATACAATATATTTTTTATAATCTATTACAATTTATTTTTTTTATTCTTACAATGTATTTTTTTTTATTCTTACAATGTATTTTTTTTATTCTTACAGTGTATTTTTGTACTTTCTTACAATGTATTTTTATACTTTCTTACAATGTATCTATACACATTTTTTTTAATTTTGCTAAAAATTACTTCTTAAAATTATATGTTAGATTAAGGGTTAGATTAAGGATCTGCCCGAAACGCTATGCATGCTTGTGGCTTTACAAGAATGCATAACTTCAATGCTCTCTCATAAACCCAATGTATCTTCTGGTATATATATATACAGTAGGTTGAGTAGTAAGGGATATATGAGAGGAGGAAGACTAGGAGGATCTTAGACAGCTTCCAGCGTACGGAACCTTGCAAACAATTTTGAATTTTAACAAATTCATACAAATTTTTGTGTTTGTTTTTGCTTTCCCGGGATCTTTGCAAGATGATTTCTCACCTTAGTGAGATGAGAGGAAGTTAGGAATAATGTGTGAGAGAAGAGAGGTAAGGGAAGAGTAGGGAGGGAGAGAGAGAGAGGAGAGAGAAGATAATAAAACGCAGTGAGGGAGGATGTTGCAGACCAGTTCCCCGTGCAATACGCACACCTCCCTCCCTCTACCACACTACTCCTCTCCCACTACACTCTCTCCACTCCTAGCCTTAACCCTCACACGTGCTTGTGGAAGGCTTGGATGGTATGAGTAAGAAGTGTATGAGCGAGAGTGAGTGTATAAGGTGGTGGTGAGGGAGAGATGAGAGCGTGCGGGGCGGCGCGCGTCACTTGTCAGGCCCGGGCGCCCTGGCTCCTGATTGGTCAGTTTTGACAAGCGTCGTTTACCCGCCATTTCTCTCGCCAGTCGATTATATACAGGTTACGGAGCCTCTGCCACCCAGCCATGTCTGACGACGAGACCAAACAGCCAGTGGAGGAGGTAAGAGGCTGGGAGGGTGTTGGAGGAGTGGTGGAGGCGGGTGTTGGAGAGGAGGAGTGGTGGAGGAGCGCCTCTCACCCTCCAACACCACCAACCACGCCAACACCAACCACTCAGGCACGCTCGGGCTATTTTTGAATTGTGGCAGCTTGCTCCTGGGGGCAATGATGATTACGCGTGGCTGGTTAATAAAGTGTTGGAGGAGGTGGTGGTGGAGGAGTAGTGTTGGAGAGGGTAGCGTGGGGCCGTGAGGGAGAGGGAGACAGGACCCGTACCTGCAGCCGGGCACGTCCATGCTCGTCAAGGTTCCCTCCTGGTGGTGGTGTCCAGGGTCAGGGTGAAGGGTGAGGGAGGAGGAAATGAGGGAGATGGTTGTGGTGAGGGAGATGGTGCCCCTCTGGGGGTGAGGGAGGTGAGGGCAGGGCATGCCATGGTCCTCCTCCCTCGTGGGGCCCAAGCTAACTTGACCTCAAGCATTACTGTTGCAGCAGTTGACATGTTGCATGAGGTGTTGCCACCGCCAGGATATGCACTACACCACTCTCCTTCATCAACTCCTGCCTATACCGAGGCTTGTGGCCACTTGATGCCAGTCCGGGGTTTGGGTAAAGCTTATTGTTACCTACACTATATCATTGGTCCTATTTTGTGTTTTCCTGCATCAAAGTAGCAGTATCTCGTGGGATGGGAATAAAATTATCCTCCCCGTGTGTACCACAAGTGTACCACAGCGGCGCCCTATGGTACCACACATGAATGCATCGCCAACGGCCCAGTACCCGTGTAGCGCACGCTCCCCAATGTGTTCGCAGTGTATTCCGTCCGTAATCGGGGGACAGCTCGTCGCAATTCTTGTAATTACAAGAATGCTATTATTATAGCATACTGGCTTACTCCTTTCTCCTGGTAATTACTTTATATTACATACATAAAATGAGATCTTTTAAATCCTGTACATATTTCATAACCGTTTTGTGCAGGGTATATGGCATGAGGATGCAATGTACATTACCATCTGAGAGTAGCTTGCATGGCCGGCTAGCTCTCCGGGACGCGTCGCCCCAGTTTCAGGAGAGGTTGCTCAATGTAAAGTGATAAATTGTTATGCTTTTCATTTATTCCACATACAGACCATGGCAAATTAAATGCTGCCGTATTTAAGCTATACCACATCTGTTAACAGGTCTTTTACAAATTACTATACCAAAAGCATAACAATCATACGAGAAAATTAATGAATGTGCACTTGTTATATAATGATTTACCAAGTGCAGCCAACATTAGTATATATACTGTATATCCTAATGTGAGAGTTCTATATGTGTACAAATGTTTTGAGTACTGTATATATATCATTTAAAGTAATGAAGGATCTAAAAAGTTACAAGCAGCATACAGTTTATTCAGTAACCTGAAAAGTGTGTATTACCATAATAATTTATGACGGTAATATGGTGAAGATATTCTGCATATAGTCAACTTTATTTACCTAAATTAAATTTAGTTTCTTGTTAAATGTCATGCAGGTCGGTGTTCAATCCCCAACTGTTTGTTTGTTTGTTTGTTTATTTATTTATTTATTTATTTATTTATACAAGAGTTCTTACATTCTTGTACAACCACTAGCATGCATAGTTTTTGGGCAAGTCCTTAACCCTAATTTTCCCTGGAATACGGCCCACCAAATCAAATAACAACCGGGTACCTGCTGGTACCTGGTTGTTAAACGATTCACGACACCCATTAACTGCTAGGTAGACAGATGCTACAGGTAATGATTAGTGCCAAGTAAATCCTCCCTGGCCAGGATACGAACCCAGGCCAAAGTGCGCGTGAAACTCCAGGCGAGTGTTACCAATTGCGCCACAGGGAATGTTCAAGTGATTGCACCATTCTTTTCCCCAACTCATCCCTAAATCCTACCCAAAAAGGCAACCTGGTTGTTGTTGAGATTCTTAATTTAATAAATTATGGCCACTCGATTCTTACTGTCCAAGAATTCGCCAAAAAACTTATTGTAGCGGTGATTGCTGCTTGACTTCCCACTCCACTCCCCACTCCACTCGTGCTTAACACTTCTAGACGTTGGTGAACATTAACACCCTCATTCAGTTTACTGTGAGTATAATGATTACATTCACACATTAATAAAATATGTCTCTCCAAAGTTTTAAATTCTTAATATTTATTGCAAGGTTGTAACTACATTTTCATAACTTAATCACTTGCTATACAGTATTCACTCGGCATACAGAATTGGTAATCCTAATGTTGCCATAAACAAAATTCAATACTATCAGACATCCTCTGGCTTATGTAATATGCTTGCCCGAGACTTAATGGGTGACTTTGGTCGGATTCTAGATGTGGAGGGAGTCAATTTGAAGGGAAGTGGACAATTATTATTAACTTAATAATTGCCCATATTCATCATGTAGGAATTGTAGACCTGGTTATAAACCAATTGGCAGGTCATGTTAAAGGGAAAACTAGTAAGGTAAGATGAGATACAACAGGGAAAGCTCTTGAGCCTGCAAATCATTATTAATTGTATAAATTACTGCAGAATGCTCCTGAATTGTGTTCATTAGTACAGTATTCCATTTTAAACTTAATTTAACTTAAGCTATCAGTAACCATTACAGAGGTCTAGGTATTATGTACCTAAATGTTCTACAGATTGAATTACAATTAATAATTTTGCAGTCCCAGTGGTAATGTGCTTGCCTGGCATTTCGTGAGAGCTTTGGCCTGGGTTCGTATCCTGGCCGGGGAGGATTTACTTGGCGCCAATCCTTAACTGTAACTTCTTCAGCCAGCAGTGAATGGGTACCTGGTTGTTAAACGATTTGGCAGGTCATTTTTCAAGAAAAATTAGGAATAAGGATATGCCTGAAATGCTGTGTACACTAGTGGCTGTATAAGAATGTAAGAGCTCTTGTATGTACAGTATTAAAGAAATACATTGGCAAGTGCCCAGCATACAGATATATCACTAAAAACAATACATTTAAACCTAAAGTCTTGGCATGGCACGTGACCAAAGAATAACACTCGGTATAATGACGTGAGTGTAATGTGTATAAACATATATAGTCTATGCTTACTAATTTGAATCACATGGGGACGACCCCTATTCGAGTCAGACGAAGATTTTAATTAGCCAAATTTCTTATGATGTACTGTATGTCCAGTAACATTCTCTTTTTTTTTACTACAACCCACATAACTTGTATTTTCACATACAATAAACATAAATTTTCAAGTTTAAGGAAGGATCTTCAGAAGATAAATTAAAATGAAAACAGAAATTTCAGTTTATAATAACAATAATTAATTTTGTTGGGACAGGAAGCCAGAGTGTATTCATACACTGACTTTTATCGACGTCAATCCCAAGTCGAATTACTTACCCCGCCCAGGATGCAACCCCACAAGAAGCTGACTAATTCCCGAGTACCTATTGAGTGCTAGGTGAAAGGAAATGTGCCCAACCATTTATGTCCCACCCGGGATTCGAACCTGGAATTCTTGATTGTGTTCTTGATAATGAACCTATAATGGGTTGGGTTCTTGATAATGAATAATTCTAGATAATGTCTGCTTGATTGATGAAGGACTTCATATCTGTTGATTTACCTAAACTAATCTAATTGCAATCCTTCCTGTTGCAGTTCTTAGTTCTTCACTGCAGTTTGTCATACTAACTCTGCTTTGCAAACCATTTACACAGCTATGTCTAACTACACACGCACATTTCAAGGTTTTTCTGTTAGTGCTTGCTCCCTCATTATTGTTTACGTATTACAAGTATTCTTTAAGTTTCCTGTTATCATATGCAGTACTTGTGCCTTCTCCTCAATCATGGACAGCACTCCTAGTGGAATGACCATATTCACACGGTTCAGTAACTTTTAGCTTATCTTTAATTGATAGTGTAAGTTTGTTCCTTTTAACGACCCCCCCCCCCCCATCCCTCCCAATGTTGATTACTGCTGCTTTCAGTGTTAGAGAAGAATTCTTGTTTTTTTATATACAGTACTAAACTTTATTATAATAAAGAAATTTTCAGTACTATAGTGTAATACTATGTATGCTCATGTTAAGAGAGAACACAAAGGTAGGTAAGTTTACTGGGCCAGGATGGGTTAGTTCAGGGCATGATTCATAGGCTGCCAGATAGAAAAATTAACCCCCCCTTTTTTTAGCAGGGAAATACACTATACAGCCTGTATGTGTGTTGTTTTAACACTCTACTATTATTTGTTTAAATAAAGATATACTATATCTAATATTAATACATTCTTTTAATGTAATTTGTGTTATGAACTAGGGCTACCTCATTTTGTTCATTAACCCGACAACAATGCCCAGTATGTAATATTAAAATACCTCTACCACAATTCAACAGATGGGTTGTTTCCATTAAAAATGTGATGTACAGTATTAGGCAAGAGGACATGTATTATGGCAAACACATGCATGTTGTACCTACTGTAGATAAACTTAGACCTATGTCTAATTTTTTTTATTTTCAATGTTAGGTATAATTTTTATTTACATTTTGTTAGTGAAGTAGAGTATTATGTATTATCAACAAAATACAATATATTCTGGTTAGTGCCAACATGTCAGACTGGCTGTTCACTTTGCCATTTACTCCTTTCAGACAACAGATGGTGAAAAGAAAAAAGATGAGGAAGTTAAGGAGAAGGAGGAGGAGGAGGGTGAAGAGGAGCGGCAGGAACCTAAAACTAAAGATAAAGAGGACAAGTTAGATGAAAAGGAGGAGGAAGAAACAAAAGAAGAAAAAGCAAATGAGGAGGAATCAATGAAAGAAGAGGAAGATAATGAAGAGGAGGATGAAGAGGATGAAGAAGAGGACGAAGTGGAGAGAAAACCCCAAAAAGAGGAAGTAACCACAACACCCAAAAAAGAAAAAGATAGTGAGTTATAATTTTTCCTTCATTACAATTTTTTTTTTGGTAGACCTATTGCATAAAATTTGGGGATTGTATGTAACAATTTGGAAAACATTTCACTCGCATCATCACCCCTTTCTTTTCACTTTTGTCAATTTCAGAGCCTTTGGTATGCACAGAAATTTGAGTCTTGTTCTTAACCCTTCTGCTGCTCAGGGCTTAATGGTCTTCAACACTGCCAGGTGCAAAAAAAAAAAAAAAAAAAAAAAAAAAAAAAAAAAATCAACTTATAAAAGTGTTCATTTGTGTTCCCAAAGCATAGGGAAATTTTTTATTGTATTTTCTAATGATGTAAATGAGCCGAGACCTTTGCCGATGACTTCATCAAACATGATCACTCGAGTGTGGCGCATCTCCGAGGCGTCGCACGATGCATTCAAGCCACCCGAATTGACGCGAATTTATTTTCGCGGCATTATTTACAGTATCTATGGCATCTTATTTAAAATCTTATTTAACATGGTGTTCTGTAGATTTTAAGGCAACGAGATTAGGTCATTTATTATGCACCTCATATCCATCTCAATGGGAGGTAGTGGAAAAGCTTTCAGCACATAATTGGCTCAGGAACCGGATCCTAAAATTCATGTAGCTAAGCAAATTAGTCTTGACAAGCTAGTTGAAGCTTTTAGTGAATTATTACATCAAAAATTTTTGCGAGAACTCGACCAGCAATAAGGTTGTATGCATTTTTTTTCTCTTTTTTTTTTTTATAATCTTTTAATAATTTTCTTAATGTTTTTTCTGGCTGACTAGCTAAAAGTTCTGTGTAACAAATTAGTATTTGGAGGATATATTAAAAATAAATGTTATTGCATGTTTTTATTTTTGCAGGTGAAGTCCCCTTGTACGATCAGCCACTAGAGATGAGTGGCAAGCGGGACAGAAAGAAGGTTGAACGTTTTGTCCAAGAAGCGAAAAAGGAAGAAGTAGAACCTACAGGAGCAGGAGTACCTCTTGGTGACATTCCCTTTATTGATGCCATGATCACTGTAAGTTGATGATGACTTTATCATTGTAAATTTTCTTTCCTGTAATCACCAGTAATAACAAGACGAGTGCCACTCTTAGTTTTATAGAAATGTGACCACCTAGGGATACCTTATGTTATCAAAACATATTTAGATGACACTGGCCTTCGTTAATATATATGAGAGAAAGTCTGTATCTAAGATTGGAGGTCAGATGCATGGGACTGGCCTGGCCCAAATTTCACATATGAAGCATGTGGGCCAGTTGATGTAGACTCCAGTGCCAATTTTAAGAGATATCAGCATATAAAACACAAACGGCCTCTTGGTTGAGTGGACAGCGCTTGGTGGGGGGTAGTCCTAAGGGCCCCGGGTTCGATTCCCAGTCGAGGCAGCAACAATTGAGCAGTCTTTCACCTGATGGCCTGTTTACCTAGCAGTAAATAGGCACCCAAGAGTTAGCTGCTGTGGGCTGCATCCTGGGGATGTGTGTACTCGCCTATTTAAGCTTACAGAGGGTTGAGCTTCGGCCCTGGTCCCATCTCTCAACTGTCAGTCAACTGGTGAACATATTCCTGAGCCTATTGGGCTCTATCATATCCACATTTGAAACTGTATGGAATCAGCCTCCTCCACATCATGTCCTAATGTGTTCCATGCGTTAACTACTGACACTGAAAAAATTCTTTCTAACATCCCTATGGCTTATTTGGGTACCAAGTTTTCACTTGTTCCCCCTTGTTTGCATACCACCCATGCTAAAAAGTTTACCTTTATTTAACCTCTGAATTCCTGAGGATTTTATAGGTGGTGATCATGTCTCCCATAACTCTTGTCTTTCAGTGTCGTGAGGTTTAGTTCCACTAATATTTTCTTGTAGCTCATAGACCTCAGCTCGGGGACTAGCCTTTTGGCATATGTCGTGACTATGGGTGGACATAGCCTAGACTGCTATGTGAGAGTTGTTTTTGGGCGTTTCCTCCATATTCGAGGATCTATGCATATAGGAATATGGTTAATAGATGAAAGTAGGTTAATAAAATAAAGAATTATGAGGTTCTGGGGAGTTAAGAAGAAAATATTGTTAGTAGTAGTCAGAAGTCGTTGTGCTTCCTCCTGGTCAAGGTGGGGATTTCCCAGGAGGTCTAGTCTGTTTGCGAAGTCTAGAATGTGTTAGAGGAAGTGGTGTGGTCGAATCGGCATCTTTCAAGATGGATGCGCAGAGGATGACACAAAGCTGTGACTTGTATTTTTGTCTATATCTGATATGAGAATAAGGAAAAGCAGTGGTGCAAGGACTGTAACTTGAGGTACAGAGCTTTTAACTGCGCTTGGGCTCTATTTTATTTGATTGGCTGTTACTCTTTGTGTTCTGTTCGACAGGAAATTGAGTATCCAGCGTCCTACTTTACCAGTTATTCCCATTGACCTCATTTTGTGTGCTATCACTCCGTGGTCACATTTGTCGAATGCCTTTGCAAAGTCTGTGTATACTACATCTGCATTTTGCTTTTCTTCTAGAGCTTCTGTGATTTTGTCATAGTGGTTGAGTAACTGTGACAGACAGGATCTTCCCGCTCTAAATCCATGTTGTCCTGGGTTGTGTAGTCCATTATTTTCCATAAAACTAGAAATTTGATTCCTAATCACTCCTTCAAAATCTTTTATTATGCGAGATGTTAGTGCAACTGGTCAATAGTTTTTTCTTTTTGCCAAGGCTTTACTACCCCCCCTTGTGCAGCGGAGCCATATCTGCCGATATCCAGGCTCTTTCTCCATATGCTGAGCACTCGCACTACTGGTACTTTACATTTCTTAATGAATACAGTATTGAATTCCACGAGTCCAGCCCAAGAGCTGAGTGCATGGGCATATTGAAATGGTAAATGGTGTTTTTTTTTTTTACACCACATGCATATAGTTGAGTGATAAATTACTAGAATTTTTAAGTAGCATGTAGTTCCGGACTACCATGGATGTAATCGGGAGAAATTTAATTCTTTGAATAACATATTACTGAGGCGAGTTTGATGATTCCACATAGATTAGGTTAGTGGAATGAATGGTGCAGTGAATGCCATTGTGTGAGTGAGTACCATTGATATTGATATATACTACATGATTTATTAATCTTAAGTAGGAACAAAAGAATTATTGAGAGACTAGGATTTTAGATGTGATATTCTCATAGATGTTTATTGACATTATCACAAGTTGGTTTATGATATTCATATGTATTGATTGTGTTATTGAAGCTATTTAGAAAATTATATTTAAATTTGATGGACTGATATAAAAATGTTTATGTACTACTGAGATGAAGTGCTAACAGTTTTATGTAGTTGATTTTACAGTGTTGATATCCATGCTCTAAGAGAATTTATTATGAGATTAATATAGAATGTGATAGGACTGTGTGATTTGCAAGAAACAAATTTGTCAGTAGAGAAGCTTTAATGATACTTGAGTGTAATGATACTTAGTGATAGCACAGTGAGTAAACTTGTGGTTAAATATAGAGCACTTGGCTGTCGAGAGCAAATCATATTGTGAAATATTTATATCTAGAGAAGTAGTGGTTTTGCAGAGTAGATATATTAGATATCTTAAGTACATATTTCTTGATTACTGTTGAGTATTGAGTGAAGTGTCTTGTATATATTTATTTTCTAGTAAAGTATGAAAATCAGATTAAGTGTTATTGTTCCCTGCTTTGGCAACCTTGTGGTGGAGTTAAACTTACCAAATTGGGTCTGTACTTGCTGGCTAGCCTGATATAAGACTATCTTGGGGAAAGTTTTGGAGTTGAGGCTTTCAGATAAATTGCAGGAAACCAAGGACATCAGGAAAACCAACTAGTGTGATTTCATGACTATGGGTGGTTGGCAATTCCCACACCCTGATTTGGCATTTCCTGGAGTAGCATACTTGAAAATGTAGCCACCTCTCTCTCACTGGTGATAGGTGTGTGTGTTTTTAAGTAAGGCCTGGACTCACTGTTCCAGTCAGGAGGCCCTGGTTAACCATTACATCTGGAGGCTCTTGCTGGGATGGCTGGCACAGTTCTTGTCAGTAATGTTCATCATCTACATATGATCTACCAGAATACAGAATTATACGAACACATTTGCTGATGAGGCTTGGTTGCAAGGGCATATACGAAACCTAGATGATTGTCATGCCCTTCAAATTTACTTAGATAAAATAAGTGCTTGGAGCACCATGTGTTAAATGGAATTGATTGTGAATAGATGCCATGTTATGGAATGTGGGATAGGAGAAAATAGACCACACACAACCTGCAAATTATGTGGAAAGGACTTAAAGAACTCCAACAAAGTAAGATCTGGGGTGGTTCTGGGTAGTAGATTGTCACCAGAGGAACAGATAAAGGACATTGTGCAAGGAGCATATGCTACACTTTCCAACTTCAGAATTGTTTTCTATTACATTGGCCCAACCACTTGGACTGGACAGTAGGGCGACGGTCTTGCTTCATGCAGGTCGACGTTCAACCTCCAACCGTCCAAGTGGTTGGACACCATTCCCCCCCCCCCCATCCCTTCTCAAATTCTTATCCTGACCCCTTCCAAGTGCTATGTAGTCGTAAATTGTTCGGAGCTTTCTCCTGATAGTTCCCTTCCCCTTCAGTTACATGAATGGTGATATACTAAAGACTTGAGACCAAAAATGAAATATGCAGCAGTTGTATGGTGCTCATATCTCAAAAAAGCACATCAATAAACTGGAAAATGTGCAAAGGCATGCTACAAAATGGCTTCCTGACCAGAAAAAAAGTTATGAAGAGAGACTTAGAGGTATTAAATATGCCAAACTAAAAAATGGAAGAAAAAGAGGCATTTTGAGTGCCGAACAGGAATTGACGACCATACTGTATTGACAGAGGAATTCCTGGAACAGCAAAATAATTTTTCTTTATTTGAGGAAGAGGAAAATAAAAAGATAAATCCTAAACAGAAAAAAAAGGAACAAGAGATCATAGATTTATGCTAAGGAAACAAAGAAGACAAAAAAATATTAAAAAGTTTTCTTTTGCAAAAAGTGGTAAACGATTGGAACAAATTAAATGAGAAAGTAGAGGACAAAACCGTCAGTAGTTTCAAAGTGTTACATGATAGTGCTGGGAAGATGGGACATCTTGAGCGTAGCGCCTCATCCTGTAATTACACACAATGGTGCAATTATAATTAAGTCTGAAATATTGGTTGTGTTGTCCCATAGACTTAGCAGATTAAATTCATTGCATAATTTTTGTGAATGTTTGAAGAGACTGGAAAGGAGACAGAGGATGGGGGAAGGATCAGGGCAAAGCCAGACCCCCTCTTATTACTGTTACAAGTTTTCTAATATAAAGTACTGTACAGTAGTTCTAATAGTTTCATTTGGAGAAAATTTATATGAAACTTAAAGCATTGTTTATGTTAATAAAGTAATATTTTTCTTCTACAGAAAATGCAAGCAGATGAACTTAAAGTTTTACATAGAGTTGCTTACAGTCGACCAGGAAGTGGGACTGAAATAAAGAAAAACCTTCGTAAATTCAATGGATTTCCCTTCACAAAAGATGACAAAAAATATCAAAGCAAATTAAGCACTGTGGAAAGGTGAGTACCCTAGTAATATTCTGGCATCCAAAAATATTTAAGCAGAATATTACGTTTTAGATAATTTTACTTATTTTGTCACTCGTTTTCTTTTAAATTCTACAAGAACATATGAAAAATAAATTGCACAAATTTTAGGAACTACTGTAATATCATGGCTGCATTTCAATTTGAAATTTGTATATCTTAAGATTATTTTTTTATATTCTATATTTTTAAACCTGAGCACAATTGTTCCATGTAGGCAGCCCTCATATCTGCAGTTCTAAATATACTGTATATAATTTCAAATGTAGTTTATAATGGGAATACTATATTGTGTATGGCAAAAGTATTTCAACGATTCCATACAGGTATATTTCCGTGGATATAAAGAATTTCATATTAATTATACTGTGTTTTAATTTTATCTTATTAAGTCATGATCATTTTATCTATAATACCTATATAAAGTTTTCCCTTCTAGGATTTTAGGCAAATCATCAATGTTTTATAATACTCTTTAAATATTTATGTGAACAATTCCACATTAAAATTCTTTTAATTATTGACTATGTATAATAACAAGGTTCATCCATTTATATGGGTGACATGTATTTTGTACCTAAACATCCTATTGGTTAATACTGTATAAAAAATGTTGGTACCTGTATTTATATACTTGACTAAGATAATCTTGACTAAGTAGTCACTGAAACATATTCTGTTAATAGAAGACAGTACAGCGATGCCTCCTGAACGGAGGTGTTGTAATAGTAGTAGAGAAGCAGTGTGTGTGTGTGCTTGTATCTAATGATTGTATGTAATAAATATTCTGAATATTTTGTTGTGGTGCTTTCTTGTGAAGGTACTGAGATTTTATCAGCTAGTTTGAAAGACAATGCATTGCTCTCTGCATCTTCTTTTTAGTCTTTATATGCTTCCCTTTCTTTCTTGATACATATTTGATATTCCCAAGCAATCAAAACCTCTTCCAGAAAAGTATATAAATAGGTTGCGATGGTAAAATAGTAGCATTATTAATATTTTTAAAAGATTCATGTAGTTGTACATTTTTTGCATTAATCTAATTTATAGTTACTAATTTGGAAGTACAGTCTGCTATATTTTGTTAATAACTGAAATCATTTTCTTGACAGAATAATAATGTCCGAGCTCAAGAAGATATTGATGATTTTAGGCTTGGAGCGGTCTGGCATCAAAGGAGAGATTGTAGAAAGACTAATGGCGTTCATGCTTGACCCACAGGATACTGGGAAGAGACCTCCGAAATCTGTAAAGGTAGCATGATGTTTGAGTGTTTTATGTGCACTCATTGTTATTTATTTTTGTGTGTGTTTTATTTTTAAGTTGAATATAGTTGGATGAAATTTATTCTATCATTAGGTGTAGGTATATAGTTTGTTAAAATGAACTGTTGTGCTTTTATTTATATACTCTGTGTGTGTGTTTGTGTATGTATGTGTGTACAGTATATATATATAATGTCGTACCTAGTAGCCAGAATGCACTTCTCGGCCTACTATGCAAGGCCCGATTTGCCTAAGAGGCCGAGTGATTTTCCTGAATTTCAAAAAATTGTTTCCAATTTGGTTATTTGAATTATCATTATTATATTATATTAACACTTTGGCGTACCCCGCGCGCCACCCCTCAACTGTGCGATATGGGACCCAGGGTGTCACGGGAGCGCGCGTAAATTTTGAAAAGTGTATACTCTCTTCAACTTTGTCACCTTAATTCTTGTCCTACGAGATTAAATTTTGTATCATTGTGTTCGCAATAGAATTCTCTACAGCACTAAATGCATATAAACTCCAAAAGCCCGGCTAATTACCCGCAGCAAAAAGAGAAATTGTTAGAATTTTTTGTTAGAAGCGATTACTAACCCATTGTTAGAAGCGATTACTCTAGATGAAAGACTATCAGATATAGAGGTGACAGCAGAGGAGGTAATGAAACAGTTGACAACACTGGATGCAAATAAAGCTGTTGGACCAGACAAAGTATCACCGTGGATACTTAAAGAGGCAGTGCAGGCTCTCAGCGTGCCTCTGGCAATGATCTTTAATGAGTCACTTATGTCAGGAGAATTGCCCAGTTGTTGGAAGGAGGCAAATGTCGTACCGATTTTCAAGAAAGGTGATAGGGAGGAGGCACTTAACTACAGACCCGTATCACTGACAAGCATCCCCTGCAAAATACTTGAAAGAATAATTAGGCTAAGACTTGTTGAGCACCTGGAGAGCATTGGGTTTGTAAACAAGCACCAACATGGGTTCTGGACAGGGAAATCATGCCTAACAAACCTTTTAGAATTCTATGATAAAGTAACAAGGATAAGGCAGGACAGAGAAGGCTGGGCGGACTGCATATTTCTTGACTGCCAAAAGGCCTTTGATACAGTACTGCACATGAGACTGCTAAACAAACTTGAGAGGCAGGCAGGAGTAAGCGGAAAGGCCCTAGTATGGGTGAAGAACTACCTAACAGGAAGGAGCCAGAGGGTAATGGTAAGGGGCGAGAAGTCAGACTGGCGAACAGTAAGAAGTGGAGTACCTCAAGGATCGGTGCTGGGACCAATCCTCTTTCTAATTTACGTAAATGATATGTTTACAGGAGTGGAATCATACATGTCAATGTTTGCGGATGACGCAAAATTAATGAGAAGAGTTGTGACAGACGAGGATTGTAGGATCCTCCAAGAGGACTTAAACAGGTTGCAGAGATGGTCAGGGAAATGGCTACTGGAGTTTAACACCAGTAAATGTAAAGTTATGGAAATGGGATCAGGTGATAGGAGACCAAAGGGACAGTACACAATGAAGGGGAACAGCCTACCTGTAACGATTCGAGAAAGAGACCTGGGAGTGGATGTGACACCTAATCTAACTCCTGAGGCACATATAAATAGGATAACGACAGCAGCGTACTCTACACTGGCGAAAATTAGAACTTCATTTAGAAACCTAAATGAGAAGGCTTTTAGGGCGCTTTACACTGCCTACGTGAGACCTGTCTTAGAGTATGCCGCGCCATCATGGAGCCCCCACCTGAAGAAACACACAAAGAAACTGGAGAAGGTTCAGAGGTTTGCGACGAGCTTTGTCCCAGAGTTATGAGGGATGGGATATGAAGAGTGTCTGCAGGAACTGAACCTTACGACACTAGAGAAAAGAAGGGAGAGAGGAGATATGATAGGGACATATAAAATACTCAGGGGAATTGACAAAGTGGAAATAGATGAAATGTTGACACGTAATAATAACAGAACGAGGGGACATGGGTGGAAACTGGAAACTCAGATGAGTCACAGAGATGTTAGGAAGTTTTCTTTTAGCGTGAGAGTAGTGGAAAAATGGAATGCACTTGTGGAGCAGGTTGTGGAAGTAAATACTATTCATACTTTTAAAACTAGGTATGATAGGGAAATGGGACAGGAGTCATTGCTGTAAACAACCGATAGCTGGAAAGGCGGGATCCAAGAGTCAATGCTCGATCCTGCAAGCACAAATAGGTGAGTACACACTTTTCATAGGTATGCCACTTGGCTAGTCTCAGAACTAAGAGGCATGAGCTACAAGGAAAGGCTGCGTGAGATGCACCTCATGACACTGGAAAACAGAAGAGTAAGGGGAGACATGATCACTACTTACAAAATTCTCAGAGGAATTGACAGGGTAGATAAGGATAAACTTTTTCAAACACGGGTGGTACGCGAATAAAGGGGGACAGGTGGAGACCGAGTACCCATATGAGCCACAGGGGTGTTAGAAAGAACTTTTTCAGTGTCAGTAGTTAACAAGTGGAATGCATTGGGCAGTGATGTGGTGGAGGCTGACTCCATACACAGTTTCAAATGTAGATATGATAGAGCCTAGTAGGTTCAGGAATCTGTACGTCAGTTGACGGTTGAGAGGCAGGACCAAAGAGCCAGAGCTCAACTCCCGCAAGCACAGCTAGGTGAGTACACACACACATACATAGTGGAACCTCAGTTGAAGAATGCCCCTCTTTCTTCTCCCCCCCCCCCCTATCATCCTCACAACTATTTTCTTAGATTGAATTTTACCACTGACTTTCTTGGGACCCATGGCGTGATATATAATAACTTTTGTTAAAAAAGCAGGCAAACAATGAAATTTTTCACAGACTTCAAGTGCAGTTGTTATTATGCGGGATTGACTTTTAAACAAACTGAGAGTGGTTTGCCCCACGCCTGCAGCACCACATGCTTGTTCAACCCATACACGTACGAACAGACGTCATCTTCCAAGTAAACCATTGTACACCAATTCAAATTTTACGTTGAATTTGACGTCGTATGCCAAAAAAATTGTGCTCTAGGGTAGTGGTCAACCGAAGTTCCACTAATTGTAATAAAAAATCTATAAAAAGAGAGTGTGCTTGGTGCTATCCTTGCCCAATATTCCAATATGACACATGGTAGTGTGTCATTCAGTTAGGGTTAACCTAACTGGTTCTCATTGCTACCGAGAAATATGAGCATCAATAATTACCTCCCCCCCCCCTGCAATTTTCATAAAGTCTTCAATTGGAGCATTGCCTGCACTATACTGGGTTATGCCTCAGCTCTGATTCCTTTTATTCATCATCTACCCTGAGCCTGTATGCTGAAACAGGAGTCTTGTCTACAGGATTGTTGTGATCGTTACTGTCTTCGCTGCCTTGCGAGCTCCCTGTAGTATCCTCACTTGGTTCTGCTGTGCTTTGACTGTTTCCCCCATGTGGGCCCTCTTCCCTTTCACAACCTTCCTTTGTTCAGATGTCTCACTTGCAAGATTCCATCCCATTTTGTTTGCAATATTTCCTCGTGTAGTTCCATCTGCCTCCGTGGAGGGTCTGACTTGCAAAGTTTTGCAAAACCTTGACCCACATCGTAAAGGCTTCTACCTCTCCAACCGTTATGAAACCCCATTTTCTTGAACACTTTTTTTTGCATTCTGTTGCCCTCTTCACAGATGGGTCTCAATCTGCTGGTGGTGTAGGCTTTGTTTTTCCTGAACAAACCTAAATGCACCACCTGCTTCCCGTGCCTAGCATCTTTATGGCTGAACTTTATGCAATCCTGTATGCACTTCCTCAACTGCTTTCCGAATGTAACGTTCCTTTGACATTGTGTTTGACTCCTGCCCTGGAGTCATTTAATCCTATGCATCCTGTAGTAGTAGACATTAAATATCGGCTATTTCTTATCTCCAGCAGATTTAAGACTGTTGAGTTCCCAGCCATATTGGAATTACATTAATTGAACATGCAGACACTGCCGCTAAGGAGGCTGTCTGCTCTTGTCCTATTTCAAAAAAAGGCATTCCTTATTCAGACTACTACCCACTTGGTCATTCCACAATCCGTGACTGCTGGCAGGGTCGCTGGTTCGAGGTTACAGGTAACAAACAGCACACTCTCAAAAGTAACATATCCTCAAGCCTCTCTCCTAACATTGTAATAGATGATGGGAAATGACTTTGGCCAAGTTACATATGTCATACATGCTTAACTCCTGGACATTTAATAGAATGCTATCCTGCTTCTTACTGTCTGAACTTCATTGCCCCACTGACAATCCTGCACAAACCTTGTAGAATGTCCCAATTTTCAGGACGATCGTATGTCTTGCTTTCTTAATTTCCAAATGTCTCGAAAAAATCTTTGGTGAATCTGATTCCTTTTGATATTGCTCGCCTTATGTGTTTTTATTCTCATGTTTGTCATCCTGAGTGATATTTAGCCAAAACCAACGATACTGATGGTGCTACATAGTCTCTCCAGTTTGGTGCCTTATTTTGATGCTGTACTTTCCATAGCATTTTTAGCTGTCTGTATTAAATTTTCAGGAGGAGAGGGGATATTGGGAGAAAGGTCGAGAGGGAAATGGGAGAGACGTGCACAGCCAGATACCCCATCTAGTATAATATGATATGAACGAGTTATTGTAACTAAAAAGATACTCGGAGCAGGTGTGGATGTGGTTTTCCTGGGAATAAATTATCCATATGTAAACTATCATTTACATATGTATGGTCAATGTGTACTTGACGCAGGAACAAATTATGCTCAGCTATACGTGTAGTACAAGTGCTAAATGCAATTTTTTAGTGAGAATAGTGTGGAGGTATGTTAAAAGATACTGTATAAATATTAAAGAATGCCTTCATTGTTTCTGAGTAGTAGTTATAATGCTGTTTAATTGTTGGTGCTGTTATTGGGCATTTCTAAGGTAATAAATATAATGTCACTGCAGAAATATATGTTTTTTAATTAAAATTCAAACTTTCAGAAAGGTAAAGGACCAAGAGGAAGACCAAGGAAAGGGCATGATAAAAAGAGAGAAAACAACACATCTGTGAATGACTCTGGAAGTGGTGGAAGTGAGAGTGGAGAGTCAGACTCTGAGGAGCAGGAGGAGGAAGATGAGGAGCCTGAGGAGGAAGAGGAGGAAGAAAAGCCTAAGAAGGCACCAAGGAAGACCCCGGCCAAGAAGGCACCAGCAAAGAGAGCAGCATCTGCTAAAAAGGCTACGCCTGCTAGGCGATCCAGAGCTGCAGAGTCTGATGATTCAGACTCTGATGATGAACCATTGGCTAAGAAAGTTAAACAACCTCCCTCAGTGAGTATTTTTGTGGATTTATTAAATGCATGGTGATTTCATGGGATAATTTATTTACTTTGTGAGGAGACACACATGAAAGCATTCACAAGATATCACACATCAATTTGAAGATGTCTGCATGTGTGTGATTTAAATTCTAACATAAATTTTCATGATTGTGATATTGCAAATAACATAAATTAGCTATCAAACTAGTACGGTCCTCAGGCTATCTGGATTATCTCAGGTTATCTCAGAGTCTAACTCAAATATTTTTATGAATTTTTATGAAGTATTTGTCATAGTAGTACTGTTGAAACCTCATTCCTATCCTAATGACCTTGCATTTGTTTGGTAAGCGTGCAGCCTGGAAGAGGCACCGCCGTCGGCAGACGACCGATTCTTTTCTTTTCTTTCGGAAAGCGAGTGCGGTGGCCCGTAGGGCCATCCGTACGGCTAAACGTGAATGTTGGATTTCTTATGTCTCCACAATTACGTCCGAAACTTCCCTGCCACAGATCTGGAAGCGTATCCGCAAGATTGCGGGCAAGTTCGTTCCCGATGTTTCCCCGGTCCTTCACCTCCGTGGTACTCTTGTGGCGGACCCGTTGCAGGTCGCTACCGAACTGGGTTCTCACTTTTCTTCTATTAGCTCTGGTCTTCATCTTCCCCAATCTTTCCTTCTTCGTAAACCTGTCCTTGAGTCTCGTCCTTTAGATTTCTGCACTCGTCTTCGACTTTCCTATAACGATCCCTTCTCTCGCTGAACTTCGTTCTGCCCTGGCCCTCTGCGGTTCTACGGCGGCGGGCTCCGATGGTATTCATTATGAGATGCTTCGCCATCTCCCTCCGTGCACGTCTCGGTATTTACTGAGTCTGTATAATCGGATCTGGGAGTCGTCGTCAGTCGCTGAGGACTGGCTCGATGCCGTTGTCCTCCCTGTTCGCAAACCAGGGTCTCTGGGAACGTCCCCTAAGGACTTGCCCTATTGCCCTCACAAGTTGTGTCTCCAAACTCTTTGAACGTATGGTTAACGTTCGTCTGATGTGGTTCCTGGAACACCATCACCTCCTCTCCCCTTCTCAATTTGGTTTCCGCAAGTGCCGCAGCACGACAGATGTCCTGGTGAACTTGGAGGTCTATATTCGTACTGCTTTTGCTGCGAAGACCTCCGTTGTTGCCGTCCTTTTTGACCTGGAAAAGGCTTACGACACCACTTGGCGATATCATATTCTATCTCAACTTCATTCTTTTGGCCTTTGTGGTCATCTCCCTCTCTTTCTCCGCAGCTTCCTCTCTCGTCGTTCCTTTCGGGTGCGCCTTGGTACCGCTCTCTCTGCCTCTTTTCAGCAATACGAAGGTGTGCCCCAGGGTAGTGTTCTGAGCACTATTTTTCTGGTTGCCCTCAATGGTCTTCTTTCCTCTCTTCCTTCAGGTGTCTTCTCCGCTCTCCATGTCAATGATCTTACCCTTTGCTGTCAGGGTGATGATTCGCCTCTCCTTCAGCGCCGGCTTCAACTTGCAATTGATGCCGTGTCATCTTGGGCCACCGATCATGGCTTCAAGTTCTCTACTTCCAAGACTTGTGCCATGACTTATATGCGGAAATGGGTCGTTCTTCGTCCCTCTGTCACTTTATGGTCATCCCCTTGAGTACAAAGATTCCGCGAAGCTTTTGGGGTTATTCCTTGACACTCGTTTGTCTTGGTCTCCCCATATCTCTTACCTCCGTGTTGAGTGCTTTAAGGCCCTTACCCTCCTTCGGGTCTTGTCCCATACTTCTTGGGGGGCAGATAGGCGCGCACTCCTTGCTTTACATTCCTCTCTCGTCCTGTCTAAGCTCGATTATGGTTGCCCTGCTTACTCGTCTGCTTCTCCTTCTACTCTTCGCCATCTTGATACTTTGCACCATACTGGGTTGCACCTCAGTTCTGGTGCCTTTCATTCGACTCCCGTCCTTAGCTTGTATGTTGACACTGATTTCTTGTCTCTCCAAAACCGCCATGATCGCTACTGTCTTCGCTATCTTGCGCGGTCTTTACAACATCCTTCCTCTCGCCTCTGTCGTGCTTTAACATTTACCCCTCCTGCGGGTCCTGTTCCTCTTTACCTTCTCCCTCTTTCTGTCCGGTTATCTCGCCTACAGGATTCTCTTTCCGTTCATATTTCTAATGTTTCTCCTCGTGTTGTTCCTTCTTTGCCCCCGTGGAGAGTCCCTCTTCCGCGGTTTTGTACTTCCTTGACCCGTATCACTAAAGCTTTTACCCCTCCTACGGTTCTAAAACGCCTTTTCCTTGAGCACTTTTCTTCTCACTCCCGCTCCGTTTGTCTTCACCGATGGGTCTAAGTCTGCGGACGGTGTTGGCTACTCTGTTGTTTTTCCTGATCGCACTTATGTGTGTCGCTTACCTCCGGAGACTAGCATCTTTACAGTGGAGCTTTATGCTATTCTCTATGCTCTTCGTCTCCTGCTTTCTCGTTGTCAGTCTTCTTTTGTAGTTGTTGTTGACTCTCGTAGTGCCCTCATGGCTCTTGGGTCCTTTAATCTGGTTCATCCAGTAGTTGTCGAGATGCAGCATTGGCTGTTTCTTGTTCACAGTAAATTTAAGTCGGTTGAGTTTTGTTGGGTTCCCAGCCATATTGGTGTGTCTTTAAATGAGCGTGCGGATGCTGCCGCCAAGGAAGCTGTCCGCTCTTGTCCCGTCTCTCGTAAAGGTATTCCATATTCTGACTTACCCGGTTATCCATTCCTCCGTCCTTACCCGTTGGCAGGCTTCTTGGTCGTCTGTTACTGGTAACAAACTACGTACTCTTAAATTTTGTGTTTCCTCGTGGCCGTCCTCCTACCACCGTAACCGGCGATGGGAAACAGCTCTGGTGAGGTTGCGTATTGGCCATACTCGCTTAACCCATGGTCACTTGGAGCGCCGCCCAGCTCCTTATCGTCCTAGTTGCATTGTCCCTCTTACGGTCGTGCATGTCCTTCTTGAATGTCCTGACTTCCAGGACGAGCGTGTGTCTTGCTTTCCGACCGCCCCTTGCGGTCACCTGTCCCTCAATAGAATTCTTGGTGACTCGGATACTTTGATATTGTTCGCCTTATGCGTTTTTGTTCTCGTATTGGCATCCTTGGTGATATTTAGCGCCCTCTGATTATTCTGCGCATTTGATGGTGCTACATAGCCTTCCCGGTTTGGTGCCTTCTTTTGATAATTACTTACTTACTTGCATTTGTTTGGGTTAAAGTTTAGTAGCCATTTATCAGACCATTTCTGGAGACATTCATTTTTCACTGGACTGCAGTCCTCCAATTCTGATCCTTCTCATTATTTTAGCAGATCACCAAAAATTATACAAAGGAGCTTATTTCCTCTCTTCAGTAGCATGCAGATATTAATCAACAGAATTGCATTCGGTGGTGATACCTCATGTGCAGTTGGACATAATGATAAATCTGTAGGGTCAACACATTATTTGTTGATATTGAATAAGGTCAGAGTCAAGATCCTGGTCAAGAGTTTAACACCAGTTAAACTATTTTATTAAAATACCTACTGTAAATGAAAATGGTTCTTTGCTAGTTATGTATCTGGTGTATTTATACATCTTGCCATTCCAGTTGTCTTGAAGTTGATAATGGTGGTTACTGCCACCACCACCTCTGGTTCAAGCTCATTCCACTTGTTTGCTGCATCTCTCTATTTATCTAAATTTGACCTGAACTGGGATGTTTCGAATGCTCTCTCTCAAAAAGGAAATAAAGGCATTTGGTAAATCCCCCCCCCACACACACACACACACACACACACACACACACACACACACACACACACACACACACACACACACACACACACACACACACACACACACACACACACAAAAAAAAAAGTTGGATCTGGTCGAATGAAATTGAAAGGTTAATACATACATTTTTTAAATTTACTTTGTATACTGTGTAACTTTTGCAGGATGCTGAACTCAAAATAATGGTGAAGAAAATTTTAGAAGGTGCCAATTTGGAAGAAGTGACGATGAAGAGTGTATGTCGACAGGTGTATGATAACTACCCAGACTTTGATCTTACACACAAGAAAGTCTTCATTAAGGAAACTGTGAAATCTGTAAGTATTATACATCAGCTAAATCATTGTACCTTCCTGCATATGCTATTTTACTGTAAATTATATACCTATACCATTGCCCCCCCCCCCTTCCTCCTTTTGAAATAGATATATTCAACTATTGGCACAAGAAAAAATCTGCAAAATAGCAAAATTCTACATTTTCAAGCTATCTCAGAAGATGGCCTTGTACTAAAATTATTTTATTGTAAATACAATTTTAGTTTAACTTCATGTTCAGTATATACAATACAGTATAGAATTTTTCCCATGTGATGAGGGTTGACTTTCTCTTTTCAGATAATATCGTGATTGGTCAGCGTTACCAGCGTTAAGTATAGTACAAATTGTTCATATAATGCTTTTTTATTGTAGAGTTACACAAAATTATGAAAACCTGTACCAATATGGCAGTTAAAAATCTTTAACAAAGACCCCATCAATTATATGAAAATTATTTAATACATAGTGTTAATGGCACCTGCCTGTTTGTCACTTATCTTTCCTCCCTCACTCCATTTTTCTCTGTAATTGCTTTGACACAATTTATCACCTGAGCACATGAGAAGTTTTCACCTAAAACTTGACCCATTTATGAGCAACTGTGTTGTTTTCTCTCATTGTGTAATAGTTTTCCCAGTTTTTTTTTTTTTTTCCAGTTCATAATATGAACACAGTTACCTTATTTGGCAAATAATTTGGTTCCTAAATTATAGCACTGCAGCTCACTTTCTTGCTTTTACAGCATTTTAATTAAACGTAGAATTAGGATTTACGATGACATTTCTTGGTTAAGCCTAACAGATGCAAAACATCAATAAAGTTTTTCTAATTAGTGTTGTTGTGCTTAAGATTGACTGGTTAACCTGGCTGTGTGCTACCTTAATTGCTCTTTTTGGCAAGAAGTATCACATGACATTTTCACCCCAAGATGGGTGCAGTGACAAATTATCTAAATTAGGCAGTGTTAAGAAACTATATACATTTATCTTGTTCATCTCTGGTCTGGTGATACTTTTTTGAGCCGAGATTGTATCAGACTATTAATAAATGTTAACTGTGAAGTAACCTGGGAATGTGGTTGACTTGCTTGGGGTAGTAGTAGTATTGCCCAGTGAGTAATATTCAAGTACATTCTTCTTTCAGTACTGCTTGCAGCTTTTGTGGCCAGCTGTCTATTTTCCCATAACTTATTTTCCATAGTTAGCCCACCATTCCAACTGGTATTCCCTAATATTTGAACACTTGAGTTTTATCTATAATGTTTACTGTAAGATGGTGAAATCTTTTTAATTTGCATTTACACTGCATTTTATTACCAGTTTTGGTGTATGTTGACCATGTTTCTCCTGTCATGCTGATACAAATTATTTGCCCCAGATATTACTTTTGTGCCATTAAAGCATTTTATATAATTGTTGGTTTTCATGTTACCATGAAACGGTTTTTATCATGAGAATCAAAGTTGAAAAATGGCAGTTTAATTTCTACTGTTTAGGATTCTCTTAAAAATTTTATCAGCTTATGTTAATATCAGAATTGTAAATGGGAGTTCTTGTACACATTATTAAATGTACCTCTAGACTATTTGTAGAATACATATATATATTTTTTTCTGTCCCTGCAATGCTGTATTTTTTTTTTTTTTTTTTATACATGTGTAATAACTCGCCTATGCTCTTAAAGAATTTACATAACTTATAGAGATGTTAGGGATTTTGACACAAATTATGCGTGATGCACTTGTCATTTATATTAGAAAAAATATATATTTTTTATTGGTCTATTGTAACAGACACATTGGACAACATAACATATCTTATATTTGCAGTAAAAATTAATCTCCTTCAAATACTAAATATAGGGTCACGTCATTGGTTGTGTTAACTATAAAACTCCGTCAACTATATGTATACAGTACTGTAAATTACGATATTATTTGGAATCCGATTGTAAATGCTGTGGCATGTAGATATATTAATAAAATATTTTAGTCCAAACAAATAAAAGGGGGAATTGTGATCTGACATACACTTGGATCAATGTCCAGTATAAGGCTGGCAGGCATTTTACATAAACATTTTTTACCAGATGAGAGCATACCAATTGTAAGATTATTCTAATAAAGTAAGTTTTAGTTATTCTAATGTCTGTTTTACTGTGTGCTTTGCTGCATATCTTCACCATATGTATAAGAAATGGTAAGTAATTGTTAACTGGTACCAAACCTGGAAGGCTTTACTATAGTCTGTATATACAAAATTTAAATATTGGACATTACTAACAAGAGCCAAAAGACAAAAATCCGATTCCTTTGATATCGCTTATCAACGTACACATGAATAAGAGGAATCGACAGTTCCAATTGGCTTGATAAAGTATCAACAAATACCCCCATACCCCTGCCAAGCTCTCCCTTTCTTATTTTATTTATTTTTGTATTTATATATACAAGAGTTCTTACATTCTTGTACAGCCACTAGTATGTGTAGCGTTTCGGGTAAGTCCTTAATCCTATGTTCCTTGGAATACGACCTTCGAGAAGAATCGTTTTTACAACCAAATACCCATTTTCCTGTAGTTATACAGTTAAGGATTTGCGCCCAGTAAATCCTCCCCGGCCAGGATACGAACCCAGGACAAATCGCTCGATGAACGCCAGGGAAGCGTCTTACCACTACGCCACAGTACTCTCCCTGTACCAGATCCTCCCAGATCCCACGGGTCCCCCTTCCTAGGCCCCTCACATCCCAGACCCTCCCTGTTTTCCTGCTTCAGGGGAATCAATAGAACCCGAGGAAGGACAGAAGAGTCAGTTTCAGGGTGATGTACTCGAACATAGTTCACTTGCCTTGCTTGTAATCCCATCTAAGGGAAAGAGCGCAAGAAGTGAACCCAGATGTAATTGGATTCACAGAAACAAAACTCAGGAATCGTAACGAATGCAGGGTTTCCCCAGGACTACACAGTAATAAGGGAAGGTAGGGGAGGAGGCAGAGTGGCCCTACTAATGAGAAAGAAATGGAGTTTCAAGGAGATGGCTATCCCGGGCTGCGAGGGATTTAGAGACTTCATAACAGGCACCATGACAATGGGAAGACCAAGAATAGTAGTAGCAGTGATATATAACCCTCCACCAAATGACAAGACCCAGGCAAGAGTATAAGAACAGCATGGTAGTTAACACTAATTGAGAGGGCAGCCTCTGCTGCATGTAGAAATGCATCTGCTCATCATGGGGGACTTCAGTCATGGAAGGATAGACTGAGAGAACAAGAAACTGCATGGAGAGCTAAACTATTGGAGGTGGCGACAAAAAATTTCTTAAGCCAGCATGTCAGGGAACCCACAAGAATGAGAGGAAATGATGAACCTCAGAGACTTTACCTAGTCTTTACTTTGAACGACTCCGACATGAGAGAGATCGGTTTCGAGGCCCCGGTAGGAATGAGCGACCACAGTGTACTGACGTTTGAGTATATGGTTGAAGAAGGGTTAAATAAATCGGAGGGGAACTGAAAACAAAAGTCTGGCATTCCGAAAGGGGGAAACTATGAAGAGAAGAAAATTCCTAACAGATATAACATGGGAAAACAGAGCCGAGAAGAAAGACGGCCCAAGACATGTTGGACTACATCACAGAAGTGTAAGGAGGCAGCAGACAAGTTTGTCCCGGTCTAAAAGGAAAACAACGAAATGCAGACGAGAAACCCATGGTTTAATCAGAGATGTAGGCTAGCTAAGCAGAAAAGTAAAAGGGCGTGGAAAAACTATAGAAATAATAGGACACTTGCGAGCAGAGAAAGATACCAGAGTGCCAGGAATATGTCAGGTTGAGAAGAGAGGCAAAAGTGCAATACAAAAATAACATTGTAACCAAGGCAAAGACTCAACCTAAATTGCTGCACAGCCACATCAGGAGAAAAACAACAGTAAAGGAACAGGTAATGAAATTGAGTTTAGGGGCAGACAGATTCACTACAAACGACAAGGAAGTGTGCAAGGACCTGAATAAGAAATTCCAAGGAGGTCTTCACATTAGAGCAAGGGGAAGTTCCAGAGATAAGAGGGAATAGTTAACCAGGAACTACTAAAAGAGAGATTACCAGTGGGGGATGTAAGGAAGCTCTTGCTAGAGTTGGATGTGACAAAGGCTATAGGCCCAGATGAAATCTCTATGGATACTAAAGGAAGGAGGAGAAGCACTGTGCCTGCCACTCTCCATAGTCAGTGTTTTTACATTCTTGTAAAGCCACTAGCACACGTAGCGTTTCGGGCAGGTCCTTAATCCGTATGTAACAAATCACTGGTAACGGGAACTGCCAACAATTTGGAAGATGGCTCATGTAGTCCAGATATACAAGAAGGGGGATAGATAGGAGGCACTGAACTACAGACCAGTGTCCCTAACTTGCACACCATGCAAGCTGATGGAGAAGATTGTGCAAAAAAAGCTAGTGGAACATCTGGAGCGAAAGAACTTTGTAACACAGCATCAACATGGGTTAGTCTCCGTGGTGTAGTGGTAAGACACTCGCCTGGCGTTCCGCGAGCGCTATGTCATGGGTTCGTATCCTGGCCGGGGAGGATTTACTGGGCGCAATTCCTTAACTGTAGCCTCTGTTTAACGCAACAGTAAAATGTGTACTTGGATGAAAAAACTATTCTTCGCGGCAGGGGATCGTATTCCAGGGAACTGCCCGAAACGCTACGCGTACTAGTGGCTGTACAAGAATGTAACAACTCTTGTATATATCTCAAAAAAAAAAAAAAAAAAAAAAAAAAAAGATGCAAGTCCTGCCTCACAGGATTAATTGAATTCTACGACCAGGCAAGAAAGAAGAGGGGTGGGCAAATTGCATATTTTTGGATTGCCAGAAAGCCTTTTTGATACAATACTACACAAGAGGCTAGTGAAAAAGCTGGAGATGCAGGCTGGAGTGAAAGGGAAGGTACTCCATTGGATAAGGGACAGAAGCAACAGAAAACAGCGATTCACTGTGCGGGACGAGGCCTCAGATTGGCGAGACTTCGCCAGTGGAGTCCCGCAGGGTACAGTCCTTGGACTTATACTGTTGCCGATATATGTAAATGATCTCCCGGAGGGTATAGAATCGTTCCTCTCATTGTTTGCTGATGATGCAAAAATTACGAGGATTAAAACATAGGATGATAGTAAGAGGATACAAGATGACCTAGACTGAATGAATGGTCCAACAAATGGCTACTAAAGTTCAACCCGAGTAAATGCAAGGTCATGAACCTAGGCGGTGGAAACAGGCCAAACTCAGGATACCGAATGGGAAATTAAGTACTTTATGAAACGGATAGAAAGATCTAGCTAGGAGTTGATATCACACCAAACCTGTTTCCTGAAACCCACATAAAAAGAATAACGTTTGCGGCATACGCGAGGCTGGCCAACATCAGAACAGCCTTCAGAAACCTGTGTAAGGAATCATTCAAAACCTTGTACACCGCATATGTAAGACCAATCCTGGAGTATGCGGCCCCAGCATGGAGCCCGTACCTTGTCAAGCACAAGACGAAGCTGGAAAAAGTTTAGAGGTATGCCACTAGACTTGTCCCAGAACTATGAGGCATGACTTACGAGGAAAGGCTGCGTGAGATGCATCTCACGACACTGGAAGACATGATCACTACCCACAAAATTCTCAGAGGAATTGACAGGGTAGATAAACTTTTTAACACGGATGGTACGCGAACAAGGAGACAGGTGGAAACTGAGTACCCAGATGAGCCACAGGGACGTTAGAAAGAAATTTTTCAGTGTCAGAGTAGTTAACTGATGAAATGCATTAGGCAGTGATGTGGTGGAGGCTGACTCCATACACAGTCTCAAATGTAGATATAATAAAGCCCAGTTGGCTCAGAAATCTGTACATCAGTTGATTGACAGTTGAGAGGCGGGACCAAAGAGCCAGAGCTCAACCCCCGCAAGCACAACTAGGCGAGTACACACAAAGCGTTCTTACATACTTGTACAACCACTAGCATACACAGCGTTTCGGGAAAGTTCTGAATTCTAATTTTCCCTGGAATACGACCCGCCAAATCGTTTACAATCACTGCTAGGTGAACAGAGGCTACAGTTAAGGATTGGCGCCCAGTAAATCCTCCCCGGCCAGGATACAAACCTAGGCCAAAGCACTCGCGAAACGCCATGAAAGTCTATTACCACTTCGCCACGGGGACGGAGGCTGTCAAAGGGTTGTCGGGTAAATTCAGGTGCACGTTTAATCAATAAAGGAGATTATGTACATCTTGGATTCGGTTATTTTCACAAACTTATTAGTGCGGATGTGGTTACTTTGCCAAGACTGGTACCATTGCAATGTTGTTTCAGGGAAAAAGTGTTTGATGATCGTATCACAAAATTTCTCAGGAAACAGATACTAGACACTAGTACTCGGGTAAATAGGTAGACACCAAAACAAAAGTGCTTTTCCCTAGCTACGTTCAACACACTTCTGCATGGCCGCTGTACGATGACTTAGCGTATTACCGTGTCTTCATGAAATTTGAAGCAGACAACAGTCAAAAATATATTTTTTATATGAGCGGGAGTAAATGTTGCCGTATACCCCAATACAACACAATGCGCCAGTTGTACATGCAGGGTCACCTCTTGGACCAGGGACACACACGGCGTGACGAGCGGGTCCTGCACACCGCCTCAGTGAACTCCAACACACACGACAACATAGTTTGCAGTACAGTATCAGCTTTTCTGCAGTCCTGCAGAAGAGCTTTTCTGCTGCCCTCAGTGGTGGCATCCAATTTCTTATTAGATAAAACAAAGATAAAGCGCGATGGGACTCCACTGACGGACATGTTATGTATACGAGATATGTATCTTGTGTATATATTCATGTCGCCATTACTTCCCCCGAAGTCCACTACGGGCTCACCATACTACTTAGAACTTTTTGTTCCAAGTCAAAACTTGGAAGTTTTGTTCATTACAATAGCAGACTCTAAAACAACATCCTTCCCCCCTCCCTCCCTGCCTCCTGGCCTACCTCCCTAGTCCCTGCCTCACTAAGCAGGCCACCAAGGGAGAGCAGCACAGGGGAGCCAAAGACTTCAACGCAGCACATAACTGATCCTGGCCCGGGAGCACACTCTCCTGAACATTGTTCCCGTGTTTACAACCACTCTCCGTAAATCTAGATTTGGTCATTAAAGTGTCACACACTTCAATTTTTTTTACGTTTCAGTGCGTAACGACATATTTTGATATACACGAAATTTGACATTTCTGGCTATACGCGTAATCATACCTGTTTTAATTTAAACATACCATGATAATGTTCTTAGGCATGGTATGTTTACATATCATGCCTAATTACATTAGACATGGAATTAGGCATTAGGGCAGGTACCATGTTCTGTCCTCGTCGAGGCCACTAGAGTGTAAGTGGCCTCAGGTAAATTCAGGTATAATGTAAGCATGCCTTCCTATAATGTGAACTACAACATAAGATAAACACATGGGGGGGGGGGGAAAGACCAACGATGCTCAACTCCCACAAGCACAACTAGGCGAGTACATTCTGCATTTCCGTAGTTAATACAACTGGGGATCCCTCTTACTATTTGCTTTGTTTGATTAATAAAACATAAAATCATAACAAGAAAGGAGTATAAAATTGTTCTACAAATTGGCATTTGTAGAACACTAACTTGAGGTAGAGTTCCGTTATATAATAGACAAAAAGGTTTTGTATAAGGCGGGTGTATAGAGGTAGAGACGGTGCTGGCCTGAGGCAAGGATGACGTAGTGGTGCGAGGCGTGATGCTACAGGTGTGGCTGCCAGGGAGAGACAAGGGAGTGGACCCCATCCACACCTCCCGACCCCCACTACACCTGTAGCATCACCCAGGTGTGGTCTTGGGGGGGGGGGGGTGCCGGGGAGGGGGAGAGATGGTGTGGGGCGACAGGTAAGTTGGAGGAAGTCGTGACGTCACTACAGAGTTGCTCATCAGCGAAAAAGTTTGATTTAATATATTACTTTTCACCTCTTGGTTATTATCACACATTTCACTGTGGGTCTTGTTTCATGTCGAGAGATTACCTCCATGGGTTAGAGAATGGACTGTTGCTCAGTATAAGGAGACATTGAGTGTGTTTGAACAGCACCAAGTTACCAGCGTTAAATTCCTGTCGCACCTGAGGCCAGGCGAGCAGTGTGGACCAGCCAACCACAGGGAAGAGTAATTCTCATGCGTCTCCTCAAGTCACCTCAAGGATAAATCCGGAAAATGTGACTTGACAAGTAGAGAGTGAGAGGCCGTAGTGAGTGTTAAGAGTATCGCGGGGGTGTGGGTGCTGGCGCAGATAATACCCAGCTGGATGTTAGTGGTGCTGGAAGGCTTAATTCATCGTTACTGTCGAGTGTAGCAATCCTAATACACAGTTCTTCCCAGGGTTAACAGGTATATCTATGCTGGACTGATCGCGTTCAGTTCTACCGTGCCTCACAGACAACGTTATTCAACAGTAACACAAGACCGTAGTTTTCCCAATTCTGTTCTAGCTTCCAGGAGCCACCTTAAGTCTTGCCAAAAGCCGCACGTCTTGGCTCCATCTCCTCCATACCGAGTGGTCAGCCTGCTCAGCCGACACCTCGGCTCTCGGCTCCGCCACTTCGTATAAAATATTTACAATATCTTTGTTAAAATATAAAATATTAGTGATACTCAACACACGACACGAAGAGCCAGAAGCGCTCCCTTGGTACTGTTGACAAACACGCTTCAAAACGAGTGACTCACTTTCGCTGTTGACATTAAAACGCCTCAGGGACTGAAGTTTTTCTTTTTAAGTCAAAACAAAAACCAAGTGTTGTTCTTTTCAGTATTTAATCAGCGTTTATACATTTTATTGTGTGCTGGATATTGAGCACTCAACCACAAGTGATTGTAATTTGCCATTGTGAAATTACTCTAGTGTGTGAAGGCCAAGTCGAGTGAAGGAGAAATGTTTGAAAACTAACGTGGTGATTTAGTGAGACGTCCGAACACCCTGAAAAAAACAAACTCAAGATAGTGTTGGCAGAGTATTGAGAGCAGCAGCACTCATTCTCCCCCGGACTGTTGACCGTAGTCTGACGAGGAGGGACCGTCAACTTTCTCTTGGGAACTGGACGAGGCTTGCCGCCCAAAAATATGTTTATGGCTCAATATTTGCTTCTTTAAACCGAGATAAATTTTGGTAAACCACTGTTCTTGGTGGATGTGTTGCTCTCGTCAGCAAGTGGAAAGTTCCAGAGGGAAAATTGAACACTTGTAGCGTAGCCAGTCTCGCCACCTACAGGAGAATGGGCACGGCCAGGACACCCACGGACACGCCATGGGTCACCAGCAGCATATATTGTTACTCATTGTCGGGGACAGGAAGCCTGGTAGGGTTATCAAGGTCCTCTTAGCAGCCTGGGCCAACAACTGACCTCCCAAAGGATGCAACCCACAACAGTTGCCTATCTTTCGGGTATCTATTTAATGCTAGGTGAACAGAAGCACACGTGTCCAAATGTCTTCATCCTGAACATTCACTCCTCCCGTACTTGTACACCAGTAGATTGACGGTTGAGAAGCGGGATAAAAAGAGCCAAAGCTCGACCCCCCTCAAGCACAACTAGGCGAGTACAGTACACTCCCCCCCCCCCACCACTGTCTTCCACAGTACACTACTTTCCCACAGTACATTCCTCCTCCACAGTGCCCCAACAAGACAACACACTGATGACCTTCACGGCAGCTGCAACAGTTACATAAACTGTATTAGAACCATTATTTCTTTAAATGTATCTAATCACATGAGGAAACAGGCGAGTTTAGTGCAGCTGAGCGACTGTAACTATAATGTGTTTAGGGTGTGAGGTGGTAGTTTAAATTTTGCCCTGAGGGGCGAATTTATTGGGCAGCGCCACTCATTCTGCGAGTGGACACACCGCCATAGCAGCATGTACAGCATCCCCCAATAGGAAGAAAACTAGCTGGGTTGTTCATCCTGTCACTTGTACCCAGACACAGCTGGGACTTGCGTTGTGGTGGAAATGGGGTAGTGTTATGAGAGGAAGGGGAGGGGGGGGGGAGTAGTCAGAGGGTAACCTATGCATTAGAGCCAACAAAACTAACGTCGAATATTTATGACAGGAATGATAACTCGTCATGCAAATACAATACTGAAGGTGCGATAATTGTGAGGTAATGGAGACGACACAGCCCTGGCCTAAGGCGAGCGCTGTGCCCCTCCAGAAACGCCGACACCAAATGCTCAAGGGAATGTCCCGTAAGCTTTAGGGTCACCTTGTGGTGGTCTCAAGGTGTGTAGCGGTGACTGGCAGGTCCGTCATTACCTCACACCATGTTCACTTGTCTGATCACTGTAGTAACCTCGCCTATACTGAACACTCATTCTGTTAACCCCAGCCAGTTCTGCAGTGTTCCCAACGTCACTAAACTGTTGTACTAAATTGACCGAACTTAACCTACCAGAGGACCCACGAACAGAAAACGGGACATATGTCAATTTCGCGAGCCGCTACCATTTTTAGTACACCAGTTTTTGGTATTGGGGAAATTATAAGTTAAAAATGCGATATACTATTGAGGAAAACTGGTTGTTAATTGGCCACTGTTGCTGCTCGTTATATCTGGTGCAGATCAAATCACTAGATAAGGGTCAGAGTTTCCTTACCCGACCGACATATTAAATGTGATTTACTCCACTAAATTTCCGTCATGACAAACACTTGATTTATAGACATCCAAATTTGGAATAACTTACATATAAAAGAAATGATGCCTAATTGTGTTCCATTATTATAGAAAATTATCAGTTTGATTGGTTAAGAGACTCCATCAGTGGCATGTTCAGAAAGTGTCGCTGTGTGTGACAATGAACATCAAAGTTAACCAGAACAGCGCGTATGCTAGAGAAAATCAACTAGCAAATAAACTATGTGAAAAACAGTTGAAGTGTTAATAAGGAGTTGTGCGGGTGCAAGGTGCAACACGAGGGTCTGGAGCGTGATGGTGCGGCCCTTCACAGCCGCCCTCCTGGTGGGGGCGTCCCTCATACTACAAGTGGCCGCCGTAGATGACCACAGGTGCGACCTGGGGGTCAACTGTCAGCAAGACTGTAAACCCGAAAGTCCAACCTACAAGCCCCAGAGATGTGACGAATGCTGCGAATCACCAGGTAATTTCCATATTGTTAAATTAACATGCACGTTTTTTTCTTAGCAGCCACTATTATATTTATATCATCACAGCCACTATCATATTTATATCAACAACAACCACTATCATTTATATCAGTTCATATTGGAACGCTGTAGATATGTATACAAATGTTTTAATATGAGCCGTACTAATGGAGTTACTTATACCAGTACAAGTAACAACCGCTAAAGGACCCGGTTCACCTGTAACGGACTCGATATAGCCTTATCCGCCAGCACCTGTCGACTGACTGTTCAAAATTATCTTGACCATAAATGTACACATTATAATTGTAAATGCTTGACTACGCGGCCCGGTCTCTAGCCAGGCCTACTGGTTGATGGTCTGGTCAACCAGGTAGACGCGGCTGCTCGCAGCCTGATGTATGAATCACAACCTGGTTGATCAGGTATCGTTTGGATGTGTTTATCGTGTTAACAGTGAGAGGCCGGCCAGTTATGTCATTCAGCCTGAGAGTGAACATACAGCCACAGCAGCATGTACCACACTCGGCAATAGGAAAAATTAAACTCCACGTGTTGTTAATCCTGCATTTAACTTGTACCCAGCCTCATCAGAAACTACTGTCTCAAGTGAACACACGGGCAAACATGGAGACTGACATCTTTAAATTTTCGAGGACAATATTAAATCGATATTTGAGAAAATAGCATTATTAGCCTAGCTCAAATAATGTGAGATTTATTTTCTCCTATACTTTACACACCTATTTCCTTTTCGATTGGCAGTAATCACACATTTAGTGTGATATGATTATTTTATATTAAAGTATCAGTTATCTATTGTGACACTTATTATTATTAAAGCTGTAAGCCAGTATGGCATATTGCAGTCACGAACCATCGAAGGAGATCCTATACACATTCAGGATGCTAATATCAGAGCAGAAAAGTAATATTAAGATCAATGTATGCCACCGGTGATTACCACTGTTTTTGTCCCATCGTGGTCGAGTAGGTTAAGGAAGATGTCTGGGAATCATCAGAACGCGGGTCCTAGTCACTTCATTGGTCAAAAAATTTTCTCGTTAATATATCGCACCATTGTGATTCCTATGAAAGTTACAATGAGTAAGTCAAGCGCTAGCTAGGCTTGTCTAATGGTCATTGAAGGACAATAACAAGTTAATTATAGTATAATCAATTGATCGTCCAGCTAAGAAATTCGCTTCATTTGAAGATGAAAGCTAGTGAATATTATATGGTAATATTTTCTTGCTCGTTGCAGACGGAAGTGATGAACGCAAGGACCCGGTGTTCAGGAACGACAGTAAGTATAGACTTCTTAGGTCGTCCCGTACCTCCCAGTAGCAAAATCTGTATTCTTTACCGTTTCATTCAATTTCAAAACTTTTTCCTTGCTTGATTTAAACAAAAAAATTTGCCTTAATATGCTCCGAAACTCATATTGCCGTTCAATTGTATGGATCGTGTCTCTCGATATAATCAGGACTTTACTAGATACTCTTCGTGTAACTATTGTCTCTTAGTTTAAATTTCACTCTTCCCACAACTACAGGACGTCCCAGCAACATGTAAGCAGTATTACCAACAGGTTACACAATAACTAACGGGGCTTTCTTCCTAAACATACATTAAAAATCATTTATATAAATTATCTGGCGGAGTTATGGACCATTACCTTCATTTACTATATTACATAATCAGTGCTCCTGTATATGTTGTTACTGGGGGAACTGGCGTCAGTGTGGCGTGGGAGAAGGAGAGGGAAGGTTATCAGTGTGATGTGGGAATAGGGGGGGGGGTGTCAGTGTGATGTGGGAGGGAGGGTGTCAGGGTGGTGTTGAAGGCACGTCTTGCTTCACAACACTCCAAAGAGCGTTTCTCTGCATAACGACAAGAATATTTATCCTCTTCAAAATACTAAGACCTTGGAAACCTACTTATCACAGTACCAAACATATCAGCACTGGCAAGATGTGCAGCACCAATGATAATCTAAACGACCATTCCATCTAATAGTTACGATGGCCAGTTAGTGACGACCAGTACATCGGGTGTATCAAACATGTGGCCTTACATTGTGGCTGGTTGAGCTTGAAGCTCAACAAGCCACAGACTTTCCGTCCTCGCCGAGGCCACTAAATAGTGGCCATCAGGTAAATTCAGGTATTATACCTTGGACATTTTAAAGAACTGGTCTGGATTAATATATATTAAAATTTGTCCAGTAGATTAAAGGCCACGATGAGATCAGCCGTTATGTCTGGTTGCTGTTAATTATGTGGCTCTCATCCGAGCCTGGTATGAGAGTCGACTTAGGTCTGGGATGACTTGTCTCCAAAGCAGATATGTGTTTCTGAAGATAAGGTCTCCATGATGTCCGAACTACACATCAGAAAGTGAACGACGACGTTTCTGTCCGTCCTGGACAAACATTATTTGGCTTATGTTGAAGGTGGATTGTTACACACATCCCGGACTGTGCGACCACAACTAATTACATTACGACATAATCAAGTCGTATAATGGTCCAGGAGAGACCGAAACGTCGTAGTTTCTTCATTTTCTAATGTGTGGTTTGGTCATCATATCTTCACGTTTATATCTTCACGTCATTGAGACTCATCGTCTGCATGAGGTCTTCATGCTTGGAAACAGTAGTTTATATCGATGGGGGCGCACGAGACTTGTACAGTTGAATTACCACTTTCTTTTCCTTAAAATAGAGCTCTTTCTGTAATGAACATAAACAAACCTCACTTTCGTTCTCAACTTATTTATGCACACCTGAATTAAATAATCAAGGTTGTTGCAGCTCGAACATTTACCAAAAGTTTGAATGCAGTGTGCCAAACTACGATGCCAATTGTCAAAAAGCTGCAACACCAAACAGTAAGGTTATTTTTATTATTATAAGTTCAGTATTAGTGTTTTCAATCTTGCCTCTGGAGGAGGGTGATTCAATAACACGGGCCGCATCATGCAGAATAATGTGAACTAGCCAGTAATAGCATATGGAGTTAGACGTCTCTGTTCTAGGGTGCTTAAGATGAAGTGTCCTGACCCTTGACCTGCCAGGTGAGGTGACCATATTAAGCATGTTATTGCCGTATAAAAAAAAAAAAGATAAAAAGTCAACTCGGCAGCGCCGTCATTCTCACTCGACTGGAAACACATTGTGTGCTATTAATGAACACAAATTTTCCCTAAACTCTTGCTTCCCACTCACACTACGGGACATAATGAGTGCCAATTACTCACCAATTAAGTGATGATGGATGAGACAGGCCGCTGCTTCCCTCATTGTCTGTCAGGTCGCTACAAAACACCAAACGCCGCCATGGTCCGCATCTGCCACAACCCGGCCTCTTAACAGAGCGTCGCATTTTGATGTATACTTTACCTAAGGCCAAGCACTGCCGTACTAGAAAATGGAAACTTCGCGAAAATGACGCACTGTTCCGTTTTCAGTCATCTGGTAGGTTAAGATAAGGGCACTTTAGTACGACACTTTCTTGACGTTGGTAAACCTTAGGAGGAAGGACTACCGCGTCACCCCGCAGCCCGTCCTCGGCTTAGAGTGAAGCATACAGAGGTGTCACTGAAACAAATAAAGTGAGCGAAGCACTGTTAAGAAAAGTTCGAACGTAATTAGTTGTGGGTCGCACAGTTCGGGATGTGTGTAACAATCCGCCTTCATCAACATAAGCCGATGAAGATGAAGATTAAGCCACCCAAGAGGTGGCACGGGCATGAATAGCCCGTAAACATAAGCCAAATAATGCTCGTTAATATAGCCACCAAACCCTGTTTATGAATGAAAACGATTTTAAACACGACTTGCAACTGATGAAACAACCCGGCCTCGAGCCAGGCTCGTTAGAGCAGAGGCCGTCTTCCCCCTCCCCCCGCATACGCATTGATAAATATTTACATCCTGTGTATTTTCAAATTGGTTTATTCTCGTAAGTCAAAATTGTTATATATTATTTTTTGTGTAAAGTTAGCCGTACGTTAGCTTAGGTTCTGTTGCGATTATTTGTATTTCAAGTACGTGGGTGAAGCATTTATAGCGTTGTGGTTCGAGTCAGTGAAGCACTTGTTCCGGAAGTGTTCGAACGAAATCAGTTGAGAGTCGTGTATAAACCAGCCCGTCCTCCAAACAAAGATCCAAAAGTGATTCCATGCACCCGCCAAACCCCCTGTTTATGAATGAAAAGCGGTTTACACACGACTCACAACTGCTGACATTCGAACATATCCGGAACAAGTGCTTCACTGACGAATTTTGTTCGAATCACAACGCTATAAATGCTTCACCCACGTACTACAAATACAAATAATCGCCAACAGAACCTAAACACCTAACCTAACCTATCCTATGCCTATATATACACAATATGCTAATATATTATAATATTAATTTATACTTGAGAAAATTCCCGTTTTGAATAAACAGCATGTTAAAATTTATGAATGCGTCTGTGGGGTTGACCGCTGAATGTAATGGACTTGAGTCGAGGACGGGTTGGTATAAACCGTTTTTCATTCCTAAACAGGGGGTTTGGCGGGTGCATGGAATCACTTTTGGATCTTTGTTTGGAGGACGGGCTGCATTTACAGCGTTGTGATTCGAACAGAGGTAGTCAGCAAAGCACTGTTCGAGAAATGATTGAACTTCTGAAGATGTCACGACTAGACATTCAATTACGTAGTGTGCGAGATCATGACCCAGTTCCTGCTCAGGTTGATTGACAGTTGAGAGGCGGGACTAAAGAGCCAAAGCTCAAACCCCGCAAGCACAACTAGGTAAGTACGGAGTTTACACCTGGAGTGCTCAGGATTACAAAAATCGATGCATATGTAGCCACCTGCCACAGGTAATGGTAGTCCATATGTCTTGAGCCCACTGGTAGCTCAAGACACCTTCACTATTCCTCCGGAAAGAAACGGATCAAACGGATCCAGTATATATTAACAATCGATGTAATGTTGAGGGCGTTGAATTCAAGCAGCGAAATTGAGCTTCATAACAAGAGAACAATGGTATGGAGTGTACCAGGGACACCGCAGCCTGCCTAACAGGTAATGTGGACGACTCCTGCATGACAAGCACAACCCTCCCACTCCTCTTGTCTCTCCAGGGTCATGAAGCAGCCTGCATTATCATGTGCCACTACTCTGCCAGTGTTACACATACTTTGGGTACATCTCGTAAACCTTGGGTAAATATCACATAAACCCATAACATATCTCTCGCACTCCTATGCATTACGAAATACTTAAATCTTTCCTAGGGGTTTCCGGCGATAAATGTTCCAGGAAACGCTGACAAAGTCTGTTGTGAGAAACTTAAATGAAAACAAGTGATCTGAACCAGGTATTGCAAGGTACGTGTGTGAGGAGCAAGGGACGTGGTGAGGAGCAAGAAACGTGTGTGAGGAGCAAGCTAGGTGTGAGAGTGGCGTGCAGTAGCATGGTTGAGGTGAGTCATACGGCTGGCACCTGCGCTTCCTCCGCTAACACCACTAAGTCACATCACGGTTTATGACACTAAAGATACGGAACCGGGAGTACACCTTGATCTGTAGTGACTTGCACTGGTCTGGTTGATACCTGGTTGATACCTGGTTGATGGGGTTCTGGGAGTTCTTCTACTCCCCAAGCCCGGCCCGAGGCCAGGCTCGACTTGTGAGAGTTTGGTCCACCAGGCTGTTGCTTGGAGCGGCCCGCAGGGCCACGTACCCACCACAGCCCGGCTGATCCGGAACTTCTCTTAGAAAACCGTCCAGTTTTCTCTTGAAGATGTCCACGGTTGTTCCGGCAATATTTCTTATGCTCGCTGGGAGGACGTTGAACAACCGCGGACCCCTGATGTTTATACAGTGCTCTCTGATTGTGCCTATGACACCTCTGCTCTTCACAGGTTCAATCTTGCATTTTCTTCCATATCGTTCACTCCAGTACGTTGTTATTTTACTGTGTAGATTTGGGACCTGACCCTCCAGTATTTTCCAGGTGTATATTATTTGGTATCTCTCTCGTCTCCTTTCTAGAGAGTACATTTGGAGAGCTTTGAGACGATCCCAATAATTTAGGTGTTTTATCTCGTCTATGCGTGCCGTATATGTTCTCTGTATTCCCTCTATTTCAGCAATCTCTCCTGCTCTGAAGGGGGAAGTGAGTACTGAGCAGTGGTCTGTGGCAGGGTTTAGCTTACTTCCTTTATTATGTACTCCATATATGCCCATTGTGTAGTGGGAAAGGTTATATAGGCACACAAAATGGGCTCAGGAAGTGAACCCCAATTAAATTTCGTTTAACTAAGTAAATTACAGCGTTTGCAATTAACATATACATCAAGAGTCTATACGCGGTATATAAAACTAACATCATCGTGACTGCATGTATACAAGTTATAAAGTGACACATCTATCACTACCAACAACTCACACACAAGTTTAGAAGTACATCAAGATTATCATAGATTGTGTAAACTGAGAGGTGTCAACAACGAGGGGGGGGGCATATACGGTTTTCACAACGTGTTTTATCATGTTTCAGGCGTCATGCTTTCTCTGGTAATTATAATTGATTACGTTATTTTAAGACTAATTTTAGCACTTTCGCTGTAAATATATTTGAGAGATGATTATTTTAATGCGTAATTTAAATAATAAACGTAGTAATACCAGACTGAATTTAGATATTTCTATGAATAAATTTGGGTGGTTATAAATAGGTATGAGTCACAGGCCTTATGCAGATTTCTTACTTTGCTTCCAATGAATAATGCGACTGTTATTGTAAAATATACACTATTTTTTTTCACTTAAATACCCGTACCTTTAATCAGGAGACTTTACTAACTCCAAGAGAAAGTTTGGAGTAGGTACAAAATGTAAAGGTGAGCGGATATAAAGAGTGGAAGTAGGTGAAGTAGAGAGCAGTTGCCCCAAGTCATCGTGGGAGCCGGGGTCCAGGCACCTAACACACGGCTCTCAACCAGCTATTGTAGCAAAGATTAATATGATTTTTATTTGGATCTTACACAAGTTGCTACAAGCAAGACCCTGAAACTATATTATTATTATTACTAGCCTCAATTTATTGTTCTTATTTTTCAGTTCAAAAGATAGTAAATTTGGCTCGGCAAATATAGGCTTTGATTATTCAAGCACTAATCAGGCTTTCGGATTTTATTTACGAAAACCTGGCCCTAAGATGTATTGAGAAATGATATTAAACATCCTTCTGGTAAAATTTGAGGGGTAGAGACGTGTTGGTCCTGGAGGCGGGGACGTGTTGGTCCTGGAGGCGGGGACGTGTTGACCCTGGAGGCGGGGTAAGAGAGCTGGTCGAGGTAGCTGGGATGCTGGCCAAAGCACGGTCCAGTGCTGGATGCTGGGTGACGTCATAGCTATTGTGGTACCCATGCCTCAGAGTCAAAAATATTAGCTGGTTATATTGTTGAGTGTTATAACCTCAACCCGCTTCCCCAGCAGTCGACGTTCGCATGATAAGATGGCGTCTAGTCATAATATGATCGCACTCGTGTAGATGCTTTGACATTTTTCAGTTAGTGGAAAAACCACTTACATTGATAGGTTATGGGAGGGAGTGGTTGCCCCGGGCTCTCCCACCAGTGTACCCGGCCACAATACTGACTCACCGCACTCTTGCAACAGTCCTCCTACAACTCTGCTTTTTGTTAATCTGGTTTTTCACACATGTCCTCAATACCTGTCAGTTTCAGTATCACCAGGAATATGCATGTTAAACTTGTAAAATTATTCCAAATATTAAATAATTCTTATTACACTTGTTTAGAATTGATACACACTGATGACGTCAGCAACTCCCACGTATAGTAAATTTAATAGAAGTACAGTACATATAGTCCACGTAGCGTTTTCCGCTACATCTTCATCAGAGCAAAGTAGAATGATTCTTAAGAATCATTCTACTTTGCTCTGATGAAGGGGATGTAGCCGAAAACGCGTTAAGTATTCTCTATTTTTCACATGTGGTTTATATATACAGTATATATATAATATATATATATATATGACAGTGTCAGACTACGGAGGAAGAATTGAAACAGGAATTTCCTTAAGTACTTTCGTATATTAATACATATTCAGAAGGAATGAGAAAGAATTGATTCCTTCTGAAGATGTATTAATATACTAAAGTACTTAAGGAAATTCCTGTTTCAATTCTTCCTCCGTGGTCTGACACTGTCACATTTTTCATCCCTTGCTAATTTTCGTGATTTATACACACACACACACACACACAAATATAGGCATAGGCATCCAAAAATGTCTATCTGGAAGATGTTTCAATTATATATATATATATATATATATATATATGTCGTACCTAGTAGCCAGAACGCACTTCTCAGCCTACTATGCAAGGCCCGATTTGCCTAATAAGCCAAGTTTTCATGAATTAATTGTTTTTCGACTACCTAACCTACCTAACCTAACCTAACCTACCTTTTTTGGCTACCTAACCTAACCTAACCTCTAAAGATAGGTTAGGTTAGGTTAGGTAGGGTTGGTTAGGTTCGGTCATATATCTACGTTAATTTTAACTCCAATAAAAAAAATTGACCTCATACACAATGAAATGGGTAGCTTTATCATTTCATAAGAAAAAATTAAAGAAAATATAATAATTCAGGAAAACTTGGCTTATTAGGCAAATCGGGCCTTGCATAGTAGGCCGAAAAGTGCATTCTGGCTACTAGGTACGACATATATATATATATATATATATATATATATATATATATATATATGTCGTACCTAATAGCCAGAACGCACTTCTCAGCCTACTATTCAAGGCCCGATTTGCCTAATAAGCCAAGTTTTCACGAATTCATGTTTTTTCGTCTACCTAACCTACCTAACCTAACCTAACCTAGCTTTTTTTGGCTACCTAACCTAACCTTACCTATAAATATAGGTTAGGTTAGGTTAGGTAGGGTTGGTTAGGTTCGGCCATATATCTACGTTAATTTTAACTCCAATAAAAAAAAAATGACCTCATACATAGAGAAAAGGGTTGCTTTATCATTTCATAAGAAAAAAATTATAGTCAATATATTAATTCAGGAAAACTTGGCTTATTAGGCAAATCGGGCCTTGAATAGTAGGCTGAGAAGTGAGTTCTGGCTACTAGGTACGACATATATATATATATATATATATATATATATATATGTCGTACCTAGTAGCCAGAACGCACTTGTCAGCCTACTATGCAAGGCCCGATTTGCCTAATAAGCCAAGTTTTCCTGAATTAATATTTCTCTAATTTTTTTATTATGAAATGATAAAGCTACCCATTTCATTATGTATGAGGTCAATTTTTTTTATTGGAGTTAAAATTAATGTAGATATATGACCGAACCTAATCAACCCTACCTAACCTAAGCTAACCTATCTTTATAGGTTAGGTTAGGTAGCCGAAAAAGTTAGGTTAGGTTAGGTAGGTTAGGTAGTCGAAAAACAATTAATTCATGAAAACTTGGCTTATTAGGCAAATAGAGCCTTGCATAGTAGGCTGAGAAGTGCGTTCTGGCTACTAGGTACGACATTATATATATAATGTCGTACCTAGTAGCCAGAACGCACTTCTCAGCCTACTATGCAAGGCCCGATTTGCCTAATAAGCCAAGTTTTCCTGAATTAATATATTTTCTCTATTTTTTTTCTTATGAAATGATATATATAATATATTATATATATAATATATTATATATATAATATATTATATATATAATATATTATATATATAATATATTATATATATAATATATTATATATATAATATAATATAATTTAAACAAATCTTCCAGACAGGCATTTTGGAGTTTTGAACAGTTTATCTACGCAATATAACAATGGTAAAAAATCTTCGTAAGATAATTCTGACAAAATTCCCTGTATAGACAAACAAACTTTAGCTATGAAACAATATGGTTAAGCATATATTCTAAGCAGCATTGATCTTACCCTAGGACTGAGAGCAATGGAAACAGTAGTGGGAGAGCTGCGAGTAATGACGGGAGTGCTGCTGATGTTGGTGGTGCTGCTGCTGGTGGCCGTGGTGGGGCTCTTCCTCTACTTCACCAACTCCCTCCCCAAGCTTCACATTCCAGTCCTCTTCAGAAACAAGAACAACAACAATAAGGAAGCTTCACACAAACCCTGCAACGGCATCGACCACAACTCTACCATAGTTAGGATTGCCAATTATCCGGTACGTATATAGGAAATATATACAGGTTCAATAAGGGTTATACAAAACTCATGCCTATCAAATAAGTTATTATCTACAATTCTCAGAAAAACTACAATAGAATAATATTTAATTTACAAAAATTTCAGCAAATTCATTGATAATATAATCCCAAAGTTCTACGTGCAAAAAATATATAAATAATGTTTTAAATTTGTAACCCAGAGTAACCACTGCCCGATAGCCAACCGGTCATCGGTGAACATGTCAGGAAAGGGTCCAACTGAGGATACCGTGGAACCACCGGAGTTCCTGCCTCGTCCGTACCGTGTCCGCCAACCCTCGGAGTCTACCTGTCCCGAAGAGGGCAGCGACTTGCCTCAACACGCTTACGATAACCTGGCGCTCTCCACCTCAACTCTTCACAACACTTCCAACTCCTCCACAGACACCTTGGCGGCTGCGGTTTCCACAAACACCATGGAGACCACACTGCCCTCGGTGAACAATCTTCATTCAATTAATGGTGAAATTACCCGTGTCTGAAGCTTAGATCGATGTTTAGGTCATCCATGCTCACCTCGAAATATATAAGACTGAAATTCATGCGTACTGAAAACTGAAAGCCTATTCAAGGCCTGGTCGGAGACCGGGCCACGGGGTCTTTGATCCCCGGAACCTCTACAAGATAGGTAGGTAGGTAATATCTGAAATGGTTGAAGATATGCCTTACCTGGTCGGGGACCGGGCCGCAGGAACGTTAAGCCCCGAAATCATCTCAAGGTAGGGGTACCTAAACACACATTCCACTTAATGCCAAGAGGGTTTAGCAAACGTAGATACATAATGAAGGCACAAGCCAAATGATATTGGCAGCAATTACGTCTAATAACTGCCATGTGTGGTGGGTCTTGTGTTGTTTCTGTAGTGATCAACATTGATAAACTGATCCAGATTAAAGACACATGTATTAGACATAAGATATATGTTTTCTGTTTACTACTGTGGTGGAAAAATATAATACAATTCTTAAGAAGTTTAGCGTAAGCTGTAAGGTACTGTACAGTATTTAGTTATCTAAATTCCAGTTTTTATATAAAAAATGTGAAACGTCCAGAATAAAAGCTGAACGACACATGACATACTAATTCTTTAGTTTGTGAAAGATTCAGGGTTATACTTACATTCAACGTTCTATTATAAACGCTGAAGGATTTGCGAATCATATTACATTACTGACAGTTGACCATAACTTACAGATAATCACGTTTCACCTTGCCCGTTTACTGTGGTAACTTCGCCACTCTGTTGATCCACTCATCACTATATTTACCTACTTTCCCAGCCAAAATAATAACCAGATATATAAACCATATCATGTAACTGGCACAGCACACAAGTACACTACTGCATAGCAGTAACATTTTGAATTTTAAAGGATTTGAAATTTGAATTATACCATGCTCAATTTTCTACCAGAAATGTAATACAGTATTGACATAATTATATTAGGTATAAATAATAAATTAAAATGGCGAGACGTTTTTAGAGTTTCAGCATTAAAGTCTTAAGATCAAAGACAATAGTATTCAACAATTAAGTTACACGATTCTCATTGATAACTCTACGATTTTTATTGTGGTCTTTGGATTACGTTGAAGTGTGTTAAGAAGAGGATCTTTGAACGAGTGTTGTAAGTGCGCGTGTAAATATAGTATAGCATCTTGGCAAGATATATTTTTTACATGTATTGTGTACAAAGGTTACTAATCACAAATTGTAATAAAGAAATTACATATCAGCAGGCTCTAACATTATTCTATTGGTAATCATACTAAATGTAACAGTGAAGATTGTTAACAATTATAACATGGTTGATGGACATGTTCAGCTTAAACACAATGTTTAATTTGACCAAAACTAACATAACCAAGCTTAACCTAATAAGTCTATTACAGGTATACCCAAATTTTTGCTAACCTAGGAAACCTAAGCTTAAATAAATTAGTAATTAATGTAACAAATATATTATAGTTTTAGAAAGTACAGAATAATTTTTAAATGGGTCAATCTGCAAAACAGCTTTTTTCCTGCTAAGTATATATATATATATATATATATATATATATATATATATATATATATATATATATATATATATATATATATATATATACTTAGCAGGAATACTATACTACCATATATATATATATAATTACACAGGTACTGTATATATGTGTGTAGCAATGATCAGGAACACTGATCCAAGTATGCAGAATAATCACATAACCAATCCTTTCATGTTTCACTGTGGTTATTCTGCATAATGTATATATATATTATTAAAAGTGTTAAGTTCTGTATTAATGAATACTGCTGGGTATGTGTCACATGTAACTTTTAGTCATACAAGACGTTTTATATATTTTAGGAAAAAATTTCATCAAAATTAAAGCAATAAAAGATATTTGCTCAACTTAAAATATATTATTGAATGTGAAAGAAAACCTTGCCAAGAATTAAAGTAAGATGATATGAAATCTAAAGAAAAAAACAACAACCCAACAAACTAAAGAAACCAAGTAAAGTTGCCTTATATATCATTACTAATTCTATGAAAAAATTGAGGCACTTGTCATCATCAACTTACATTCAAAGATGTAAACATTACACCTTCTGACAGGTGTACAACTCCATCCCCCACAAGGTAGTACAGTAGTGTATATTCTATCCCACAATACACATTGATATGAACAGTGTGGACTGAGGTGGAAATGCAGGTACAGTATGTAGACACATCATGGAAGTGGTTAATCAGTATGAATGCAAAGGCTGCATTAATTTGCAAATAACTTTGTGCAAAAGTTTGTAAATAACAAAAGTGCAAGTGTCAGATGGAGGTGGCTGGTGCAATGTGTCTGACATTATAATGGAAGGCTACACTAACGTGGTACAGTATTACCCGATCTTATTTACGTACATGAGACAGACAGAAATGCACTGTGGAAGGATAAAGGACGAAAAATGCGATAAATGATTTTGCACTAAAGAATATATGAATATTAAAATGGTTTGGTAACATTGAAGGTATAGGCCACTGGTGCTAAAGGATAAACGAGTTACTTATCGCAATTCAGGGATGGAATTTTACACCTAGTTGTATGAACTGTTAAGGTTCTGCTGTGACTGTATTACTGCTGGTTGCACGTGAAGTAGTCTGTGTGTGTTCCAAGAGATAAAGAATGGGTGTTTATTTTAATATTTTTACTATACTATTTTTTTTTTGACTGATGACTCATACCCATGCATGTTGATAGAGTAATAATGATTCAAGCTATGCTCCCAAGTCTAAGTAGCAATGTCATACTCGCTCCCACAACACACAGGCCTGCACCCACTCCATTGGCTTAGTCCAGTTCCCACAACACATGGATTGGGTGTAGGCCCAAGTTTAGTCCTGCTCCCACAACCATATATTTATCTTGCTCCCACAACACAGGCCTGCACCCCACTCCATTGGTTTTTTCCTGCTCCCACAACACAACTGGACCCTCTTATTGCAACAATTTTTCCATAAATTTCACTAAAAATAAAATGAGATAAGACGTATTCAAAACTGTACAGTATACACAATCAATAAATTCTGATGTATTAAGTGAACATCCAGGTGATAAAACTTCAGGGAGTAGGAACACCATACAATATCTAGTAATTCCCTTTAATTTTGCGAATGCTCTTTAGTGCTATATGCAAGCCAGGGCACAAAAAACAAAGGTTTAATAAAGAAAATTTATTTGTATATTTCACTTAAGAAATTCTTTCAGACATAAATTATATCCACTGCCTAACATTCCAAAGCAAAAAATTATAAATGCCTATTTTATGGAATGGGAAATGCAAAAAAATTTGACTTAATCACTGTCCACAAAGACCTCAGATCAAGAGTAACTGCCTCCTCTAAAAACTGCACTAAACCAAGTTTTGGTTATACAACACATCAACTGAATACACAATCTTTGAAGATACATATCTGAAAATTCAGAATCTCTTATAATTAAAACTAAAATGTTTAGTTTTAATTTTCCACTACAAAACACACAAATTTAAATTATACATGAATGACCTAGACATGTCGAGGTTATCTTAAAGTGTTATGCTCTCAAAATCAATGTAAGGAAAGATATGCATGGTACTGATGAATACTGGAAATGACAAGAGCATATAAAAGCCATGTATTAAATTTTGTTGTGGTCTATCGTCTCATCGGACCACCAGGACCCCAGCCTCTGCCACCCCTGCCACCTCTACCCCGACCACGAGCAGCTGTAAAAGTTACACAAATATAAGTGACAATAATCAATGCACCATAAGTATTTGTTAATGATCATGCATTTCTAGACAATGAAGTTCAAGATTTATATACAGAGAAATTACAAAAATATTATAATGCCCATTTCTTGGCATGGGAGTCATCCTTGGCCTTGACCAAGGTCTTCAGACTTCATAACATATTCCTATAAGTTATATAGTCTCCTGATATTTCAGAAACTTTACAATAGGTTTAGGAAAATATAACAAAGACAGGCAGTAGATATATTACCTTGTGCTCTTAATATAGCTGATTTACCACTGCCTGCTGCTCCACCTTTTCTGCCTGTCATATTTTTGAACATCGGTGCATTCTGCAAACATATACATATAAATCATTTGGGTTTATAAAATGTAATTTTAAAAGCACCACTTATAAAAGGGGCAAATAAACAACTACAATGATATAATTAATTTTTACAATTTAAAAACCAAATAGTTTAGTCTTCAAGAATAAAGTTTGGTCTCCAGATAAGCCACCACTCAATACTTACGTTAGGGCTGACACCTGCTACGAAAAAATACTTAAAACACAAAATTGCTGAAAGACAAAGTTTTAACAGAAAGGAATGTCTTAAATATTCACAGTAGCAAATATGATATTTTGTTATTATGTACTAGGAATAGACAGATCAAAATTATCACTTTGTATTACTAAATATGCCATTTCCAGCATATAAGCAATAATGAAGCAAACAACTTCTGTGATCAAGCATCATTGGTTTAGGAATTTAACAAAGAGTATTTCAATACAGTATTTCTTCATGTCATGCAAACATTCTCAATGCTAATAGTATTATTCTCACCTTCAACATATCTGGTAAAATGAGGAAACGTATCTTTGAGCCACGAATGAACACATTCTCCAATCTTGCTGTCTGTCCATTGCGGTACGTCACAGTGCATGCTTCCATCTGAAAAAGAAAAATATATAAATATATAATAATTATATCACAATTTTAATTGTAAAAGAACAAAATATACAGGAATTCAACTGAGTAACCATGAATAGTAGAAAACAGTATTGTATTAATATTTATAAACAAGTGCCAAAATTATCAGTTACATGTTTTGATCATATGCACGTCAAGAATTCTCAAGCCGAATTATGTCTCAGTATACAAAAGAGTGGTGTAATAAATATAACAGCTTCAATGACTGCAAAGTGAAGTGGTAGTGGCAATGGCAGCAGCAGTAATTTTGTTGCCTACAAACACTGATACAAACTTATTACTTTCAGTAGGTTGTTTAATTAAATTAGAAATAGCAATAGACCCAGAGCCAAACCTTGAAAAGTCCACGTGCTACATCTATCCATTCCAATGTGTATTCTAACTGTGATACACTAGTTTCTTGTTTGTTAGGTACTCTTACAAAGTTCACTGGCTTTCCAATTATCCAATGCTGCCATTCTATCATATGCACTTTGTAGCCTTTACCATCATTTTTATTCTGCTATACTTCTTTTAGTTATGCCCGTGCACTCATTTAATTCCCTCGCCTTCAGTCCTGTGCACTCAACTTGTTTCTTGGTCTAACCCCATCCATCCACTATTGACTAACTACCATTTGAAATGGGTAAGGTGTGAAAAATTGTTTAGAAGAGGGTACATACAGTAATACCTTCTAACATGGACCAATACAATAATGATTATATTTGCCAAGAAAATATACAGGTCTGTTGTAAATATTTTAGGCAAGAGTGGGTGAGCGTGAGTGTGGTGGTGTTATATGAATGAGTGGATGCGAGTCAAATCATTTTTGCTGGAGTAGACAGAACATACCATTAGAGGTTGTTATATATTAATAGTACACACAACTGAAATTATTGGTTACAAAATGTGAACTGCATTATGGTAAAAACTCATTACACCAGGGTCGACTGTGTATATTATGCGATATTTTGTCTCCGTTTGAAACTGTACATTCAGTTTTAACAGTATCGGTCACTTTGAACCGAACTCTCGTCCATTATTTTTCTCTTGAATCCTAACTTAGGACCGGACTTGCGTCCACTACAAAAATATTTGTATAAAATTCATTTTTTTTATCCAATCGACCTTGGGATAGTATCAAAATAAGCGCCTTTAGAATGCGCACAATTTGATTCCAAAATGAAAGATGCAACATGAAACTTGATGTCCGAACACTTATATGATTATAAATAGGTTTTTGGTCAAAAATTTAAAATATTTGTTAAAATTCTATTTATTGTGCTATTATGTTGTGATTAGTTTTAAAATGTGCACCTTTACGTCGCAAACAATGATACCAAAATGAAAGATGTAACACAAAAATTTCAGAACACTGGAAAGATATAAATAATTTTGTGATGATGAGCTTCCAGAATTAAAATATTTGTTAAAATTCCAGTTATTGCTCTATTATTATGGGACTAGTTTTAAAATGCGCGCCTTTTTATTGCAAACAATTTGATACCAAAATGAAAGACGTAACACGAAAATTGATGTTATCAAACTGAACGAGTATACACGTTAGGTTGCAGTGTACAAATTGGTGCTCGTTCACGGGTAACTTTAGGCTTTTCTGCGGGGAGGCACTCCAGGCTTTTGTACATTATATTCACACACATCTGTAGGGAATTTAATTGCGAACACAATTATACCAAAACGAACGACGTAGCACGAGAATTAAGGTGAGAAAAATGGAACGAGTATGCACATTTTACCGATTTTGTGCGCTCACTGGTAACTTTTGCCGACTTTAGGCTTTGCTGTTGGGAGTCACGCCAGGCTTTTGGACATTGTATTTATACACACCTGTAGGGAATTTTAACTGTGAACACAATTATACCAAAACGAACGACGTAGCACGAGAATTAAGGTGAGAAAGCTGAAATGAGTAGACACATTTAGGTGTCACCGCGCACTTACCCGCACGGTCGCCAGCGCTTTGGGTGCATGACCCATAAGTTGACCGTGCGCATGCCCAGTGAGCGAGTGTTAAGATGATTCAGTAATTTAGGCATTTTACTGTATGTGCATATCATACAAATGTCCTCTGATGTATTTCCTCAATTTCAGCTCTTGGTTTGAACTGGTAGCAATAGAAGGGGTCTCTTGGTTTGAATAGCACATCTTAATCTAAGGTAGCTGATATTTTAGGATTAGTTAAATAATACTGCTGTAGATGCACAAATAGTGCACACATGGAGTCCATATTCAGTCTGTTGTAAACTAGTTATAAGGGGATGTGAACTACCAAGGAAAAAAAGAAGAGCACTACAAGTACAGAGTAAAATATTCAACAAGAACTTTTACAAAGCTTATTTTCTTGGAGAAGAAAAGTTTATTTAGTGATTTAAGGCATCCAATCCAATAAACTCTAGAAGTTGCTCCTCACCTGTACGTTCATATTATCTTCCGCCTCCAATAACTTGCCTCGGTAAACTTCCCCCAGCATGGTTTCAACTGTGACAGTATGGCCTTCAGCTTCATGAAGCACTTTAATGGGAACTCCAATCGACATTTTTGCAACTGTATAAAGAAATGTTAAAATTAGAAATCACATTTTGTATTTGAGTGTCTACAGTACAGTACTTATACACATTACATACCATTACCCTTTTATCTTTTGGTCCAATAACATAACTAAATTAATGAGAGGAATATTTGATGTGCATGCCTTTTTAACCCCCTTTATCCATTAACCCTAGGCAATTCTAGGTATACAATGTTGATTAACAATGAATTAACATTAATCATTGTTACGAGCAAGTTTAGCCTACTAGGTACAGTATGTTAAATAAGCATTTACCTCATAAGATGAAGCATCAGCATAAAATGGAGCAGTAGCCATTTTTGGTTGTGTGTTCAAGAGTTGTCAGATGATATATCCTTAGTTATGGATATTTTTCCATCAAGGTCGTTAACCAAATACGCTCAGTTGTGACAAACTTGATTTTCATAGTGTCATTGCCAAAGATATTAGACTACTAAATATTATCATTATCTATCCACAATACAGTACATCTCTACGAGTTTGTGGTCTCATATTGGCATTAACTTGTGGGCTACCATACATATTTTTTACCAAAATACTCTTATAGGTCCACAACCAACTGTATGGGATGGGTAGGTGATTACTGTATAGATCAACTAATTATGGGATAGGAATGGGACTACAGTATACAGTAGGACATGTTAAGAACTCCAATAAACAGCATGAAAGTGGAATATCCAGACAACTTCTGTATGAATGATATCCAAACCCCTGTAAATATAACTGGTATCAACACTAGCGTGGCAGATTTTGAAAGAGAAATGACAACATGCCCATGCACTCTGCTCTGGGTCCAGATTCATGGAATTCAATATTTATAAAGAAATGCAAGGTGCCAGTACTACAGGCACTCTATAGTGGAGAAAGAGCATGGACACGGGATGATACCAGATGACCTTAAATCAGCAGACATAGCCCCTCTACACAAAGGAGAGAGCGCAAAGCATTTTTAAGAAATTATAGACCAGTTGCACTAACGTCCCACATAATAAAAGTATTTGAGTGTGATCAAGAGTCAGGTCACCAGATTCATGGTGACCAATGACCTTCACAACCCAGGCCAACATGGATTTAGTGTGAAGATCATGCCTCTCACAGCTACTTGACCACTATGACAAAGTCACCGAGGCATTAGAAGAAAAACAGAATGTAGGCGTGGTATACACGGACTTCTCAAAGGCATTCGATAAATGTGACCATGGTGTGATAGGACACAAAATGAGGTCAATGGCAATAACTGATAAAGTAGGACAGTGGATACTCTGTTTTCTGTCAAACAGAACGCAAAGAGTAACGGTCAATCATGTAAAATCAAGTTCAAGCGCAGTTAAAAGCTCTGTACCTCAAGAGTACAGTCCTCGCACCATTGCTTTTCTATATTCTCATATCAGATAGACAAAAATACAAATCACAGATTCGTATCATCCTTTGCAGATGACACAAGAATCGGCATGAAAATGATCTCTGCTGAAGACATTGAAAAACTACAAACAGATATTAATAGTGTTCGACTGGGCAATAGAAAATAACATGGCAATTTAAGTACTGTACTCAGGTATGGTAAAAATGAGAACCTTAAACATAATACAGGGTACAAAACAGTCAAATCTGCCCATAGTAAGAAAGCAGCATGTAAAGGATTTTAGAGCAGGGGTGCCATAGGCACAATCAGAGAAGACTATACTCCAAATCCCTGGAAACAATATTTGATTGTCCCACCTCAGGCAATCATTTGCTATTTTGAAAACAAATCTGAAAAGCATTATATCCGAGCCACTGAACAAACCAGCACCATCACACTGGTAACAGTGGGTACTATGCAAAATTGCAAAAACTGTGGAGGATATGGAAAATGTTAATGAAGGATTATTTCAAGTACAGTACTTGACTTTAATAGTATCCCTCAGAATGTGACAATCTGCTTTAGCAGTAGTGGAAGCGAGACCAAGGAGGGAGTGTGGGCAATGATGGACAATGCTATGCTGACAACACAACCACACTGAACTGTCATTTCAATGTTACTAATCAGTAATCACTGCTGGGGGGAAGTTCATATAATAAAATTTATTTTAGTGGCAGAAGAGGGGGGGGGGGGGCAATATTTGAAACCATATTACAAGTACATCTATACTATATATATATATATATATATCTATATATATACTATATATATACTATATATATATATACTATATATATATATACTATATATATATATTACTTAATATATCGACCACTAGTAAATACCTTTTCAATCTTCCCATAGTATTGTCCACAATATTTATACTCAGTAAGGATTCATTTAATATCAATATATTTTAGGAATCAAAACAAAACAGTTTATTGATTTATTTAGTAAAGTATATTTGTACTATTTTCTCAAACAACTATAAACAATGTTTTAATTTATTTTGATCAATAAAATTTGGAAAAAAAGTGCAAATGCTTATGAGATGAGTGTTCAGTACTCATAAACACTTGTCAATGAAGAAATTAAAATAAGTTACGTTGTCATTTACAACCACTGAAGTGCCAAGCTTCTTATATGAATACCAGATATTTTGGGAAGGCAAGAAATCCATTAAGTGACAACATACAATTTCAGTACTGAACACAGTAAGTCAAACATAAAAAACTGGTCCCAATAGCTGCTATAATACACCACACAAGTTTCTCTCAAATGTTGTATAAAATCTTTCTATATGAACAGAAGCATACCTAAAGTGTAATACCATACTGTACTTTATTAAAACTTAAACCCTCCACACTAAATAAAGACTTCTTACATCCTTCTTAATGCATCAATCACACTGAAAGATCTATGCAGTGACTACTACATAAAAAGCACCAGTAATTCAATTTACAATAACACTTTTAGCGATGCCTGTTTTTCTTGCTGCTTTTCTTTATTTTATGTGAGCTCTTAGATACTTTGTGGAGCATAGAAGTGTCGCGTGACGAGTCTCCATTTACTCCAGGATTTACAGAATCTTTAGAATTATCTTCACTGCCAGAATTTACATCATTAGTGTCTGTGTTGTCACCCAAGCGATCACCCATTTGCTCTACAATACCACTTACTGCAGCCATGGATGTGATTGATGACTTGCTAAATAACCGTTCAGCCTCCTTAAATTTTCTGTTTCGTTTGTCATTTTTGGCATTTGTATTTTTGTTAGTAACAAGATATCTATCCCACCCTCTGATAATATTTCCATATAACTGAGTGTCTTCCAAATATGAGCCTTCAAATGCATATATCTGTCGTTCCAGCGAGGCTAAATTATCTGCTATTTCAGCACGTCTTTTTACAAGTTCAGCTAACTCTGCTCTTGTGTCATTACCCGTTCCCGGGGTACTTTTCGACATCTTCATTTTGCAAAAGACCACTACAGTATTACTATTGAGCTCTCACTATAAATATAAACACTACAATGTATTTTTGCTTAAGCAAATCTGACATAGAATACTGTAGTTGTGTCCAGTTTCTATATAAAAGTCCAGATGTACAAAATAAAAGCTCTCTAGCACCAAATCAAGCGAACAATTGGCTTTACATCAGCCTCTCAGCACTTGATAAGTTACTGGAAGTACAAAGATGAAGCAGGGACAGCAACACCCACGAACCTAGAAAAAAAGAGAGAAATTAATATGTACAAGTTTTAAAGAGTTGCTCATTAGCTACTTATCACCTGGCTACATAGCTCACAAACAGTTATTCCTGTAATACTGGAATGATGAGCTAGTCACTGATGAGCTTCTTTAAAACATACACATTAATTTCTCTCAAAATTCAACACCCCTAATCAACAAGAACCACAAAAAATGGCTTCCGATCTTCCCAAAAAATGACTTATTAAATCTTAAAACGGATTACAATCCATAAAGTTGCATGGAATTCTCTTCTGTACAGCTAAACTACAACAGTACAAATAACTTCGAAGACCCTTAGAACTAGATTACCGAAATATATATCTGCAATATATAAACATTCATAAGCATACGTACAAACAATGTAAAGGCAACTTGATCAAGAAAACTAAGGGATGTAGTACTTCATGCTACTTGTTATTTCTCTCCCCTCTACCCATTCTGTATGGTGAATGTTAAATGAATCTTGTGCAGGTGTCTATCAGGGTGACCCCTTTGCCACTCATATCTTACTAGTCATAGCAGTCAACACATGTCTGTCCAGAGTGTGACACCCAGTTCTTAGATAGTGGCATCCTTGCTGGTTCCCTAGGACATCTTTGTTCCTGAATTGTTCTGAGGACATCAGAACAATTCAGGAACATAAAATCAACTTAGGTCTCACCCTGTTAGGTCACCACCCTGTTACATTTTTTCAAAATAATCTCCAGCCAACACATAGCTTAGGTAAAAGATATTATGTCTGAAATGCAACAAACTGATCCTGAAGACGACTCTCTCCTAGGAGCTCCTCTCTTGGGTCAAATTCCATCGACAAGGTATTAACACAACGGCCAGCCCCTCGCACCATCACAACTCCACAACGGCCAGCCCCCTCACACCACCACCACCAACGGCCAGCCCCCTCACACCACCAACGGCCAGCCCACCACCACACACCAACGGCCAGCCCCCTCACACCACCACCACCAACGGCCAGCCCCCCTCACACCACCACCACCAACGGCCAGCCCCCTCACACCACCACCACCAACGGCCAGCCCCCTCACACCACCACCACCAACGGCCAGCCCCCTCACACCACCAACACCAACGGCCACCCCCCTCACACCACCACCACCAACGGCCAGCCCCCTCACACCACCACCACCAACGGCCAGCCCCCTCACACCACCACCACCAACGGCCAGCCCCCTCACACCACCACCACCAACGGCCAGCCCCCCTCACACCACCACCACCAACGGCCAGCCCACACCTCACACCAACGGCCAGCCCCCCCACACCACCACCACCAACGGCCAGCCGCCTCACACCACCAAGAACAACGCCAGCCCCCCTCACCACCAACCACAACGCCAGCCCCCTCACACCACCAACAACAACGCCAGCCCCCCTCACCACCAACAACAACGGCCAGCCCCCCTCACCACCAACAACAACGGCCAGCCCCCCTCACCACCACAACAACGGCCAGCCCCTCACACCACCACCAACAACGGCCCACACCACCACCAACAACGGCCAGCCCCCCACACCACCACCAACAACGGCCAGCCCCCCACACAACCAACAACGGCCAGCCCCTCACACCACCACCACCAACAACGACCAGCCCCTCACACCAACAACAGCCAGCCCCTCACACCAACAACAGCCAGCCCCTCACACCACCATCAACAACGGCCAGCCCCTCACACCAACAACAACGGCCAGCCCCTCACACCACCAACAACAACGGCCAGCCCCCTCACACCACCAACAACAACGGCCAGCCCCTCACACCACCAACAACAACGGCCAGCCCCCCTCACCACCAACAACAACGGCCAGCCCCTCACACCACCAACAACAACCGCCAGCCCCTACACCACCACCACCAACAACAGCCAGCCCCTCACACCACCATCAACAACGGCCAGCCCCTCACACCACCAACAACAACGGCCAGCCCCCTCACACCACCAACAACAACAACGGCCAGCCCCTCACACCACCAACAACAACGGCCAGCCCCCCACCACACCACGGCCAGCCCCTCACACCACCAACAACAACGGCCAGCCCCCTCACACCACCAACAACAACGGCCAGCCCCCTCACACCACCACCAACAACGGCCAGCCCCTCACACCACCACCACCTACGGCCAGCCCCTCACACCACCAACAACTGCTGCCATCAGTGAGGAGAAGGGTGCTGGCGTGCCCCGCAGTATCACGCCATGATAGCGGCATCAGGTAGCGTCCCTGGCGCCATGACCCTCATCTCTCCCTCACCAGGTGTTCCTCACGAAATGAATGCCTCACGCCACAGCCTCAATGTACCCGACAGTCGGCGGCCATACTCACAGTTAAAGGTGGTGTCGGCGTAAGTGGATGATGGAGGATGAGTATAGATGAGCGGCGCCGCTGGTGCTGCTGCTAGTGTTTACCCTCGACAACGGTCCCCCGCCAACACACGCCACGAACATCCACACCAACACCTCCCTTTAACACTCACATAATAAACAACTTTCATCAAACATTCACTACCTAACACGATTCTTTATTAATCATAAATTTTATTCTTCACTTTATAGTAATGTCTTATATGTATAATGAGCCACGATGGATTTTACGGTGAAATATGCATTGTACTGGAAGGTCGCGTATTGGTGTTGACCAGAGTCTCGCGCTCTCTGGTCAAAGGCGCTAACACACAATTCTTTGTTTATATATCTGTGAGTTTTCAGTTGCATATAGTCCTGGGGACCATTCAGGCTTGTTCGCATCTATATATAAAATATGTAAGAAGTACATTGGGTTTGTGCGAGTACATTACATTGATGTTCTTACATTCTTACAAAGCCACTAACACCCAGTAGCGTTTCGGTCGTTATGTCATCGAGGTGAATTAGTATGTACTCACCTAATTGTTCTTGCGGGGGTTTAGCTTCGGTTCTTTTGTCTAGCTTCTCAACTATCAATCAACTGGTGTACAGATTCCTTAGTCTATTGGACTCTCATATATATACATTTTAAACTGTATATGGAGTCAGTCTCCTTCACATGCGTTCCTACTGCATCCACTTATTAACAACTCTGACACTGAAAAAGCTGTTTCCTTTGGGGAAAAAATTCTTTGTGGCTCATTTAGGTATTCGGTTTCCACCTATGTCCCCTTATGCGAGTACCACCCGTCTTAAATAATCTGTCCTTATCTACCTTGGCAATTCCCATGAGTATTTTGTAAGTGGTAATCATGTCTCTCCTAACTCTTCTGTATTCCAGCGACGCAAGGTGCAATTCACGCAGCCTTTTCTCATACCTCGTAGTTCTGGAACTAGTCTAGTGGCATACCTTTGAACCTTCTCTAACTTCGTCTTATAATTCTAAAAAAATAATAAATAATATTATACTTGATAAGGAATGGATTCCATGTTGGAGCCACATATTCCAGGATTGGTCTGACATATGTGGTATACAAGGTTCTAAATGATTCCTTGCGCAAATTTCTAATGGCAGTTCTGATGTTAGCCAGCCTCGCATACGCGCTGATGATATACTTTTTATGTGGGCTTTAGGAGACAGGTTTGGTGTGATATCCACTCCTAGGTCCTTCTCTCTGTCCGTTTCATGGAGGACTTTGTCTTCCAGAGACAAAGCCAGAGCTAAACACCCGCAAGCTCAACTAGGTGAGTACACACACACACACACACACACACACACACACACACACACACACACACACACACACACACACACACACACACACACACACAAAGTTCAATAGAATACGTGTACTATACGCGACTGGCAATGCCAGGGTCGCCGGTTCGATCCCACCTATAATCCTAGTGGGTTTTCTCATTATTTTATATCGCCTCCCTCTCCTCCCTTAGTACCATACACACACGCAGTCCACGGACCCGGGTTCGATTCCTGGATGAAATAAAGCAAATAACATATTTTTGAGACCCCGCCGGAACAGTTTCCCGAATAAGCACACGGCTGGTGGATGTTCCGGGATCTAGCCCCATATCTGCGAAGTTAAATAAATTTTTTCTTCGCAAATAGAGTGGTAGACGGTTGGAACAAGTTAAGTGAGAAGGTGGTGGAGGCCAAGACCGTCAGTAGTTTCAAAGCGTTATATGACAAAGAGTGCTGGGAAGACGGGACACCACGAGCGTAGCTCTCATCCTGTAACTACACTTAGGTAATTACACACACGCACACACACAGCTACGTGTGTGCCAGAGCTACGAGGGATGGGGTATGAGGAGCGCCTGAGGGAACTGTGCCTTACGACACTAGAAAGAAGAAGGGAGAGGGGGGGACATGATAGGAACGTATAAAATACTCAGGGGGATTGACAGAGTGGACATAGACGAAATGTTCACACGGAATAGTAACAGAACGAGGGGACATGGATGGAAGCTTGAAACTCTGATGAGTCACAGAGATGTTAGGAAGTTTTCTTTTAGCGTGAGAGTAGTGGAAAAATGGAATGCACTTCAGGAACAGGTTGTGGAAGCAAATACTATTCATAATTTTAAAACCAGGTATGATAGGGAAATGGGACAGGAGTCATTGCTGTAAACAACCGATGCTCGAAAGGCGGGATCCAAGAGTCAATGCTCGATCCTGCAGACACAACTAGGTGAGTACAACTAGGTGAGTACACAACCCGTCAACGTATAACTTCAACATACTTATAAAGGAGGCAAGCTATGGTCACGGTCCAGTGATGAGTGCCACCACGGGCGAGTGCACACTTATACTGTGCACTTAACGCTCTCCTTCCAGTGTATTTAATATTTACTCTGCCGCTCGTAAGTGAATACAGGTCTTGAATTTTGGAAAAGTCCTCCAAAGAATCACCACCACCAGCATCACCACCACCACCATCACCACCACCACCAGCATCACCACCACCACCACCACCACCACCACGGCACGTAGCAACAAGCCTCAGACAGCCGTGCTTGTGTGCTGATGAGGGGTAATGTGCGGCCACCATGATGCTCCCCGCCTCCACCTACCCTTATCCTTCTCTACCTTCTGGTACTCTACTATTTACTTCAACTAGTGCATTTCAGCGAGTGTATTCTAGCATTTGTGGGTCTATTATACACTGGCCTTAAGCCTACATACAACTGGTCCTCCATGATGGCTACTACTGTCACTGTTACCTGCACCTGCTGTTAGTTCACCAGTGTGTTTGAACAGCCAAGAGACAGCACAATATGCACATGGAGGAAAACAGGAAGATAAAATAATACGCAATAAATGGTTAAGTTCAATCAAAATACCAACGGTCTTTACCGGCAGCCCGTCCTCCTAAGTTGTCAAAACAGATAACAAAAAAGGATAACTAAAACGCGCGAACCTAACATAACCTAACCTAACCTTCGACCCAGGCGTGGAACATGTGAAAACTCCCAAACGACCCACAAAAATACTTACAAACGCCCAACAGAAAAGCGGGAAAAGCCCAACAAAAAAGTGCCAGAAATTAATTCAGTTTTAATCCTGTTTTAATGAGGCTCAAACCATAATAGTAGTAATAATAATAATAGTAATAATAATAATAATAATAATAATAATAGTTTGTTTAGCTAAAAGTAGCGCAACCACTTGGGGCTGGACGTTAGAGCGACACTCCCTTTATGCAGGTCGGCGTTCAATTCCAGACCGTCCAAGTAGTTGGACACCATTCCTTTCCCTCCGTCCCATCCCAAATCCTTATCCTGACTCCTTCCAAGTGCTATATAGTCGTAATGGCTTGGTGCTTTCCCCTGATAACTTCCTCCTTAGCTAAAAGTACATACAAAGTGAGTTACAATGAGAATGTTGGACTGCAAGACAGGGCTAGTATATATTACGCATAAAGCCACGAACCAGCGTTCAGGGCGCAGCCGTGTGTGTGGCGCAGGTCGCCTACAATCTGCATATCATCATGACATCTTGGTCCATGTTTACGTCCCTTACAGCAGCCCCGCCAACCTTGAACATCTCGATGTTTCAGGTATTGAGGTATTAACTTCCATTAATCATGAAGAAGGGAATTAGTATGATTGGCAAGTAGGGATGACCGTTGGTGAATATGTTAAACTATGTAACTACCTCATCAAAGCTGTAACTTGGTTTGCAAACGGCTTTTCCACCACCACTATCAGGATAGGTATGGGGTCCACCACCCCTCACAGGTTGAGTATGGTGCCCACCCCCCACTCACAGGATGGGTATGGGGCCCACCCCCTACTCACAGGATGGGTATGGGGCCTACATCTAAAGCTTCTGCGTGATAACAAAAACAACATTGTGTCAGTTGCACTGTTAGAACACATACGAAATGGAACCAGCGAGTCTAAATGGATTCAAAGAACAGTCACTCATATTAAAATGATGAGACTGCACGATGTATATACAGATGAAAGAGTACAGCACTTCCTTCCACCCTGGCAGATAGTACCTTTTGACATCCTGACCCCTGCATACCCCACCAAGAAACTAATCACAAACAACCCTCATGCTCAGTTTGCTGCTAAATTAAGCACCATATAACACATTCACAATATACAAGCTGAAAACAACATTGCACAGACCATATACACTGACGGATCACTCAATACAGCTACAGGGAGGGCAGGAAGTGCTGTTATTGCTCATCAGCCCGATGGTAGCACAATTCAAACGAATATCCGACTTAGTAACTGGGCGTCCACAATGCAAGCCGAGTTGATAGCAATACTGGTAGTACTTGAAATTATTGACAACACTGAAGTAGACAGCTTAATTATTTCTGACTCCCTTTCCTCACTACGAGCAGTTTGCATAAACAGTTTGCAATCAAGTAATAACGTGCTTGTCTTGGAAGCTAGACGTAGATATATAAGAATACTTAGCAAGAGGGTAAATATAAAAATGTTGTGGATTCCTTCTCACATTGGCCTGCAGGAACATGACAAAGTTGACGCCCTTGCTAAGGCTGCAGTAAATAAAGACAGTATTGAACGGAATCTGGAGTTATCAAATAGGTCCCTTAAAAGTGTCATTAGACGAGAACTCCTGGATGAATTTGAAAAAAGTAGAACAGTGCAAACTGGAACTAGCAGGTCCATTGTTCATCACAATGAAATGTGTGAAGTAAAACATGTGTATGGGGCAAGTAACAAAGTCAGTAGACTAACAGATGTTGTCACAGCTCGTATAAGACTTGGCTACAAGTATCTCTGGCAGTTCGGCTTGTATAGGGATCTAGATGAAGTAAAGTGTAAAGTGTGTGGACAAAGACAGGGACACACACTCGAACACTATATCTTGGATTGTAGTAAAATTGAGCCATTTAGAGATAAATCTAAGCTCACTCTGTATGATATGGCAACCTATCTTATTACCATGGATAAATTACCTGAAATCCTTGCACTGCATCCACATTTCGCTTCCAGTAGATGAACGACATATGAGATTCAGAAACAAGTGGAGTATTGTGAGGACTAATAATAAACAGAAGCTCTCCTATGACTCTGTAATATCCCCCATTGGTCAAACTATTGTGTATTAGCGATAAGACCTACCATTAATGTATGATGACATTATTAGATTATGTAATAATTAAAAAAAAAAAAAAAAAAAAAAAAAAAGAGGTCTGATAAAGATCTCTTGTGCCCTCTGTAATGCTTTTGCGCTACCGCTCACAGGATGAGTATGGGGTGCACAATAAACTAGCCGCCTTCGGCGGCAACAATCATCAAAACCTACCACCACTCACAGGATGGGTATGGGGCCCACCACCACTCACAGGATGGGTATGGGGCCCACCACCACTCACAGGATGGGTATGGGGCCCACCACCACTCACAGGATGGGTATGGGGCCCACCACCACTCACAGGATGGGTATGGGGCCCACCACCACTCACAGGATGGGTATGGGGCCCACCACCACTCACAGGATGGGTATGGGGCCCACCACCACTCACAGGATGGGTATGGGGCCCACCACCACTCACAGGATGGGTATGGGGCCCACCACCACTCACAGGATGGGTATGGGGCCCACCACCACTCACAGGATGGGTATGGGGCCCACCACCACTCACAGGATGGGTATGGGGCCCACCACCACTCACAGGATGGGTATGGGGCCCACCACCACTCACAGGATGGGTATGGGGCCCACCACCACTCACAGGATGGGTATGGGGCCCACCACCACTCACAGGATGGGTATGGGGCCCACCACCACTCACAGGATGGGTATGGGGCCCACCACCACTCACAGGATGGGTATGGGGCCCACCACCACTCACAGGATGGGTATGGGGCCCACCACCACTCACAGGATGGGTATGGGGCCCACCACCACTCACAGGATGGGTATGGGGCCCACCACCACTCACAGGATGGGTATGGGGCCCACCACCACTCACAGGATGGGTATGGGGCCCACCACCACTCACAGGATGGGTATGGGGCCCACCACCACTCACAGGATGGGTATGGGGCCCACCACCACTCACAGGATGGGTATGGGGCCCACCACCACTCACAGGATGGGTATGGGGCCCACCACCACTCACAGGATGGGTATGGGGCCCACCACCACTCACAGGATGGGTATGGGGCCCACCACCACTCACAGGATGGGTATGGGGCCCACCACCACTCACAGGATGGGTATGGGGCCCACCACCACTCACAGGATGGGTATGGGGCCCACCACCACTCACAGGATGGGTATGGGGCCCACCACCACTCACAGGATGGGTATGGGGCCCACCACCACTCACAGGATGGGTATGGGGCCCACCACCACTCACAGGATGGGTATGGGGCCCACCACCACTCACAGGATGGGTATGGGGCCCACCCGCACCCCCCACATAATGGGTATGGGGCCCACCACCACTCACAGGATGGGTATGGGGCCCACCACCACTCACAGGTTGGGCATGGGGCCCACCACTACTCACAGGTTGGGTATGGGGCCCACCACTACTCACAGGTTGGGTATGGGGCCCACCACCACTCACAGGATGGGTACGGGTCCACCACCACTCACAGGTTGGGTATGGGACCCACCATCACTCACAAGATGGGTATGGGGCCCACTACCACTCACGAGATGGGTATGGGTCCACCACCACTCACAAGATGGGTATGGGGCCCACCACCACTCACAAGATGGGTATGGGGCCCACCACCACTCACAGGTTGGGCATGGGCCCACCACCACTCACAAGATGGGTATGGGGCCCACCACCACTCACAAGATGGGTATGGGACCTACCACCACTCACAAGATGGGTTTGGGGCCTACCACCACTCACAAGATGGGTATGGGGCCCACCACCACTCACGAGATGGGTATGGGACCCACCACCACTCACAAGATGGGTATGGGGCCCACCACCACTCACGAGATGGGTTTGGGGCCCACCACCACTCGCAAGATGGGTATGGGACCCACCACCACTCACAGGATGGGTATGGGGCCCACCACCATTCACAGGATGGGTATGGGGCCCACCACCACTCACAGGATGGGTATGGGGCCCACCCACACCCCCCACATAATGGGTATGGGGCCCACCACCACTCACAGGATGGGTTTGGGGCCCACCACCACTCACAGGATGGGTATGGGGCCCACCACCACTCACAGGTTGGGCATGGGGCCCACCACTACTCACAGGTTGGGTATGGGGCCCACCACTACTCACAGGTTGGGTATGGGGCCCACCACCACTCACAGGATGGGTATGGGTCCACCACCACTCACAGGTTGGGTATGGGACCCACCACCACTCACAAGATGGGTATGGGGCCCACTACCACTTACGAGATGGGTATGGGTCCACCACCACTCACAAGATGGGTATGGGGCCCACCACCACTTACAGGGTTGGGCATGGGCCCACCACCACTCACAAGATGGGTATGGGGCCTACCACCACTCACAAGATGGGTATGGGGCCTACCACCACTCACAAGATGGGTATGGGGCCCACCACCACTCACGAGATGGGTATGGGGACCCACCACCACTCACGAGATGGGTATGGGACCCACCACCACTCACGAGATGGGTATGGGTCCACCACCACTCACAAGATGGGTATGGGGCCCACCACCACTCACAAGATGGGTATGGGGCCCACCACCACTCACAAGATGGGTATGGGGCCCACCACCACTCACGAGATGGGTATGGGGCCCACCACCACTCACGAGATGGGTATGGGGCCCACCACCACTCACAGGACGGTTATGGGGGATGCATATAATATATAAACTAAACTGAAGGTTGCCAGAAAGTGCCACAAGGGATGGTGGTTGTGCAGGGCACCACCGCCCACCGCCAGTACCACCGCCACTCCTACACGAACAACACCCACCATCATGGCACCAGTCCTTGGCTACTGGGCCCTCCGCGGGGTAAGATATTATGCTTGATTCAGTCGAGTGCGTGATATGTTTGTATGCGGTAATTATAGACGACTAGCCCTGTACTTTAGGCACTAATTAATGGTATGGTAATTCCCTTGCCAACAGCAAGCAGGTCGACCCACTCCGCGTGCTAATTATATAAACTGGAAGACAGCCTAATAGCCTACACAATATTATTTTTAGTGCAGCCTACTAGACTAGCCTCATGCCATGTATGACTACCCTGTGAGATGGTGATAATAGGTAAAGACAGATAGTTCTTGACCCTAACACGGGAGCCTATCACACAAATTTAAGCGGAAACACATTGCTGTGTAACTGTCTTGATCCAAAACACAATTAAACCTGAAGCCATTCCTTAATGATGTGTTAACACACAAAATTGTACGGATTCTCTGTCTTTATTTACATTTAGTTATTTTAGTACAATTGAGTTACTTTTATTTTATATTAGATAGGCAATCCGGCGGTACCCGAGTCTCTGTCTGTCTGTCTGTCTGTCTGTCTGTCTGTCTGTCTGTCTGTCTGTCTGTCTGTCTGTCTGTCTGTCTGTCTGTCTGTCTGTCTGTCTGTCTCTCTCTCTCTCTCTCTCTCTCTCTCTCTCTCTCTCTCTCTCTCTCTCTCTCTCTCTCTCTCTCTCTCTCTCTCTCTCTCTCTCCCTCCCATTCTTTCTCCCTTCGTCCCTTCGTCCATCTCGTTCTCTCTCCCAGTGGGCAAAAGATGCTCGAGTTGATTCAACGTCGATAACAGCCATAAGATCTATTTTCAAGGCACTGTAGATAATCAAAGCTATATTTCATATTTCTTAGGAGTCAATGAGATTCAGAATAGGAGCCGATTCTTCTTGAAGCGGGCATGAAGGTCAACCCCAAACATGCTATGACATAAGAACATAAGAATGAAGGTCACTGCAGAAGGCCTATTGACCCATATGAGGCAGTTCCTATTTATATCCACCCAATCTCATTCATATATATGTCTAACCTACGCTTGAAACAATTGAGGGATCCTACTTCTATTATGTTACGCGGTAATTAGTTCCGCAAATCAACAACCCTGTTACCGAACCAGTATTTACCCAGGTCGCCATACAATCCCCAATCACCATGCGAAGTTCTGTGAGATTAGCCCCAAGCGTCTGTCCAATCTCGGACAGACAGACATTCTTCCTTATAGATATAGAAGTGTGGATTAGGCTATTTGTTTCAGTCATATTGTTGCGAGTTATTCTCTGCATTTCTATGATAATAGCCAATTAAAAGCTTTTGTATCATTAAAACATATTTTTGTTTAGACTTGTATTATATCATATGCTCAACTTTGTGATACAACGTCTGAATGTATCAGCTGTATAATCTGTCATGTATCATTTGTAATATTTACCTGAAAATATATTTGTAGTGCCAACTGTGTCTAGTACTTGCATTAGTTAAGCTTAGTTTTATTTTTCTGTTGTGTGAAACACTGCATCCTCGCGTTACCAATACCTCGCTTTGTTTATCTTGAATTGTTTAGTGTTAATGGCAACAAATTGAAGCACAAACTGGCTAAACATGTATTGCAGCTGCTGTGTAAACTGTTTCTACACTGACATGTATCACAGCTGCTGTGTAAACTGTTTCTACACTGACATGTATCACAGCTGCTGTGTAAACTGTTTCTACACTGACATGTATCACAGCTGCTGTGTAAACTGTTTATACACTGACATGCATCACAGCTGCTGTATAAACTGTTCCTACACTGTCATGTATCACAGCTGCTGTGTATACTGTTTCTACACTGACATGTATCACAGCTGCTGTATAAACTGTTTATACACTGACATGTATCACAGCTGCTGTGTAAACTTTTCTACATGGAGTCGTAATTAACACTGACGAATCTCCGTAAATATTGCATACAATTCTTACCAATCACGTGATAAAGTGAAATAAAAATTGTTCAGAAAATACTGTACAACCTCTGCAGTGAGGAGCTAGAATTATCACGGTTAGCCTAAACTAAGCTCAAGGTCGACCCCGCACTCAAGCATTTGTGCATATAACGCTTGCAACTGCCATGTTGCTCTTTAGTCAAGGATGCCAGGCTAGTTGCCACATGTGGTGTAATTTAATAGATAAACTTTCATCTAGGTGCAATGATTGCGCTACGTTGTATGCAAGAATATTTTTGTTTTCATTATAATAAGATAGATAAATTGTTAGACTTTTCTGATGAGTTTAGCTAGAAATATCTTATAATTTTTATTAATTCTGTTGGGACAGGGAGCCTGTGTATCGTTTTAAACGATATATATATATATATATATATATATATATATATATATATATATATATATATATATATATATATATATATATATATATATATATATATATATATATGTCGTACCTAGTAGCCAGAATGCACTTCTCAGCCTACTATGCAAGGCCCGATTTGCCTAATAAGCCAAGTTTTCCTGAATTAATATATTTTCTCTAATTTTTTTCTTATGAAATGATAAAGGTACCCATTTCATTATGTATGAGGTCAATTTTTTTTATTTGAGTTAAAATTAACGTAGATATATGACCGAACCTAACCAACCCTACCTAACCTAAGCTATCTTTATAGGTTAGGTTAGGTTAGGTAGCCGAAAAAGTTAGGTTAGGTTAAGTTAGGTAGGTTAGGTAGTCGAAAAACAATTAATTCATGAAAACTTGGCTTATTAGGCAAATCGAGCCTTGCATAGTAGGCTGAGAAGTGCATTCTGGCAACTAGGTACGACATATATATATATATATATATATATATATATATATATATATATATATATATATGTCGTACCTAGTAGCCAGAATGCACTTCTCAGCCTACTATGCAAGGCCCGATTTGCCTAATAAGCCAAGTTTTCCTGAATTAATATATTTACTATAATTTTTTTCTTATGAAATGATAAAGGTACCCTTTTCATTATGTATGAGGTCAATTTTTTTTATTTGAGTTAAAATTAACGTAGATATATGACCGAACCTAACCAACCCTACCTAACCTAAGCTATCTTTATAGGTTAGGTTAGGTTAGGTAGCCAAAAAAGTTAGGTTAGGTTAGGTTAGGTAGGTTAGGTAGTCGAAAAAACATTAATTCATGAAAACTTGGCTTATTAGGCAAATCGAGCCTTGAATAGTAGGCTGAGAAGTGCGTTCTGGCTACTAGGTACGACATATATATATATATATATATATATATATATATATATATATATATATATATATATATATATATATATATATATATACACGTTAGTTTTATATGGAGGTCCTCCCTGACCCTCCCCCAGATGCAGACTCACAACAGTTCACTAACTTCTGGGTAGTTACTTCTAGGGGAACAGTGGCATTAGGTAATTGGAAACGTCCTCAACCATTTCTGTCCCGATTGGAATTCGAGCCCGGAATTCCCGATTATGAATCGTGAACGAAGCCAACTGTGCTACGGAGAGCAAAACATACTTTTATAAGAGAGCTGAACTGTGGAAGTCATAACAACACCGGCCTGTGGGGGGCTGTGAAGGCCGCCCTGTGGCTGCTGCCTTGTCTGGTGTCAAGTGTTGCCATGCGTCAAGTTACTATGCCAGACACATTCACCCGGCAAGTGTTGCCAGGCGCCAGTCACTGGTCCACACACATTCATCCGTCAAGTGCGAGGATGGACACCCAAGATACTTCTTGAGCATTTCCTCCACTCACAGTTAACCTTACCAAGATCAGTATTTTGTGGGTGCGATAGTCCACATCCAGACAAGTTTAGACAGTGACTTAAATAAATTTACTTCCGACCAGGTTTGCTTGTCGCCTTCTTTCTCGCGCCCTCTTTATAAAGTTAATAATGCAAGCCCGGACCACTGTCCCGGACACATGTATTCGTAATCTTGCAACACTGCAACCAGAATCTCGTGTAACCAGACATAATATAATTATATTAGGTTATAGACGTTCTTAGAGTATGTTTGGAGTTGTCTAAAGAAGTTGAAGAGTGAGAGGAACTGCCTTCATGATGAACGAGTCCATAATGGTACACATAATTATGAGGACAACTGGTGAACACTGAGCAGACAAGTGCTGGAGCACCAAGGACACCAGACGGAGCTCCGGGGACCTTGGGCAGTCATGCCAACCTCAACATTAGGCGACGCCGCCTACTAACATTCTTGTCGAGTTCATATATTGCATTCCTGGAGAGTGTAGACTTACTGGTGTCCTAAACTGGTTAAATTAAAATGCTTGTGCAGTGAAGGTACTGTACAATACCTGGAAATTGTTTTGTGAGAGGGAATGGCTGAGACAGTGGTCAGTATATATATCATAGTACTGAGTTTTGTCTTGATTTTTGCAAATGAGGCGCATCCTTGTCCCTATAGGAGGTATACTCAGAAGCAATGGTCCTGTCACTTTACTGACTACTACAGTTTTAACATTTTAGTGATTGATGATTGATGAAGATTAAGCCATCCAAAAGGTGGCACGGGCATGAATAGCCCGTAAATGGTAGATTTTTTTTTGTATCCCAACATTTTAGTAATTGCTGCATGGTTAATATTAGTGTAACTGTTCATAATTCTTGCAGAGGTTAAGGTATTATGCTTGGACTGACTGTAAAACAGATTTGTTTGATTAATCTTCCATTTGTAAGGTAGTTTTTCTCACTTAACTCATTTAGTAACTAATATTAAATATTAGATAATTATGTATTTATTTACACGAGTACAAAAATCATCCCTACGGGCTCGTAGAAACTAATGGTGCTGTACTTGACTGTTCAGCATAGCAGCACCAGCTTGGCTGCCTCTGTGTTGCCCCGGACATGTTACATAACACTGGCCGGCTATACTAGGCTTTGTACACTGCCCTTATTGGGCTTAGGGTGTGTCTTTTGGACTGCTGTATATGACATATCGGATATATCCTTAATATTTTGTTATTCTGGCATTGTTCTGAATTGTGCACATTTGTAGTATTGTACTGATAATGAAGATATCTGCATATCGGGGTATAAGTGAAATGTTTTTACCGATTCATATTAAATGTGAACATTAAATTCGCTGCACTTGAACTACACTTCAAATGTTTTCAAGATTATTTATTATCATGAGCCATGAACCAGGCCATTGTTTGAGGATTTCAAAGGCAACGCCAGACTCCACGTATGTACTGATATGATATGAATTCTGTTACAAAACATTTTTTACGATAAAAGACACTTCAGATTAGATATCATGCTTCATTCACATCTATATACCTCTACCCGCCTTCACGGTTACTAGGACTAACCGACAATTTTTTGTTTGCATTTATCTAAAGAATAAATACAGAGTATTTATACTAAATACAGTATAGTACAGTATGTACTATACTGTACATTCAGTATGTATTATACGTACTATACTGTACACTGTACATACACTTTATACTGTACAGTATAGTACAGTATAAATACAGCATGTAATACAGTATAGTATTAATAAATATAGAGTAAGAATAAATAGAAAACTAGACTTTGTTGGAAGGAGCAAGCAGAGAAAATACTTTTAATATTTCATAAACACCAATGTCCAATCTTAATACTGAACCGACAGACATATGTTTATAAAAATATATAATTTAAGTGCCAAATTTACGTCATCAGGCTGCAGGTGGCTTATCATAGTGTTAAAGTATTAGTGTCAATATAACTAATATCCATAAATTGATAAATACAGCTCTTACTCTAATAATTACAGTAATCATAAGAAAGTATAATATATGCTGCTTGTTTGATCAGGGTTGAAGATGGTATGCTGACCGTTGACCTGTACAACAATACTGTCAATGCTCACACCTTAGGGCTTAGGTCATGGTTGATTTGCAATATATAATGTAAATTATTGGGTGTACCTGTTGCAGCTGGCGCAGCCCATCCGGCTGGCGCTGGAGTATACTGGAGAGGCTTACGAGGAGAAGCTCTACAACTTCGGCTCACCGGATCACGACAGGTCTGAATGGCTCGACGAAAAGTTCAAATTAGGACTCGATCTTCCCAACGTGAGTATTGAATTTACTTTTGCACGATACGATACGTTTGTGTTAATTAAATTTCTGATTTGTGTTCATGTGTTACTTAAGAGATTACTGTGAAAGAAAGATATATATATATATATATATATATATATATATATATATATATATATATATATATATATATATATATATAATATAATTATTTAGGGGTACCACCACTGGTTTAATTAAAGGGACCCACATCCTCGAAGAAGAAAATAAATAGTGTTCAGAGAAGACCTTGTGGATTCTCACTATATATATATATATATATATATATATATATATATATATATATATATATATATATATATATATATATATATATATATATATATATATATATATATATATACACGTTATAATTAGGCGTGTTAAACATTATTGTATAAACGCTCTTCTTTGTAATATTTAACGTGTGTTAGGTACTGGGAAGGTGAACAACCCTTCCAGCCTCGGGTGCTGCCGTGGCAGGAAGCTCCGAGGCTCTGGGATCTAGTAGTTGGAGGATGCTGGCAAACACATTTGTATCCACTGTCTTGTAGAATTCATAAGACTGATCAACCATCATTTGTACATGAACAGAAGCAGTGTTTGTGCGTCAGTGACACACTAGACCCAGCTCACTAGCATAATCAGAACTCTCGTCTGACAATCAAATACATTTCCGGTCTTTCCTTTAACTTTACTTCTCAGGTCAACAGTACTCTTACTACCCTTGCAAGATGCAGGTAAAGACTTAGCATTCTAAGTTATGTCAAAAGTTCTGGGGTCTCTGTTCTTTTGGCCAGGAATTCATGCTTTGTATTTTACCTCAAAATTTATATCTTAATTTCACACCCCTTCTCTTGCTCTTCGATCTCTGTCTCTCTCTCTGTCTCTCTTTCCATTTTGTACGGTGTCTATTCTTTTACAGTGCTACATACCCTTTTGACCTGAGCACCTTATGGTTTTTATATCTATTGCAACTCAGTTCTCGTCTTCTCTCCCAGTTCTATTTATGAAAATAGTGTCACAAATTAAAACAAAAAATACAATTTAAAAAAAATATATATATAATACATACCAATCATAATACATACCAATACATAACAATCTATAGCTACTTGGCGTTCAGTCATTAGTTATCAAAATACATAAGTAAGGAAGGTTAGTAAACTAGGTTAATCCATCTCAGGATAGAGAGAGAGAGAATACTAAACACCCAACACACTTTCTTGTAGCTGCCATACTACATTGACGGAGATGTGAAGATCACTCAGAGCAACGCCATCCTCCGCTACATCGGGCGCAAGCACGACCTGTGCGGCAAGACAGAGCAGGAGAGGATACGGGTCGACGTGCTGGAGAACCAGGCTATGGATTACCGTATGGCATATTATCAACTCGCCTACGGCAATTACGTAGGTCCAATACACTCATGTCGTGCGTAATGAGTAGATACTATTGTGGAAAGATCTTGGTAGTACCGCTGATGCGTTTTACAAATTTACGAGTTGTTGAAATAAGTCATGCTTATAGCAGTCGTTCCCTGGGTACGACTATAGTTCCCAGGGAAGATACTGGTGGTTAGTCTGATACTGATTGTTTAGTGCCACTGAGAAGGTTATCGTCCCACAGAACACACACAAGGAGCAGTACCTGAAGGACCTGGCAACTAAATTGAAGACACTTTCTGACCTCCTGGGCGACCAAAAATGGTTCGTGGGAGACCAGGTATGTTATTAGTGATGCAAGTCTGTAATACATGCAGCTCGCATTTGCGTTTACCTTTGTCATTTGAATGTTGATTATGGGAACTTGCCATGATTCATTACTTACTTTGCTATAGACTTATGTCAGCAGGCTATACAGTATTTAACATTTATAAATTATAGAGCATAGTATTGTATTAGTGCTAAATATATCATACATATTTCCATGAATAGACTAATGCTTGAATGAACTGCTTACTTTTATTCTAGTTGTTACTGTTATATGACAGTGTAGGTCCGGTCAGTGGGAAGTCGGGCTACGCCATTTATAAGCAGTTTAAGGCTTACTAATACAACTTAGAATGCTCTAGAACGGAACGAACCTTGATAAAAAAATTTATACGCGAGTTTGTTCTGCGTTAATTTGCCACCGATTCACTCAAAATCTTTATAATCTATAAGATGGCAAATTTTCCAACAGATCACCATCTCAGATTTTGTACTGTACGAGTTGCTGGACGTCCACCTCCAGCTGCACGATGTCTGCCTCGCCGACGCCAAGAACCTTCAGCAGTTTATGAAACGTTTTGAAGCCCTTCCGGCCATCAAGACTTACATGGCGTCTCCCAGGTTCATGAAGGCGCCCCTCAATGGGCCCCAAGCCTTAGTGGGCAACAAGTAAATCATTTGGTTTGTGGAAGACTTATGTCAGCAGGTTAATTGTACTGTTAAAAAAAACTTAACGCTGAGCAGTGTGAGGTAGCCCAATATTTCCAGCAGCCTTTCATATCTAAACCTAATTTGAACAGCCAAGTTTGTAGAATTTTGTTTTATTTGTGCTGAATTTTAAATAAAACTAAAATCAAAATTTCTCATAGTTTTACAATATTAATTTATAAAACCATGTTTGATTCACCAACTTTACAAGATGTGCGCGGAGCTAAGAGTCTAACAGCTGAAATTAAAGAAAAATTTCTTCCTTTCATAAACCGGTTGAAACAACCCAAACCGGTTGGTTTGTAGCAGATGAGCATCACACTGCGCACAGTTTGCATTTATTATTGTTCTACGGCTGGCACGCCTAGTTATGGCCCACTGACAAATCTGTAGTAGACGTAAAATTAATGTCGGCAATTTCTGGCTTTATTCAAGGAAACGTTGAATTTAGTTTTAAGGTTGGATTTATATAATTTCCTAGATTTCAACCATTATTACAAGTAAGTAATTATCAAAAGAAGGCGCTCAGCTGGGGAGACTAAGTAGCATCATCAGTGTCGCTGGATATTCGAAAGGCGCTAAATATCACTGGGTCATTATGAGAAACAAAAGGCGAGCGATATCAAAGGTATCAGACTCGCCAAGGATGTTATCGAGAGACATTAGGAAAGCAAGACATACTATCGTCCTGAAAATCGGGACATTCTTGCTTGCACAAGGAGACACGACTGTAGTGGGACAATGTAGAGAGCGGTGTACACCCCAGAGCCCCCAACAGGACCACGCTTCTCAGCCCAGCCAGCCCGGTGTTCAGCTCCATGTATGTCGTGCAGCTGGGTCAAGCCCGGTTCTGTCTCTGCCACTGCAAGTGCTTCCTCTACATGTTGTTGCTATAGATTCAGCTACTCGGAACAAGTTCCAAGTATCTTCTTGAGTATCTTGAGATGATTTCGGGTTTTTTTTTTAAGTGTCCCCGCGGTCCAGTCCTCGACCAGGCCTCCACCCCCAGGAAGCAGCCCGTGACAGCTGACTAACACCCAGGTACCTATTTTACTGCTAGGTAACAGGGGCACAGGGTGAAAGAAACTCTGCCCATTGTTTCTCGCCGGCGCCTGGGATCGAACCCGGGACCACAGGATCACAAGTCCAGTGTGCTGTCCGCTCGGCCGACCGGCTCCCCCTACGGGCTATGGTGAGCAGTAGCACGGGCTATGATGAGCCCGTAACTTACCTGGCACAGGAGCGGTGCTTTTTTTTTTTTGTTCCTCTACAGGACGACCCTTCAGCTATACCCACTTCCACGCTTGCTCTATCGGCACCTTGACCTGCACTTGATTCAATTAAGTAAAGAGCAGTTCCATTAAATGTCCCATTATAACAAGCTTTAAGGCACCAACAAGTATATAGCATCTAATTAAACTTATATAGAAAGTATTGACTCAGTTCTACTTCATAACAAGAGGCCTAGCAGAAAATCCTGCTTCATTCATTTCACTAAACTGTTGGTGCAACTAGTCTATAGTTTAATATTAATAAGCAACGTTCTGCCGTTTTCTTTGATCCTTCGAACGAAAGTAAACTTTTCTTTAGAATTCAGGCGTGTTAATGTAAAAGTATTTTCCATATTAATAAACAAGTTCAATATTATCTCAACCCATTTAATAATTTGCTTCATTGGAGGGAGGACGGAAGGTCGAGGGAGAGTTAATGTTGGAAAAGTGAGGAGCTGAGGACAAGAAAGAATCAAAAGCAGCAATCTAGAAAGCTATATGGCACCGTTATAGACTATTCAAGAGTTTCTAGAGATCATTTAGGATGCCATTATAAGAGCACAAAGACTAGCACGATTTCAAAAGTTATCAAAATTATAGGATTTCATTTTGGGATTTTAGACTAAGTTAATTTAAGCACAATTTATAATACTGAATAGTCAGGATATTCTACGAGGAGGAGCAAGACTGTCAGCAGAACAATGCGGTTATTAACATTAGGAAAGGTGAAGGTCTTTGTTCCATAAGTGGCCATCTGGTGTAGCCAGTACGTGACGTGGCCACATACTGGCCAGGGAAGTCTTACCGCTCTAACCTTCACTGTCTTTACAATATATCTTTCAATTTGTTACCCAAATTTCACTGTCTAAAATGTAAGACAGATTTAGATAGCTTTACACCAGTTTGGTCCAGCCAGTATTGATGTTTGTTTACGTGTTTTCGGACTAAGCTTCTAATTCTGATAATTACAACGCTATGCTGTTACTTTGACGTAATTAATGTACAAGTAACCATCAATCTTTTCAACAGTTGATGGTAGGGGGAGCAGACAGCTTGTGTTACACAATACATTAGTGAGGAGTCACGCCTGTAGGTCGATAAGGCTATCACCGATCTCATTGTGTACAGTATCTTACCTTCTGCCCACTTCCTCACTACCACACCGACGGCTTCAAGTTCAAATTAACAATTTACAAAATATAATCAACCAATACACTTTAGTATTTAAAATTAATTACGGGTCTAACGAACAAATTGACTGCTGCATTTTTATAGTTATTTTTGTAGACACGAGAAAGCACCCATACCTAAATATTCTTAGACTAATATATTATGTGTATGTTACACACTGTGTGTATGTACTAAATTAGTCCTAAGGTAGTATATTAGTCCTAGGACAGGTTGTTAGGTTGGTTAAGTATTTACCAAAAGAAGGCGCTGACCCGGGAAGATTTATTAGGCTGGTGAACTTAAAAATGTTTGGCGTGCTATTTAGAGTATTCCAATAACACACAACCAAGTGAGGTATAACGTTTTGTTCGGTCCATCAATACTTGCTACAAGCACTATCACTTTTGGGGGATGGGTTCATTATAATATACATAATCATCTCTCCATACAATACGACTTAAGTGTGTCTTACTTAATTGCTGCTGCTCCTAAATTGGTGGTTTGTGTTCGGCTTTTGTTTGAAATGTTTAAATCTAGCATGTCAAAAACCGTTATTATGGAGTTTCAACTGCCGAGGTCAGCGACCCTAACCTAGCTGTCACGTCGGCCAGGAATGTCCATCGATTAGTTGTGGCAGCCGGGAAGCCATCAAGGTTTTCCCAGAATTAATTAGCTTCTAGACTTCGCAGAATGGACCGTCAACATATTTGGGTCAGGGGGAGGGGTGAATTTGTATGCATGTTTACATGTATAATATACATATGTGTATGTATAACACATATGTATATGACCATGTAGCTCGGTCGATAAAGGCAGCGTCTGGGATGATCTCGGACGTAGGTTCGAATCCTCGTCACGGCCCTTGTGGATTTGTTCACATATGTGTATGTGATCCCCATTGCTGGGGACGAAAAGGGTCAAGATGATTTGTGGAAACAATCTTACTGATAAGATCAATGACAATTCAGAAATGAGCTCCCCCCCCCCTCTTGGTGCTATACAAGATTATAGTACCAAGATTCCATGATGTACTAATCAAAAAGCGCTAAGCCAGTTTGGCTATGTAACACTGCTACACAATTCACGAACGTCTATGCATTACTCAGATCTCAACACACAGCAGAAAGACAGAGGAGCGACACTGAAGAAGGTTAACAATAAATTATTATTTTGCTCCATACAGTTATGAACATTTTTATATCTGCTGTCAGGAAAACTCTTTTCTTCCAGAAATATTGTAGTGATACCAAATATGTTAACCTGTTTACTAGAGCCCTAAACAATGACACGGTTGGCTTTATAATCAATTGAATAATTTGTCAGAATAAGAACTAAGAATTTATTGTATATATTGTTGGAACATACATGGCTACAGTTGCAAAACTGAAAACACTTTACTTGTAATGAAAATGCTGTATCAGCACTATCTTTGGTGAGGAAAATTTATTTGTTCCCAAACTTGGCCATGGGACCGTTCAGAGGAGTCTTCATAAAACTGGGAGAAGACATGTACTTCTTAATGGTGGGCAGCGCCTCAAACCGCTTCACGAACTCTTGCAGGTTCTGAGTGTCGTCAAGGCAGGCGCTGTCCACCTCAAGGTTGACGTCCAGAAGCTCATACAGAAGGAAATCTGGGTAAGTGATCTGTGGAAAGTAACGGTAAATTATGATTTTTTTTTAGCTTCAGTTGTAACATTGACTTATTGAAAAAGCATATTTCCTATCATTAGTTATCTCCCATCAATTATCATTAAATACCGGACTAAGGACGACGGAAGCGTCAAGTGTGGCGAGCAAGCTATAGCCTATCATGTATTTAACATGTAAAAGATAGATAAAAATCAATACATACCTGATCTCCAACAAACCAAGGTTTATCTCCCAAGAAGTCTGACAGCATCTTCAGCGTTTTCTTCAGAGACTCTGCATACTCTTCCTTCTGAGTGTCCTGGAAAATAAAAACATTGACACCAAGCGTAGTGCGGTACGAAGTCTGCGACATCTTTCTTTATTTGTATTTATTAACAGGAAGGTATATCGGGTTGTGGAAGTACATGCATTATAGTAAGGTATTCCTTACATGTTACTTGTATGTAGACTAGAGACTAAGAGCTACCAGAGTCGACCATATTATTCTAAATGACATCGTAGTCTATGCATAAAGTACAAGGCTTAATGTCCAAATCTGACCAGCTGCTCTAGGTACCAAGATGTCGACCGACTTAGTCTTGTCTATCAAGTCTTGATAGCATCTTGCAAGTGCATTCAGAATTTTGGGACGGTTTCATGTAACTAACATGAATAGACTGCTAACCAGTAATGTTTTCAAGATATTTTAAACTTATTTGTGGCCCCTTGAAAACTTAACAGTTTGACAAGTTCAAGGCATTAAGGTAAATGTGATGTACATTTCTCGTTATAGTTTACAAAATTATGCGTACAAGATTTGACAGCAAATAAAGTTCCAAGTAACCGACTTACGTAGTTGCGGTACACATATTCAGCGTACGACCTGCGCATGTCCATGGCCAGGTTCTCCAGCACGTCGACCCTTATCTTCTCTTGCTCTGTCTTGCCGCACAGGTCGTGCTGGCGCCCGATGTAGCGGAGGATGGCGTTGCTCTGAGTGATCTTCACATCTCCGTCAATGTAATATGGCAGCTACAAGAAATATTTTATCTCATTTATAGCAATTACAAAATGGCCACAATTAAATTAGTTGGTGACGAGGAGTCACAATAACGTGGCTGAAATATGTTTACCAAACCACACACTAGAAAGTGAAAGGACGACGACGTTTTGGTCCGTCCTGGACCATTCTCAAGTCGATTGTGTGGGCTAAATCGACTTGAGGATTTTCGGTCCAGGACGGACCGAAACGTCGTCATCCCTTCACTTTCTAGTGTGTGGTTTGGTCAACAAAAATTAGTTGCTCACAAATTAAGTTTGTCACAATTCTTCTCCTCTGCCCTAACAAATTTTGCATGTTGTAAGCTAGACAGAACTTCCCATCCCTCAAGAGTTAACTCATTTGTGGACTTTATTGGAATCTTGCAGTTGCAGATCTCACGATTAGTTTAATAAATGAATAAAATACATATATAATTAAATAGGAAGAGAACTTACTAGCTTATTTTTTAGTGCAGATGACGGTAAGTACTTATCAAAAGAAGGCACCAAGCCTGGGAGACTATGTAGCTGTAGAGGACAGTGTAATGCAAAGTATTATATTCAATAATGTGATAATTGAACCAAAGGCTATTCCCATAATTTTATAATATTTTAGAAAAGGGAAACGGGGGGGGGGGGGGGGGCCGCACTAACATATGAAATCACGTTAGTTAGGTTTGGGAGTACCAAGATACACAGTACCGCTACATGTAAAGCCTCGCATCTGAAAACCTGCAACTGACAACCAAGCCGTCTTCAAGTGGCTTTTAAATGGTTTCGGCACAAAAGCCGTCTGTTGCACAATTCTTTTTTATCCTGTGTGTAAATAGCACAAGTTCCAAGGAATGGCATTTTACACACTGCTATCATAAAATTTAATTACACATTATTATTAATCTAATAATATACATTACACGCCAAATCATTTAAAAAATACACGAGTTGATTAATGTTAAATACAATTATTGTATTTAAGTAAAAATACATACGGATGATTGCTGCGTTTGCCTCTAAATGTGTGATCATGCCAAACTACTTAAAATGTAAACATTGCTTGCACTACGTAGCCAATGTGAGGAGTGTGGAGACCGTCAAGAGACCCCCAGAGGTCTCTTGACCCCGGGGTGAAGTAACTCACGTTGGGAAAATCAAGGCCGAGGGCGAACTTCACGGGGAACCAGTCAGACTTCTCGAAGTAGTCCGGGGCAGGGCCAGCAGTGTAGGTCTTGTCCTGGAAGTCCGTCTCTAAGTAGGCCAACAACAGCCGGATGGGCTGTCCCATCTGCAACACCAACCTGTTTTAGCAACTTAGGCTACTCAATTCAAAATATTTTTGATTGTTTTATGCAAACTAAGGTTATTCAACTTAAACTCTGCAAGTAAGTATTTATCAAAAAGTGCTAAACTGCTAAATCTTTTCAAGTTCCCACCCTCCATATTGCCAAATCAAAATTTGTTCAGTTAATTGTTTAAACAAAAATAAGTAGCGACATTACGGGGCGTCCGTTAGAGCTCTAGGACCTAGTACTGTACTAGCCAGGTACTACACTTAAACCATATAGGTTGTTCAGCGCCATATGGATCATGTCCGTATACGTGCTAGTTATAACGTGCATCTTGAGTAATCTCACGGTGCTGTTCCCTGGGTAACGAGCACTCTCCTGCATGCTACCCCCCCCCCACCACACACCTCTTGCTTTATCTTCGCCCAATAACGAGAAAGACCTTGAGTCATGACGGTTCTAAGTCCTTAACTGATTCGTGTGCATCAGTCAACACCGTTCGGACTTTTCATACAGGCACCAAAAATGTTTTTAACTTAAATGTAAGATGGTATCAGTCTCGTTCACCTGGACTGTATGGGTCTCGAGCCGCGGTTCAGGTACGGTCCAGGGGAATATAATGTATTTCCACGGAAGTGTGGATGGGAATTTATAGTATCCACGTGTTTCCGCCTGACGTGGCTTACCTGCAGCGCCACCACCATACAGGGAGCGTTCCGTCCGCCATGGCGGTGTTCACTCGTCTTATAATTCCTAAAGGAAATAGTTGGGTCGAAAGGAGGCGAGAGGAAAAGATCACGTAGATTTAGAGCGAATAAGAATAATAAAGAAAGCAGCAAAATTACAGAGAAAAATCTTAAGAAAATGGCAAACTTTTTTTTTTGCGAGCGGTCGGCGAACCCACAGACCATGGACGTGACTCAAGAATATAAAACCGTCTAGTGAACAGCGAAAGAATTCGTGCGAATCTGACAGAACCAACGGTGTAGCCTCGCTAGCTTGAGAAAACACGCACATTTAAACACTAACGACAGACAACCAACAAACGAGACCAAACCAGTTTCAGAGTAATGTTTAATGTGAGTGAGTGTGTGGGTGGGCAGGACCCATTGTCCTGCCTCACACTTTGTTCAATATTGATCAACTTGACCCATTGAACATTGTACCTATTGATCAACTTACGCTTCAAAAGCTAAATCACTATATAAACTGTGGGTACAAAGCCAAATTAAACATTATATTAACATGAGAGTAATATTGTACCTTTGAGTTCTATTTTTATCCAATAAATTTGGATAAATTTTGCTGCCATATTGACATTAAATTTAGTGTCGATATGACAACTTTAAACTATAATTGAGATTTATAAGTGCAATTTAATTAAAATTTGCCAACTTATTTGGGAACGTAGTTGACAAAGGATGTAGTTGTTACACGCACCTTCCAATTGCCCCCCCCCCCCAAGACGCTCCCCCCCTCCAATAAAGTGGCGTCCTTCTGTGACGTCTAGAGAATGTGTCGAGACGCCACAGTCCAGGTAAATGGAATGACGTCCTCGTGGTTAGTTTAGTCTATTATGCACCCCATACCCATCCCCCCATACCAATCCCATGGGTGGCGGTTGCATCTCCTTACCACTGTATAAATAGAATATATGCTAAAGCAGCTCCTTAAGCATGTCACTTGGAGTATAATAATACCAAGGTACTTTAACAAAAATAACACGGTTTCCATTAATGGGGAAACGAGTCACGATAAAAAAATAGAAACTTCTGGTACAAAAAGTACTTATTTAGAGCTGAAACCAAAATATGGACAGCCAGCCCCAAACTTTCACTACGATACATAAAGTGTCATTACCATTTACCAGTTGCTGGTAATCACCCAATTGGGAGCACTCCATTCTAACCTATTAAAAACTAAAGTACAGTCCCAACATTATTTTTCTGAAACAAATTTAGTCATTCTGGTGAAAGAAGCCTAGAACTTTCAAGCCATTTTCCTAATTCGAGACTATTCCTCCGTCTATCCAAAATTTAAAAGTACCGATTGAGGCCTTGCAGCCTTTTTATACGACAAAGCAACACGACAGAAGGTTAGGTAAACATTACTACCTGTTGTCCTTGACTGCTTCCTTCCAACACGTAGCTGCTTAATCTGCTAAATGTTATCCAACAGTTTAATCTTTCACCGGAGGCTGTCGCCGCGTCCATGTAGCCTATACAACACCTACCAAACTACGCTATATCCGTTAACAACCCTTACAGAGTTACAACGTAACCAAACTACCTTACCTAGATCTAGCTTAGTTTTAACAACTCTGCGAGTTTATGCTAAGTCAGTATGTGACTTACAGCTTCGGTTAGAGGACGGTCGTGTACTCCAACACAACTTTCTAAAATGATAATGTTTACCAACCCATCCCCTGTTTAGATAGTACTTTTTGTAACTATGTGCGCCATAGTACAAATATTTACGTACTATGGAATTAAATAGTAAAATTTTGTACCATTCACTGTATAGTCCGAAAAATATGAAGCTTAAAAACAAATTTAAACATTCCTAGGCCGAGTATAGCATACATGTACCATATTAGGCCTAGGAAAGTTAAGTTAGTTTGTCTTTGCAACAAATAATATCAGGTCTGTCCAAATTCAATATGACCGATTTCTACTTTCTAACTGCGTTGAACGTCGGTATATTTACCTGAATTTACCCAAGGGCCACTAATGCTAGTGGCCTCGATGAGGACAGGAAGCCGGCAGCTTGTCAAATGTACTCCCCCCCACCCATTTGCCCTGATGAGCTTTTCCAGCCGAATTTTAAAAGCTAGCAGAGTTTTGGCGTTTACGGTTTCGGCGGGTAGACGGTTCCACGGGTTTCCAACTCTATGGGTGAAAGAGCATCTCCTGTTTTCTGTCCTACATTGTGGTTTGAGCTTAGCTTGAACCCGTTGCTCCTCGTTCGTCTTACATCTGACCATTTGAAGAAATTAACCGGATCGACATCCTCCAAATGGCTCAGTATATTTTGAAGGTTTCGACGAGATCCGCCCAGTCATGCCTGGTCTGCATTGTTGTTAGCCCAGTGGCCCTCAACAGTTCCTGATACGAGAGATGACTAAGCTCCGGTATGATTTTTGTTGCCCGGTGTTGCACCTTCTCCAGAGCAACTGTCTTTCTGAAGCTGAGGTCTCCATGCCTGTGGGGGCGCACCACACATACAATTGTACGATTACATTCTTTTCCCTGAAGGTACAAGGTACGCTTGATTATTCCCAGGGTTTGGTTCGCTTTTTTTAACTGGTGCTCCCACTTTTTGTGCAGCTTTTAATGAATAAAGGATTCTGACTCCAAGGTCATTTTCTTTATATCTATCTGTTGTAAGGTAGTGCTGTCAATTTGGTAGTTGTGACGTGGATTGTTATGCCCCACATGCAACGTCTTTCATTTATCTACATTAAAACACATTTGCCAGTCATCTGACCGTTTGTGAAGTTCATGTTGATCTCTTTGTAAGGTTTCAATCTCTCCTTCACTTCCCACTTTACCATAGATTTTAGTGTTATCGGCAAATTTGATGATGTGGTTTGTAATATTCTCATCTATGTCATTGATGTATATGACAGAAGGTTGACCCCAAAATAAACCCCTGTGGCACCTCACTAGGTGGCCTGATAGCTGAGTGGACAGCGCTCTGGACTCTTAATCCTAGAGATTAAAGGATCCATTTGTTTCTGCCACCCTGATGCTCCTGTTACCTGGCAGTAAATAGGTACCTGGGAGTTAGACAGCTGCTACGGGCTGCTTCCTCTGTGTGTGTGTGTGTGTGTGTGTGTGTGTGTGTGTGTGTGTGTGTAAGGGGGTGGAGAAAAAAAAGTTGATTGACAGTTGAGAGGCGGGCCGAAGAGCAGAGCTCAACCCTCGCAAGCACATCTAGGTGAATACTTAGCACATTTCCCCAGCACATATCTCCCATGCTCCTCATCGTTACTAAGTACTACCACAAGTGGAGTATGGGCTGTGCTTACAATAACTAATTACAGTCTCCGTGGTGTAGTGGTAAGACACTCACTTGACGTTCCGCGAGCGCTTTGTCATGGGTTCGTATCCTGGCCGGGGAGGATTTACTGGGCGCAAATCCTTAACTGTAGCCTCTGTTTAACGCAACAGTAAAATGTGTACTTGGTTATAACAACGATTCTTCGCGGTGGGGATCGTATTCCAGGGACCTGCCCGAAACGCTACGCGTACTAGTGGCTGTACAAGAATGTAACAACTCTTGTATATATCTCAAAAAAAAAAAAAAAAAAAAAAAAAACTTAACGGAAGGCACCAATGGGTACTGTTGGACCCAAAATATGTTCTGTTAATTTTGTAAGTACGAAAAATCTTAAACCCGTAGTTAAAAACCATGTTCTAGTATAGCACATATTAGACCTAAAATAGCGCAAATTAGACCTAGGATTGCATTAACAGGTTAGGAGAGATATAGTTAAATATACATACACACGCACAGTATATATAACATATAATTCCATATAATTCTAATGACTAATAATTTAGCAACAAAACATTATTTTTTATGAGGTCCAACAGTACACAGTGGTGCGCTCGACCAAACAGATACTGTATCTATTTTTTTTTTGTGAGATATATACAAGAGTTGTTACATTCTTGTACAGCCACTAGTACACGTAGCGTTTCGGGCAGGTCCCTGGAATACGATCCCCCGCCGCAAAGAATCGTTTTTACAACCAAAGTACCCATTTTACTGTTGAGTTAAACAGAGGCTATAGTTAAGGATTTGCGCCCAGTAAATCCTCCCCGGCCAGGATACGAACCCATGACCGAACCGATGATTATATGTGCTGTCAATCTGCTGTATGGTGTCTATTAATCTTGTTTAAATTACTAATCAAGCTGTCAATGTAATCAATCAGAGCTTTAATATAACAATGTGCTTTAATATACTTACTAAGCTCATCTCATTTTTCTCTTGCAATGTATCTTTATCATTTATCAATTCCGATAGAAATTACCTACTTAAAATTATCTGTTAGATTAAGGACCTGCCCGAAACGCTGCGCGAACTAGTGGCTTTACAAGAGTGTAAATACAACACTATCCAATGTATTCTCACAAACCCAATGTACCTTCTTGTATATATATAAATAAAATAAAATAAAATAAATAAAATAAATGACTAAGCGCTCGCGGAACGCGAGGCAAGTGACTTACCACTACACCACGGAGACTATCATTTTAGAAGGTTAGGCTGTTATCCACCTAAAGCAATAAACACAAACCGAACACATCACAGGACCGTTAACCAATGCTGCCGTCATATTTAATATTAAACAACCAAGACGAGAGAACCTTATACACTTGTACTCTATCCTCCTACACTACCGCATTTGTATTATAACATAATATAAGCTTACCCCACGGATGTTCCAGTAACCAACGACGGGAGCCATGTTGAACACTGCTTCTTGCTGCGACGGCCGCTCACCACTGAATGTGTCTCGCACTCTCGCCGGCTGCTGGTCCAGTGGTCCCGGAGGTGACCTCGGGGTCCTCGTTTGGGGTTGGGATCCAGTCGGGATCCTATAGTTGGGAGTACCGCCCAGGAATCCTGGCCCGATTACGTTATAAACCGCTCTTCATGTCCATTATTTATTTAAGTGTATATTTGCTATTTGTGCTTGCAGTATCGAGCTGTTATCTCTTGGACCCCGCCTTTCTAACTGACGGTTGTCTAGTGACTCCCGACATAATTTTGTCATATTTACTATATATTTCATTCTCAAACACCCCCCCCCCCTCAGGATGAAGCTCGTAGCAGCTATCTAACTCCCAGGTGCCTATCTACTGCTAGATGAAAGAAACTCTGCCCATTGGTTGCCGCCTAGCTTAGCTTGACCTTGGAAGACAGCGGCCATATTTGTGTTGAACCGTAAGTTACTTGAGTGCATTAACTTTGCAGCTCCTATATAAAGGTTAGAGGGACATAACAGGCTTAGGAAGTGAACCCCAATATTTGTTTTAGTCCATCCTTGATGGACAAGTTACAGTTTGTTGATATAAACATCAACATTATATTCAGTTTTTTGATAGTTTAGCTTAATTAACACGTTAATAGTAAAAAGTTTAGAAAATTGATCTCCACGTGCTATAGGATAAGATATTTTCCTTCGCCTCAAATTTGTGACCACGTTACAAGGATGGTGATGTAATTACAGTACTGAAGTTAATGTTAGATAAAATTCGCAGATTTATTATTATGGTGCCCCCCCCCCTCCATGTGTGGTGGCGTAGCTTGATTATGGATGTGTACACAATTTTTACTCTTACATCCAAAAAAGTCCAAATTTTGTACTTTTGGTATACTAACAGACACAGCAAAAGCTGCAACAAATGAACTTACCTGTTCTAGGGTTGAATATGCAATCTTAGGCCTAATTTATTACATATACTAGGCCTAGGAATGGTTAGTTTTAATTGTTGCTTTCTTTCTCGTCCCGCTACAAAATAAATAGTATAAAACAAGGATTTTCTTGGGTGCAAAAGTGCATATTTTGTACATTCTATTCATAGTCGCTACAGGTACTATCATGCTTGAGGAGACGGGGTAGTGGTAATATCCCTCGCCTCACGCCTCGTTGGCGATTTAGTCTGGGTTCGAGTCCTAGCCAGGGAGGATTGACTTGGCGCTAATTCATAAATGTTCGCTTATGTTCACCCAGCAGTAAATGGGTACCTGATTGTTAACCGATTTGCGGGTCGTTTTCCAGGGGAAAACTATGAGCTATGGGGAGGGAAAGCTCTCAGCCTGCTAACAAGTCAGAAGGCGTCTGCTCCTACACTTACTGTACACGTCCATGGCTGGGTGTCTAAGAAAGAAAACGGAGTGTAAAGTGGAATGCCCTGGAGGCCATCGCTGGTCCCCGCACAGAACTGGTTAGCTGCAGTTTGGAGCGAGGAAGTCCACCAGTGATACCACCCTAACACTCTTTATTTACACTCGTGTATTTTCTTAGCTACTACTGACCAGCCCTTACATATTCTTGGTCTCGTGCTAGTATATAATGCCGTCATATCTGGCACACAAACACACTCAGCACCGCTCCTGTGCCAGGTAAGTTACGGGCTCATCATAGCCCGTGCTGCTTGGAACTTGTTCCAAGTAGCTGAATCTATAACAACAACAACATGGCACACAAAATGAAGCCATGAGAACAATTCTCGGAGCGCCAAGTATAACCAAAACATGAATCTACGACAAGAACTAAGCCTTCTAGTGTTAAACAGGATCAAGGAACTGAATGCTAAGCTCGTCATAAACCCCCACAAGTGGCATTGCTAAGAATACACTGCGTGCTGCACTAATTATAAGAGGAAAACGAAACAGCTGAAAGTGACAAGATCGATCAATATGATTTATCGAAGAACTCCACCTGCTTGAGCAAGCACGTGAGTTGACGCCTGCTGACACCTCCGTGAAAGGAAGAGCCATGTAGGATTCAAATATATGAGATGCCTACGAGTCCAGCATGTTACCTTACAAAATGAGACGTATATCTCAAGAAAATTAATAGAAAAATAAGAAATGAATGAGTTCAAACCTACACTGATGGATTTTCTAACCTTAGTAATGACAGGACTGGGGCAGCGTGCACTGTAATCAAAAATAAAAATGAGGACAAAATGATTGACGGAGAACCACGCCTCCTCCACGCAAGCAGCGTTCACTACTATTGTTATGACAATAACATACCTAGAACGAAACTGAAGGAGAGCAGTGATTTGCAGTGAATCCGGAGCGGCACTACAAACTAGAAAATAGGACAGATAGAAAACAAAGATGAAATTTATCAACAGGGAGAATGGTGGATTTTGGGGGGACTTAGGGTTCTATTTTTTTTATGTGGAAACATTAAGACTACGTGAAATAGTTGTGGTTGCCAGAGTGTGAATGAGAGCTGCAGTCAATTACCACTGTTTGCAATGACGCACATGCTGGCATGTCAGCTATAATCTGTACATCAACACCCTGACAGCGTCATTATTGAGGCAGTCATTTTACTCAAATACTCGATAATCCATGTCAATAAATCAGCAGTATCTTGCTGAATTGTGGGGGAAGGGGATTGGATTGTAAGTTGTGGCGAGTGAAGGAGTTTACTTCTTGCATAGGGAGGTTCGGGAAGGTGTCAATCTGCAGGTGAATGGGGACGAGAAGGGAGGGAACGGGTGGGGAACTCAGTATTTTTTCCACCACCAGTCTCCACGGGATGGGTATATGGGGTGCATAATAAATGATTAGTCAATGAAATGAGACGAATGGAGGGTGGTAGCGGAGGGACTGTTGGAAGGATAGGACGTGAGTGTGGGACGCCCCTGAGTGTGTACTCACCTAGTTGTGCTTGCGAGAGTTGAGCTCTGGCCCTTTGGTCCCGTGTATGGACGCGCGTGAGTGTGGGAGACGCGCGTGAGGGAGTGACCGGGGGGGGGGGGGGGGGAGGTCATCTACCTTTGGTGTTTCGAGAAAATCCTGTAAAATACCTACCTTCGTATTTTTGTCGTGAATGTTATCGTCATCATGAGTGAATGTAACTTTTTTGTGTGAACAACAGGTCTGGACTAAAGTATTGGAATGAAACACTTCGTAATGTTGTGGAGCTTGTCCAGGCGTAATTAACCAGACCTCATTTAACTATATCACTGCTTAATTCCTGTTACTCACTAATATATTAATTCACATTACAAATGGGTGTAAACCGCTTGAACTCATTTCATCCAAAATATGTTCCTTACATTTATGTTGCGGTGCCGCGAGTTGCGCCGCGAGAATACTTGGTAACCGCACATTCCTCAACGGTGAGTCACACTCTTACAAAACCTCCTTTCAATCATTTTTTTGGGTTAAAACTATGTCAGTATTTTCTTTCCTTCTACTAATTAAGAATGGGAAAGTATTTCAACATGGTCTAATAAATACATTGTAATTATAACATTGTACAACCTTTAAGATGTATTATGCATTGGAAGTCACGTGACTCCAACTGTTCCATTTTCTAACACTATTTCATTAATGTTCGTCGCTGATATTTTTTTTAAGCTGAGACAAGTGCAAGCAATACTGCCAGTGTGTTCATTTATAACGCACTCAATACCGAGCAATATATATATTTTTTTAGTTTAGTTCATTTATATTCTCTAATTAAACATTTTCATTTCCATATTCATGTCATAATTGTTTATGGTAGACACGTTTTTTTTTACTTAATAGGAGACATGACAGCATTATACATGATCGTTCATGATGATAATGTGTTGTCTTGACACAGCCTGAGTAACGGGCACCTGCCCAGAGTGGGATCCATAAACCTTATATTATAATTATATATAACTTACCAACTGTAACTTGCTTAGCTAAACGAATGTTGGGGTTGAGTTGCCCCAGGACGGGTCTTGCTGCATCAACAAGTGGAACATCTTGTTATAATTAACGGGCTGATGTATCTACATGAAGGATTACAAGCTCTATATAAATTAAATGCTATACTATATAATACTATATATACTATACTATATAAATGCTATTTTTGCTTTTTTTCTGCCATGTTCCCCCCCCCCCTTTTTCCGTTTTTTCTTTTTTTTTTTCAACACAATTTATACTTTAATCTCAATTAGTATTAAGTTTTAGTCTTAGTGTTTTTCCTGCACGAAACGCTTTGCGTAATAGTGGCTTTAGGCATTGTATGTACTAGCTCTATCTATAAATCCATCAACTTTTTCTATCTTACCTTGTATGTATGTACTTTACCTGAATAAATACTTGTATTTGTACATCAACTGCGGCAGATAATTCGGTGAGAAGTATACAGGACCAGTTATTTACACCAACTCCCACCCAGAAAACTGCAAACTAATAGACGAGAGCTCATTAAGGCCAGCTTAAAAACAAATAAATAAAAAATATATAGCGTAGTTGATGAGGACACTTGTGAGAGAACCAATAAAATAGTTATGAGCCCCGACAGGATTCGAACCCGCGACCTCCAGTAAGTAACCAATCCAACTGGCGCTCTACCAACTGAGCTACGAGGCACTACACTCATCAGCGGCCTTAATACTACTTATAACAAATATTTCATCCAGCATTATTGTCTCAAAACTGATACAAACAGTTCTAACACAAATGCCGTTATATTGTGGTGGCGCTTTGATAAGTTTAAAAACTTGTTATAAGAGTTACGCTGAAAATCCAACAATGATCAATTAAGTCTCGTTAACAGCAATTAAGTGCATGGTTTGGACATGACTATTCCCCCCCCCCCATATATATATATATATATATATATATATATATATATATATATATATATATATATATATATATATCTGTACCAGGTAAGTCCACTACGGGCTCACCATAGCCCGTGCTACTTGCACTATTTGTTCCCAGTAGCTGAATCTAAAACAACAACAACAATGTGAAACCATGTTGCAGGTGACCAGCTATCCAGGGTTGATCTGGGCGCTCTAGATCAACCCAAATTACCCAAAAAGCCTCCTTAAATTGAGTCGGTAAAGAAGAAATCCCTCTGACCGTAGACCGTGAACAAAAATAACTACTGTACATGGGATTCATTG